CCCCTCACCTGTAATACGCTTGAGCAGGATGGAGCCCACTGGCCTGGAGTGGGCACAGGGCCCACGCATCGCCCAGACAGGGGTGGGCACAGACACGCCAGGAGACACGCATGTCCTCCTGCCCTGGGGACGGGCCTCGGGGGCCCGCCCCGTGTCACCCTGACCTCGGGGCCCAGCCTCGGGGCGGCGGGATGGACGTCTGTCCTCTGAGCCCAGCCTGTGGCGTGCCACGCGGTGCGGAGACGGCCGGGGAGCGCTGGCCACCGCGGGTGCCACGAGGGGCTCGCCCTGCCCCAGCTGCGACGCGGGAGGTACTGCAGTCCTCCCGGGGACCTCCCGGCCACAGCGCCCCACTCAAGGCACCCGGGGTAAGGGCGGGAAAACAGCGGCCCTCAGCACCGCGTCTCCGCATGGGCAGCCTCAGCCTACGGCCCTGACGCCCGGGGCTGTCGGCCCCCCAGGCCTGGGCGCGCCCACAGACAGGGTCCGTGCACAGGGGCCGTCGTGCAGACGGACACTTCCCTGGGTGAGGCGCCAGGGGCTCGGCGGCCCTTCCTGCTGCCCCCACTCCAGCCCCACCCGCCGGCCCGTGCCCGGACGCTGCGCTGCGGGGCAGGAGGAGCGGCCAGGAGAGGGGGGTGTGTCCTCACGGAGGGTCCGTCCCGGGCCCCGTGCAGACAGACGCAGGCAGGAGGACGGGGGGCGGAGGGGGGCTACCCCAGTTCTGAGTCCCCCTCGGGCCAGGCCCTTTCACAGGGCGGCGGGGGCTCCGCGAGGGACCGGGGCCCACGGCAGGTGAAGGCGCGTCCTGGAGCCGTGGGCCGGGGTGGGGACCTGGCCGCCCAGCAGCCTCCCCGGCTGAGCTAGAAATCCAGGCACCGGCCGGCACTACCCTTGGGGACAGCGAAGCCAGGGACGCCCCACCACCCCACTACCCCCGTCCGTGTGCTCCAGAGGAGATGCCTGGCCGCCCGGATCACCTCCTCCGCCTCCGAGGGCTTCCTCTACCCTTCCACGGGGCTGGCGCAGAGCTGAACCTGGAGCGGGAAGAGCGGGGGTCAGGACACACCCCTGCAATGCTGCAATAGGCACCCTGGACGGGCCACCCCGATGTGAAAGCAGGTGCGAGGATGAAGTCAGCATCCCGCTGCGGCGCCGCTTCCCGGAAGGCCCAGCCTACAGGGAAACCCCAGCAGCGGCTTTCTAGGAAGGGCAGGCCGTGGGGACGCGTCTCCGGGCCGGCGACCCTGTCCAGGAAGGGCAGGGCTCAGGGCAGTGTGGTGCCGGCGCCCGCCAGGGAGCAGCCTGCTCGGCCGCCGCCCCTCCCCTTCCGGAAGCTCCCGCCCACTGACGGCCCTGAGCCCCGCGGGCCCCCAGCTGCGTCCCTTCCAGTGAGGCTCCCACACAGAGCGCCCCTTCCCTCCTCACCCAGCCACACTGCAGGCAAAGCGTCCTTGCCAAGGAGACCTTCTAGAAGGCCCGGTGGGCATGCAGACCTATCGGGGGGTGTGCCACGCGGGCCCTGCCCTGTTCTCCCTGCTTCTGGCCCGGAACACCCCACTCCCGCTCCGCCAGCATCTCCCAGGCGCCATGACCCTCCGGGCGGCTGCCCTCGGCGCAGGAGGCACTGGCGCTCTAGGCCGGACCCTCGCCGGCAATGGACGGTGCTGGGTCACGTGGAGAGGTCAGCTCGATCAGGGAGAGCCCGTCGGGCCTCGCCCCTCAGCCCCCTCGGGAGGAGAGGCCGGGGTGGAGACCCCTGGCCCCGGGCGAGCGGCGCGTCAGCGAGCACACACCGCCAGGTGCGGCCGGCCCGGGGGTGGGCTTCCCTGGGCCTCCGGTGGGCTGGGGCCATGCAGCCGTGCGGAGGGGGCCGGCAGACACCCATCCCCACACACCAGGAGAAGCGGGCGAGCAGCGTGGCCACATCCCGGAAGCCACAGGAGCGCTGTTGGGGTGACGCCCGGCGGCCTCTGGGTGCCCTCTCAGCTGGGTGACCTCCTAGTAATGACCAGCCCTCAAGTGGGGGGCACAGGTCCAGAACCCCACTCCCCCAGTCTGCACAGCTTTGCCCAGATGGGGCCCAGGGGCACAGGCCCGTGTGGGAGTGCCGCTGCGCCCCACCTAACCCCTGGGGAGCTGCGCCCAGCACACACACGCTGGGAGCTCGGCCGGCCGCGGCGGTCTGCTCTGGGCCAGGAAACACCAAGCAGCAGCCTGGCGGCAGCACAGACTTCCTCCCCTGACCCAGGGCCCCTCCTGAGCAGGCCAGAATGTTCCAGAAGGACTTGGGAAAGAGGAAGTGTGCACTGAGCAAGGGCAGGGGGTGCAAATTACAGGGAAGACGACGCCATCCTGCGGCGTGAGGGCCAGTAATGCAAGGCGCGGGCGGGTCAAACGTGTGTCTTGGCACGGAGCCCCCGTGACTGTGGGACAAACAGGAAGGTCTTTCACCTGCCCGGGTCGGGCAGGGCTCGCCACCAGGCGATAGCATCACAGCCAGGGGTACAGGCGGTCTTGTTCCTTGTGTCCAGTTCCTGGTGAGGATGACGCCAGCGGCAGAGCGGAGCCGGAGGGCGCAGGGAAGCTGCTCAGCAGGTCGCAGCCTCAGGGCTGGGCTGCAGGGCCTGGAAGGGCCGATTCCCTGATCGCTTTGCCGATGACCTTGGGCAAAGGCTGCTCTCCTGGGCACCGCGGAGCAGGCCTTCCTCCAACACAGCACACAGGGAAAGGCTTTAGGTGAGGACGTGAACCCGGCAGACGCCGAGGGCCGGCCGGGTGGGCAGCACGCAAAGCAGGCCACGCACAGCTGCTGCCCCTGCGTGGGCCAAGCCCTGCCTCGGCGGATTCCGTCAGGCCTGAGGGGGGACCCCAAGCCCTCGGAGAGTGAGGACGCAGTCACGTAAATGCGGGAGGAGGAGGAGGATGTCGAACTTTAGGCCACGAGTCAGCCCTGGCGGGGCAGACAGGCGCCACGCAGACCGCGGCTCCAGGCTGCCCCTCCACAGCCCCATGGAAGACTGCTGGGCAGGGCAGCCCGGAGGCGGCTGGGCTGGGGCTGGGGTGGCACAGGGGTACAGGGTGGCAGGTTGTAGGACTATCGATATCTATAGACCGTCAGCCCCAAGGGGGACTTAAGCAATGTAAGAGGATTCTTTTTTTTTTTTTAAGATTTATTTATTTATACAAGAACCGGGGTACAGGCCAGATGTGCGGGAGGGCGAGAGGATTCACCAGAGACAGAGAAGGGAACAGAACAGGCAGACTGACAAAGTACACTGCTGAGGGGAGCAGCGGGGAGACAGGAGGGGTCTGCGCGTCATGTGGGACCCTCGCCGGCCGGCTGGGATGGAACCGGCGCTGCAGAGGCTGCGGGCAGCTTCACGGTGTTCAACTGCCTGCGCCACCAGGGGAGGCCGTAAGAGGATTCTTAAGAAGTTAAAAATACGCGCTCTGGGGCCTCCCCGGAGGCGCAGCAGCTTGAGTGCTGGGTTGCGAAGCTGCCCGCGGCCTCTGCGGCGCTGGTTCGATCCCCGGCTGCTCCCCGGCCACCGGAGGAGGGTCCCGCATGGCGCGCAGACCTCTCCTGCCGCCCGCTGCTCCCCTCAGCAGTGTCCTTCGGTCCTTCTGCCTGCTCTGCTCCCCGCTCTGGCTCTGGGGAATTCTCTCACCGCCCCTTGCTTCTGACTGTGCCCAGTGCTTGTATAAACAAAACAAACAAACAAATAAAATAAATAAAACATGCCTCTATTAAAAAAAAAAAAAAATACGCGCTCCGCTGCGCTGTTATGTCTGAGACCTGAGCATGGCCAAGCAGACGTTTGTACCCACCTTTACGCTGAGCTTTCCCGGCATCACTGGATGCAAAAAAGATGAGAAAATATGTATGTCCCCCCTGACCGTCACACGCAAGAGCAGGACTGTCAGCCGGTCGCCCCCCACAACGGCCTATCACACCATTTGCGAATTGACCAACTTCCAACATCCACAGGCGTGGCCGTGTTCCCGCCCCGCAGCTGTCTGGACGAGCACAGGCGATGACATGGCTCCCCCCTGCCTGAGCCAACAAGCAGGTAAGAGGCAAGGGCCAGCCGGCCAGAGCCCTGACCTCGGCCCCGGGCCCACTGGCCCAGGACCTGCACCTGAGGGCAGCAGCACTCTGGCCTGACGCACCCCCAGATGCGGCCCTGACTTCAGACCCTGTGCTGCTGCCCTCCCTGGCTGTCTCCACCACAGACTCTTCAAAACCCACGCGGAGTGAAAACAGTGACTCCGATGGGTGCAGCAAGCCAGTGCCCAGGGCACCGGGAGCAGGACGCCACCCGTCTCTTTCTGACAGGATGCAGAGCCCCATGGCCCGCTCAGGGAGGACACGGAGAGGCCGTCCACACTGCCCGGAAGGGGGGGAGCAAGCCGGCTGGACAGGGTCCCTGCTCTCTGCTGTGGCCAATGCAGGCTTGAGGGACTCGGGCCGTGGCGTTCACAGCCATAGCGCCAGGAGGCGTGGGAAGTGCACGGCCCCGGGGTGTGATGGCTCCCCGCTAGGGCGGCGCCACGCTGTTCCGGAAAAGAAGAGCAGCCCGGCAGTGAGTCTTCAGACTTTATTCAAAAATAAAGACACAAAAATATAGAACTAAAATGTCCAACTGTCCTCCGAGACAGCAGCTCCGCCACAGGGGTAGAGACAAACCTGCGCTCGGGACCAACGGCAGCAACGAGAAAGGGGTGGACTGTGTTGGAAGAAATGTATCTCAGGCCGGTGCTGGCCAGCAGGGCGGTGGTCGCCACCTCCCGCCGTCACAGGGAAGTCCCCAGGCAGCAGCAGTGCCCGCCGAGGGGGCCCTCCGGCACCGCGACTCGGGTTCTCTCCGGGGACAGCGCCTTCAGGCCAGACGCGCCACCCCCAGCAGCTTCCCCCCACAAGGAGTGCTGTGGAGACGTGCCGGTCCCCCCAGCGGGCTGTGCCGCCCCCGGCACGGGTGCACGGGGGCCCGGAGCAGCGTGAGGCATGGCGGGGAGGGACACGCCGCTCCGCCTACACGGCCTCCAGGGCGCGCAGGTCCTCCAGGAGCTCCCGGGCCGCTGCCTGCAGGTGCGGGTTGCGGCTCTTGGCCATGGCCAGGATGCGCTGCAGGGGCAGGGAGCTGCGGAGCTCAGAGGCCGACTGAGAGAGGACCTCGGGCTCCAGCACCACGGACTGGACGAGGCGCAGCACGTGAAGACACACCTCGGCGTCGGGATCTGGGAGAGAGGGAAGGCTGGGTTACCACAGACGCTCCTCAGGACATGCCAGGTGACACGGAAGAGCGGCAGGACCGAGCGACTCTCTGCTCCACAGGGTGTCACCTTAAAGTGCCGAACTGAAATGTGAGCGCCGCCGGGCAGTGGCTGTCGTCCTGCCCACAGGTAAGACTGTTTTAAAAGGCCTTGGTCACCACGGTCCCCGCACAGCAGCGCCCTCAGAGGCCGTACGGACTCCGCCTGGGTGCCGGGTCCAGTCACAGGCTGAAGCCGCCCTCCGCCACCTCTGCGACGGCGCCTGCTCCCAGGCTTGGCCGGCTGGTCACAGCAGGCCTTGTCCCCCTGGGCTGCATCTGCTGGTGGGAACCAGGCTCAAGTCAGGTCCTCTCGGCGCTGCAGGCCCAAGGGGAGAGCTAGCTGCACACCCAAGTGGGCATGGCCACGCCAGACGTGAGTGGCACCTGAACCTGCCCTGCCCCGGAGAGTGCGGCATCCTCCTACACCATCTGAAGGAACCGTCTCTAAGACCTGCCCAAGGCTCAGGGCAGAGTGTGGCTGCCACATTGAGGGGGTACCCGCCACCAGAGGGGGGCACCGCAGGACTGAGCCAGACGCCGAAGAGCTCCTCCTCTAGCAGCCCGCCAGACCCCCAACGACCAGGAGCTGCCGCCACGGCTGGGGGAGGAGGCTCACGCACAGGGCAGTGCAGAGCGTGAGCAGAGCACCCCTCAGCAAGACACAGCCCTCTCAGCACCCGGGTGCACGAGGACGCCGAAGCCTCTGATGCCAGCCCTAAGCACCCACGCTGGAGGCCCCGGACAGGAGGTGTGGCATCTGTGGGGACAGCCACCGTCTACCTCCTCCCTGGGCCCGAGGCTGGGGCGCTCGGGCGCTGGGGCCCAGAGGTGCCGTGGCCCAGCCGCGCAGGCCGAGCTGAGGCAGCCTTACATTTACAGGGTTATTTTTCAAAAGAGCAAAGAAAGACACAGGCTCGTCCATTAGGAGGCCCGCGAGTCTCAAAGCTCACGCCACGGGCATCACAGAAGCCCACGGCCTGCTCCACGGCCAGCAGAAGTTCCAGCGGGCAAGAGCCACCGCGTGTGACATGCTCAGCGGAGCCACACCCAGACCAGGCAGGGGAGCAGCCTCAGACCAGACAATCAAATGAGGATCTGAAACAGGCAGGACAGGCGGCAGGACAGCCCACGGCCCGTGCTTGCAGCTCACCAAGGAGCACGAGGCAGTTTAGAGATTCTACCTGCTCGTGTTTCACTGCCTGTGATTACTACAGATTGTTTTGTAAAGCCTAGAGCAAATGCTTAAGAAAAAAGGCTGTATGGGTCTCCCCTGGTGGCGCAGCGGTTGAGCGCTGGGCTATGAAGCTGCCCGCGGCCTCTGCAGCGCCGGTTCGATCCCCGGCTGCTCCCCGGCCACCGGAGGAGGGTCCCGCATGGCGCGCAGACCTCTCCTGCCTCCCGCTGCTCCCCTCAGCAGTGGACTTCGGTCCTTCTGCCTGCTCTGCTCCCCGCTCTGGCTCTGGTGAATCCTCTCACCCTCCCGCGCTTCTGGCTGTACCCAGTGCTTGTATAAATAAAGAAAAGAAAAAAAGCTGTACAATCAAACGATAAGCAAAAAATAAAATGTAAGATGAAAATAATCCAATAGTAGCAAAAGAGAGGAAAACAAATGGAAATACTTGTGTGTCTCTGACACGTTTAGTAACACCAGCACCAACACCCGGCTGAGGGGCAGCGAAGGCAGACGACCGCAGGTGCCAGCCGCGCCAGGAGAAACACGAAGGCGCAGCTCTGAACCTGCGACCACGCAGCGCCAAGATGAGTCTCAGAAGGACGGCGGCGCCCCCATCACCACAGACAGAGCAGGCTTCGGAAGGGAGGGAGGACATGACCAGGCCCGAGCCGCGCGGGACCGCAGAGGCGGCGTGGACAGACCTGCTCGGAGCTTCCGAGAGCGCAAAACAAAGCAAGGTGGAGCCGCGGGCACGCAAGCCAACACGCTCGGTGCAGGGCCCGGCTCTCACCCCGTCACCGCTTTTAAAAAGGAAGAAGGCAAAAAGAAGTGCCCGACGGACACCATCCACCGGCCTCACCCGATCATGTTAAAGGAATTCAGGGTACATCCCATGACGGCAAGGATGAAAGTACAACTCACTCACTCCACAGAGCAGCGCAAACAGAAAAAAACACCCGAAAAATCCCCAAATACGTGGAAATAAGACAACACACTTGTAAATAATCTACGGGTTAAAAAGAAGCCATGAGGAAAATGAGGAAGGGCCGAGCATGGAACGAAGATGAAAACGCAGCATCAGCCAAATCTGTGTCTGTCTGCGGGTAGAGCCCGCCTGCCGGGGGCTCGAGCACTGGTGCTCACGCTGGGCGGGAACAGAGGCCTCGAAGTACCTCGGCTGCCACCTTAGAACAAGTAAGAGAAAAAGAAAATCATGCATAAAATGTGCCAAAAATAATAATACACAGAACTCAAATACAATTAAGAAAAAACAAAAAAGAGGGAAGTAACAAAGAAAACAAAAGCTGACCCCTTTGAAAAACTGCCTAACACGGGGCGGGGGGGGGGCCCGGGAGGGGAGAGGGCGGCTACCAGGCAGGGCGGCAGGGCCAACGGCCGCACCCCCCCCCCCTCCGCCGCAGGCCGGGCACTCCGGGCGGGCGCAGCGAGGGCTGCTCTCAACCGCTGGGCCCAGAGCGCGCTACACTGGTGGCAGGGACAAGTCCTCGGAGAACATAAACCCCCCAATTCACGTTGCAAAACCAGGCATCCCGCACGGCCGACTCATCAAGTTGCGGTCATAGTTCAAAATGTTCCAACCATTGAAGACAGAAAACCAGGCCAAGGCCCGGAAGGCGTCACTGGCAAATTCCACGCAAACATTTAAGTAAGAACTAGTGAGAAAGACACACCAGCCTTTCAGAAAACAAGAGGGCCAGTCCTGTGCATGAGTCCAGGACCACCCTGACGCCAAGAAAGACAGAGGCCACCGTCCCTCGGGGCTGGGCCTCAGCAGCCTGCGGGTGGCTCCTCGCGCCGGCCGTCTGAGTTGTCCCCACGTTACAGTGGTGCAAAAGCAACGTACAACCGGAAGAAACCGTCCTTTGATTTTGAATTTGGATCTCTTCCCGGGCTAACGGGTGTGATGGGGTGCTCTGGGGGGATGGCCTGGGGGGGGCAGTCAGGACCGGGTGTTCTGGAGTCATCGACACCGGCTCAGGCTGGAGGCAGATGCGTGAGGGGGAGGAGACACGTTCAGCGACGGTTGGTGCATGCCTGAGGGGCCGGGAAGACACAGCTGCCGCCCGCTGAGATCAGGAAAGCGGCGGGCAGCGTTCAGCTGGGGAAGCCGAGACCCGTGTGAACAGTCTGAAGGCCTCCCGAGGGCCGGTGCGGAGGCGTCTGAGCACCCGCAGCCCCTACCCCCCGCAGCCGTTGCCTGCCAGACGAGCAGGTGGGCGCGGCTCCAGTGGGCCGGGGCGGGACGCTGACTGGGAGAGCCCGCGACGTCTCGCGCTCCTTAGACAGCCCAAACACACGGGGTGCGAGAGCCCAGACCTCCCCAGTGCCCGCACGGGCAGGGGATGCTGCGGCGCCGGCCAAGCGCCAGCACGACACGTGGCACCAGCAGCTCCCCGCTAGGTTCTCTGCAGGCCGAGGCCTAACAGGCACGTGAGGACCATGGTGAGCTGGGAAAGCGACGCAAATGGAACCCAGCAGAGGGCAAAGGGAGGGCGTGGGTGGGCCCCGGGAGACGCGCAGCAATGCCGTGCGCCCACACGGTCAGTTCCCAAGTAGAAAAGCTGCGGTTCCCATCCGGACCTGAGGAGTCCGAGCCCGGATCTTGACGGCATGGAGCCACCTGGCAGAGCCCCTCCTCATGCCGGACCCCGCCTCGTCCTGCAGCCCCAGGGAAGCTGCGGCCGAAGAGACGCCTCACCGCTCAGGAGCCACCACAGCAGGGGGACGAAGCCAGGGCTCTCGCTGATGTACTTCAGGCCCTTCAGGTTGATGCTCACGTTGTACAGGGACATCAGCATCAGCCTGGAAGGCACAGGAAACGGGGGTGAGCGCTGACCCTCCCTGCTGGCCCCGGAAGCATAACACGCTTGGCGTCTGCACAGTTCCGACGCCGCCTCAACGACCTGCTGGCAGTGCGGAGAGCAGGCACGAACCACGTTAGCCTCTGCCAGACACTCCAGAAAAAGTGCCACATGACACTCGCTTCCCAGGCTCACACTCGAAAGGCACCTCAGAGGTGGACCCGTGGGGACCCCCTCCTCTGTACCGCCCCGCGTTGCTATGCAGGTGGCCCCGACCCCTCAGGGCCATGCAGGCCCAGGTCGGCCCCTAGCACTGAGCCCTGGGCTCCGCTCAGGGAGTGGCCCAGGGGCCACACCAGGGAGGGCACAGCCCAGCTGCCCTAACCAGCAGCAGGACGGCACCCAGGGCTCAACAGAGTGGGCCAGCTTCCTGGGGACCGGCCAAACTGCTGATGTGTCCTCCGGGGAACAGAGACGCGACGGGCCTGGTCCCTGCCAGCAGAGACCTCACAGCTCCACACAGCGAAGCGGTACCACAGAAGCGTTGTGCACACCGTGAGCGACGAGCGAGGAAAGGAAACCTCCCTGGTCAGAACTAAGCCGGGGGCAGAGGCAGAGGCCGGCACAGGCCCCAGCACAGCCACCCCACTGGGGCGACACAGAGAGCAGGAGCAGCATCACAGCTGGGCATGAGCCCAGGAGTTGCTACACCACCCCGGGGGGGTCACTGTGCGGAGCTCTGAACTCCCCATGATGCCCCTGCTGCTTGCAAGCTCCCTCAGTCCTCTGCCTCAGATGCCCTGTGACGCTGCACGCTCCTGGGCCTCTGCCCACAGTACTGAGGGTACACCCTGCCCACAGCTGGAGTAACTGGGGGCTCACCGCCAGGAGGCCCCTTCCCTTGCCCTCCAGCCTGGACAAGAGGAGGTCTTCCGGGCCATCCCCCGTGGGTCAGTGTCCCCCTGGGTTTGGCGCTGCCTCCAGGACAGGTACTGGACTCACCGGGATGCCTCACTGGACTCCCTCCTGCCCCTCCCTTTTCAGAGGCTTAAGCTGACCCCACAAGTCTGCTCCGAATTCACGCCGCACACACAAGGACGGAGAGGGTGGGTGTCCCTGTCTTATCTGGAACCAGCCTTTCCGGTTCATTGTAGTGAGGTCGGAAGAGACGCCCCCGCCCCACCCCTGGGGCTCTGCAGGTCAAGGAGGGTGTGAGGGAGCAGCAGACAGCGTAACACTCGCGGTGTTTCCTATGTGTTTCTACATATGATCCGTGGCCTGGTTCACTCCTCTCAAGCGTCTCCCCCCAGAAGTCAAGGCCAGCACAGACGCAAAGAGCGGCAGGCAGAACCCTGAAATGCCTCCCGACTTCCCTCCCCTCGTGCCCGAGATCGACACCCGTCTCGTAACGTGACAGGCCAGGGGCTACGGACACACCGGGCACTCACCTGCTGACTGAGTCAAGCACAGGGGTTTACCCAGCTTGGCCTGGCCCGACCCTCCAGCCGGCGCCCCCTCGGCCAGCAGCAGCAGAGGCAGCTGAGACCCCCGCGAGAGGAGGCCCCCGGGCTCTTGCCATGTAAGGACAGGGCGGGGACGGCGTAAGGAGTTCGGTCCGCCCCGAACACCTGGCAGCCAGCAAGGACACAGAGACTCCGGCCCCAGGCGCGGGACTGGACTTGGTCACGCCCCACATGTGCGGGGCGCGCCATCTCCCCAGAGCTGCTAGCAGAGGCCGGCCTGGACAAGACCCGGACTCTGGCTCCAAACCACAAAGCCCAGCTCAGCCCCTAGACTTCTGACCAGACCTCGGAAATGTGCTGTTCTAGCCAGTGAGTTTGTGTAGCGGGTCACACGACAACACAGGTGCAGACGTCAGTGCTGCCATGACAAACACCTGGGGAAGGTCGCCTCGGTCAGCCAGCACAGCCCTGGGCACCCTACGAAGCCCGCGGGCGAGAGCACGCCCTCGTCTCTATCATTCTCCAAAGGACCAGAGAACAGGCCCTGCACCCCTTCATTCTCCAGGCACTTTGTTTCTTCTCTTTAAGGAGACACTGCAAAGAAGCCAGCCCTCTCCCTCAGCAGCCCACGCGCGGGAGGTGCCACCATACACTTTGAGCTTGGTGCACTGTCCCGGCCTCAGGTCCCCCAGGAGCTGCAGGATGGTGTCCAGGAGCACGCGGCTGGAGGTCACCAGGAATTCGCGCCCACAGGCGATGGCAGCCACATCTGCAACACAGAGGAAGACAAAGCATCAGAATCACAGCCATTGCAAATCCAGAGGCTGGTCCTGGACAGTCTCTATGGCCACTGCTCTCCGCATAGACCTAGCGTAAACCAAGTCTGAGAGGCCCTGCCCACGTGGCCGATAGCCCCCCGGAGAGGCCACCGCCGCCACGGTATTGCCAAACCGTGAGGGCCATGCTCCCAGCACAGGAGGGGACGGAGCACCTGGAGAGCAGAGGCCACGCTCCGACCACTGGAAGCGACGGCTGTGCGCAGTCAGGGTCCACACAGCCTGGCTGCTTTAACGGGGACCAAGGACACAAAATCCACTTTCTGTCAGAACGCTGACCCTGAAATAAGAAACTTCGTCCTGAGTGCTGCATCCGACTATGGGTTAGTGCCAAGTTTCCTTTTTTTTTTTTAAAAAAAAAAAAAAGATTTATTTATTTATTTATACAAAAACCAAGGTACAGGCCAGAAGCGCGGGAGGGTGAGAGGATTCACCAGAGACAGAGCAGGGAACAGAACAGGCAGACTGATGAAATACATTGCTGAGGGGAGCAGCGGGCGCAACAGGAGAGGTCTGCTGCGTCATGTGGGACTCTCGCCGGCTGGGATTGAGGGGAGCAGCGGACGAGGCAGGAGAGGTCTGCCCTGCGGGAATCTCCCTGGCCGGCCAGGATCGAACCGGCACTGCAGAGGCTGCAGACAGCTTCACAGCGCTGCACTCAACCACCTGCGCCACCAGGGGAGGCCCTGTGTGCCAAGTTTCTTCAGGCCCACGACCCTGCGGAACTGGTGTGGATACTGGGCCGAGGAGTCCCGCTGGCTCCACAGATGGTGCTCTGAGAAGCCTGGCCCAGCAGGTTCCCACACACCTGCCAGGAGACTCTGTGGGGCCACGGAGATTTGCAGACAAGTTGATAGCATATCGGCTGATGCTAGCGTGACCCATGACTGAGTCCCGCACTCACACCAACGCCCTGGAGAAGGCCTTGCGGTGCCCGTTGCATCCCTAGCCCTCCTGGACAGCTGTGGGCGACGCCAGGGAAGCACCTGCATGCTGGCCGCTAGACACCCTTCACTTGCTTGAGGAAGTTTGCTTTTTCCTTTGTTCTTTTTATTTGTTCATTTTGTTATCTTTATTTTTTTTTTTTTTTACACAAGAAATTTGGTCTATTTACGCTCGCGGAGCAGTGAGGCTCCGGGGCTGCCCACGCTCTACTGTTCATCTGCTTGTGCGGGTGGCTCAGAAGTGGAGAGAGGCTCCGTGCCAGCCCCACTCAGCTCTAGCCATGGCGGGGCCTCGAAGCAGCCCTGCTCCCGCACGCACGTCCCTCTCAGAACGACGGCTGTCAGGTCTGAGTCGCCTACGACGTCTAGTTCTAATGTAGGAGGACTCTGAAGACTTGACCGCAGTGATGCAAGCAAGGACTCCGCGCTTCCTGAGATGCCATGGCTGACCCAGACGCGTGTCCCGCATGGGCCCGTGACCTTGACCTCAGGTAATCGTGTGTCACCTCGCCTGAGTCGCATCAGAGAGGCAGCAGGCTGGGGTGTGGATGGTGTCCTGACTGGTGGCGTCCTTCTGTGGCATTACAGACAGTGCTGACAACTTGCACATGCGTGTCCATGGGCACACATTTCAGTCCTCCAGGGCACGCTGAGGGGCATGTTGGGTTGTGTGGCACTCCGGAGTGGGCGTGCACTAAAGCTCCTCTCCCCTCCCGCCCCGCCCGACTGGTCTCGCTCACCCTGCCTGGGCCTGGTGCTCAGGGGGCAGGGCTGACCCTCAGGAGGGCGGCTCACAGACTGGTGGGGAGCCTGGTGGGCCCACAGGAGGGTGAAGTTGTTCCTCCTTTCATGTTTGCTTACTAAGAATTTTCAAGAAAGGGGGAAAAAAGGGAATTATCATGAATGGAGGATGGTTTCCATAGCAGAGGCACCGTGCGCCCCCTGGAGCCTGCTTCGCTGGTGTCCTCAGACAGCCCCTCCACTGCCTGTGTGGGAGCCAGCAAGACGACGCAGCTGAAGGTTTGGCTGGTCAGCGGCTGGGTGCCTGGGATGGGCAGGGGGCTGATGACAGAGGACGGAGCAGGAGAGGTTTGGGAGGGCCGCAGTACTCGGGGTGGTTACGAGACCGTGCATTGTTCAAAGCGTGCAGAAGCACAAGAAGCTGAGGAAAGACATGACAGGTCAGTTTACTGCACGTAAACTTTAAATTCTGGAAAGGAACCTTTCCTTGAGAAGGCAGAGGGCCTATCTGAAGCTGCCTCTGCTGTCCGCTGACTCCCCACAGGACAGTCTGGGTGCCCGAGGGCACATGACCGAGGCTCTGCCAAGCGGCACTTCCACACCACCCCGCGGCCCCCAAGGGAAATCCACGGGAGGCTGCCGTGTGCGCCACCCAAGCAGGGCAACTGAGCCGAGCTGAGTGTGCATGCTGCACCCGAGGCTGGACCCAGGCCAGATGGACCCCGCTGCACATAGCTTGATTCACAAGCAACACAATGACACACCATGTGCAGCACAGACATCTGGGCCCTCGCCAACAGCAGAAAACGCAATCAAATGTGCAGATGCCTTCTGTTCTACAAGGAGAGAGAAAATACCTTAAAACAATTTTTCAAAGAGACCGCCCGAGGCCAGCCTCCGGCATGCCAGTGCAGCAGGAGGGTCAGAGCGGCTGGTCGTGGATTTCAGGAGCGGCCCTGAGACCACCCCAACCCCAACCTCCGCCCGGAATAGGCCCCAGCTCTTAGGGGCCGTGGAGACACTATCTCCAGACTCTCCTCACTGGGCCAGGATGTGCCCTGAAGACAAAACGTCCTCCAGCGGCGGCACTGGGAGTGCGACCCTGGCGGCTCCCGCGGGACCACGGAGCACCGCCGCGACGAAAGCGAACTGTCGGTGATTCGGGCAGAGGGAGTCCGCCCAGCCGCGCCACCCGCCTGGCCAGACGGCAGGGACCTACCAATCAGCCGTCCAGGTTTATCCTTGCAGCAGCTTTGCCACAGAATTGTATGGACCATAGTCTTTGGAGAAATTCACTGAAGAGACACGCTAGGTTTCGGGATGCTTGACCACATAGCAGCCAGCGCACAGCTGAGGCACCCTCACCAGACGCCCCGGGCGGGCGGACCCCACAGCCGGCGCCACACCCCAGGGCCCCTGTGGCTCACGGGCACCCGGTGCTGGGCACAAGCAAAGGCATCCGAGACCCTCAGCGCTGCCCCACCGAGGCTGCAGCACACGCACCGGCCCTGGCCCAGGCCCGCCGAGCCTGGTCCTCCCAGGGCCGAGCCCGTGAGGCAGAGGCGCCCCCAGAGCAGCTGGTGCGCCACCCAGAAGGTGGCAGTCGCCGGAAGAGAATTACTTACTGGTTACAATTCCAGCCAAGGCGAAAACAAACTGATTTTCATCAGAATCCAGCTCCTTGACATCCCCATCCAGTGACTTCACAAAACTCGCCATTGTTTGACCAGTGATGTGGAAAAACTTCAAAGCTTTATCCTGAAAGTTTGGAAAACACCAGTGTAAAGGTTTCCACGGTCACCAGCATGAAGCATCTCCAAGTGCAGGACACAGAAGTTCCGGCTTAATCACAAAAGCGGTATTTAAAAACCTGTTTATTTGCTAAAAATTCCCATGGAAAAGGCCAGCTAGAAATGGGGGACATGCAGGAAAGCACCCCCAAGGATGATGGGGAGCAAAACAACACGCCCGCGGGGCAGCTCAAGGTTACGCAGTGCTGGGGACAGGGGACTGCACCCAGGCGTGACGCAGCGGTGCCAAGCCTCGCAGCACGGCCTTTCACAGCTCGGGACGACTCACGGGCCTGCGAAGTTCTCCCGCGGAGGGAGGCGGCAAAGCCCCCAGCTATAGTCTGAAGCCAACCTGCCCGCGAACGGCACAGGGAGTGCGGGGTGATGCAAATGTAGGCCGGGACTGCGAGGCGGTTGCACAGCTCTGAGAATCTGCAAAGACCACTCACTGCTCTGCACTCTTCCTGGGGGCTCGCGGCATGTCAGTGACCCTCAGAAAAGCTTACTAAACTTTAAAAGACACATGACGTCTCTCCTCCCAGAGTCAAGCACAATTTTTATGCTACAGCTGCTGAGTCATTTGCCGCCGGCCCCCACCAACAGACCCGGAGGCGGTGCTCCCCGGCGGTGACGGCACCGGCCCCGCCTCAGCCTCAGCCTCCCTGGCTCCTCTGCCCCCTCAGTCATCACGCCATCCTTGTCACCTGCCTCAGGGACCACAGCTCCCCTTTGAAGCTTCCTCTCCCCCCACCCCAGCATCTGCCTGTCCAGCCGCTGCCCCACCATGCCCCTGCTAGCCCTGTCCTCATGCACCATCAGGCTAACCTTCCAGAAAGTCTTCTCTTGTCCTATTACTTTGTGCTCAAAAGCCCTGAGGAATCCTGTCCTGCCACCTACTGGTTAAGCACAGCAACCTGGCCTCTGAGGGCTCCTCACCGCACCCACCCTCCACCCATGTCCGTGCCCCACTTGCGGCCCCACCCCAAGCTTCAAACTTCTCACCCCGCAGCTGATCAGGCCACGTCTCTCCTCTAGGGCTGCTGCCCCATCTCTGCCCCTGCTACCCATTCAGGACACCCAAGGGCCACTTCCAGTCTCCCTGATGTGCGTGCACGTGACCAGCACGCACAATGATGAACGTCACCCACGGGAAGGGCGCGCGGAAGCACCTTAAACTTTGTTAAACATGGGAACCTCAGCTGCGACTACTGCAGTGACACTAGCCACAAACGCTGCAGCCCCTGAGGAAGAAGCGGTCCTGTCCTCCGTGTTCCACGCGCCAGCGCCGCAGTGGTGGGACGCGTGCAGCTGGCCCTCTGAAGCGGCGCGGCGGACTTAAGGCCAGCTGGCGTGCAGGCCCTCACAGCGGGGTCTGCCCCAGGTTACATGAGCCTCGCCCCACGCCCACCAGAGCTGGCGGTGCTTACCCCCCCCAGAATGGCCTTGACCACGTCCTCACTGCTGGAGACACCCCACAGCAGGGTGCAGGCCGCCGCCCCCATCTCCGTGCAGTACTCGGCCTGCTGCAGGAGCTGCTGCTTCGCCTCGTGCAGCTGCTGTCGCAGGGCCAGCTTCTCCTGGAATCAGAACAAGATCAAATCAGAAGAAGGAACACCATTCGACCTTGAAATATCGCTAGTGTTCCCTCTTTCAAAGATTTTTTGTTAAAGAGAAGATATGCACGCAGAATTCTAGAAAAAAGTTGGCAGATGAGGGCCTCCCCGGTGGCGCAGCGGTTGAGCACTGGGTTGCGAAGCTGCCCGCAGCCTCTGCAGTGCCGGTCTGATCCTCGGCTGCTCCCCGGCCACCGGCCTCCCTCTCCTGCCGCCCGCTGCTCCCCTCAGCAGTGTCCTTCGGTCCTTCTGCCTGCTCTGCTCCCCGCTCTGGCTCTGGTGAGTTCTCTCGCCCTCCCGCGCTTCTGACTGTACCCAATGCTGTATAAATAAATTAATTAATTTAAAAAAAAAAAAGTTGGCAGATGAGCTAGTCTTCAGAGATCCATAGTTCGTATTCACAAAGTAAGTCTCGGAAGCAAAATAACGTTCTCAGAAAAGATCCCACTATAGTCCCAGCTTATAAACGCTGCAAGGAGCATCTCGAGGTGAAATGGGGAAGCGAGGCACCCAGGCCCCATCCCGACGCACTCGGGCAGCTCGGCCTCCTGGCGCGGACTCCACCGGGATGCGCCCTGGGCCGCAGATGGGTAAGATGAACAGGTGCCCGAGGGCTCTCAGCTAGGGTGACAGTGAACTGTCCTGCTGTCCCTGAAACTTCTCTTTAAAAAAGCCCTCTCTTCTTCAAATCCTACTTACCAGTGAGAAAAAGAATGACTTGCCTCCTGGTCTGGAGCAAGGCCAGGATGTCCCGCTCACGGCTGGGAGTCACAGACAGCCTAGAAGGTGCGGGAGGCAACACGGGGGCCCGGGCGGACTAGGAGACACAGCAGGCCCGACCTGTGGGTGCCAGCACGGGCCGTGCCAGGCATCTACAAGGAATTCACAGGCCCCCGACCAGGCCGCGGGCACAAGGGCAGTCCACAAAAGCAGCCACGTTTCTGTATTTCTAACAAGAAGAAAAGTGGGATCCAAAGTCTGGAAACTGAACACCCCTGACAACCGCTCAGGAGGGAGCGACCCGCCCGGGCAAGGGGCCAGCAGAGCGCAGGCGGGACGTGCCCCTGGAGCCGCTGGCGCGGGAGCGCAGAGACAGCCGAGGCACGTGACAAGACACGCGCTGTTCAGGCTTGAAAACTCTGCAGGGGTGCAACAGCAATGATCCCCCCCTGCTCTAGAGAGAGAAGACAATCCCTGGCAAAATCCCAGCAAGACACGGAGGCGATCACGCTAAAATGTCTACGGAAAAGCCCAGCAGCCGCTGAGCCCGAGCTGAAGAGGACGAAGTCGGGGGGCACCACGTCAGCACCGAGGCTGCATGGGGCCCCATGATCTGGAGGCGAGGCGCTCGGGGGCGAGGAGACCAGAGGACAGCGAGACCAGAACGAGGACTCAGAAGCGAACCCGCGCAGCCGCCTCTGACGAGAGAGAGGCAACAGGGGAGAGACGGCCTTTCAGCAGAGGGCGCCGGCGGACCGCACGGCCACACGCAGCAGAGGCTCCGAACCGACCTTCACGCCTCAGCAAAAGTGGACTCCAGGGGGCCAGGAACTGAAGTGGACAGCACGGTGACAGAACTCTGTCACGGCGGGGCAAGGAGACTCCTCGGGGCTGCAGCCAGGGGGCGGCCAGTACGACACGGGCTCCCTGTGGGGACAGACACGCGCACACGCCACATGCGAACCCAGGGCCGCGGCTCTGCTCGGGACCGCGGGCGCGAGATGGACAGACGGCGCCGGGCCGGGAGAAACGCCACACGCCACACGCCGGCCCCAGCCAGGCCCTTCGCTCTCCAAGCAGAAAAAGAAATACCCCAGCGGGAGGAGGCGCGGGCCGAGCAGGCCCCCGGAGAGGCAGGCGGCAGGCAGCACACGGAGAGGCTCGCCCGGGGGCGGGGGGTGCGGATTTAAGCCCCGCCTCTCCCCCGGAGGCCGAGGCCGCCGGGCCGCCAGCCTGGGGCCGCCAGCCTGGGGCCGCAGCACCGCAAGACACCCCAAGACACCCCAGCCGCGGGCAAAGCGCTGGGCAGCTTCTCACACATCCGCACGGGGACTTTCCGCGTGGCCTGAGAAACGAAACACGCACTCACACGAACACCGCTGCACGTCCACAGCCCTCACTCGCCACAGTGAAAACCGGAAACCGCCAAACTGCCCTTCAAGGGGTACCTCCGCACCCTGCAAGCCCGCAGCCACGGCTGGCGCAGGCGGCACGGGGGGTCTCAGCCGTCGAGTCCACGGCACCCGGGCACGAGCTGAGCCACCGCTGCGCTTCGTGATACTGCCGAGGGGACAGGGTTACAGAAGCAGCCTTGGCCACCTCCCGGCCTGGGCCGGGGGCAGGCTCGGCAGGGCGGGGGCCGCGCGGGGGCTGGCACGGGAGTGTGCCCGTAGGGGCAGGCCCATGCACGAGCGCGCACACCGGGGAGGCCCGAGCAGGCTCTGCACGTGTGCCGACGTCACTTCCAGCCATTCCCCTCCTGCACTCGAGGGGAGTCCCTTGCTGCCACCTCCTGCGAATCGGTAGTTATTGCAAGAATTTGCCGACCAGCTGGGCCGGGGTGAGGGCTGCAGGACCGCGTAAAAGTACTAAACGCTTTCCAGCTGTACCTTTCCAACAGACGGACTCCGCGGTACAGCAACACGCCCCAGGGACGCTGCTCCCGAAAGGCGACCGAGCCCCGCCGCCCTCGCCGACGCCACGCAACACTCGCGCGGTGTCAAGCACGCGGCTTTCACGAGTCCTCCAAAGGCTTCCCACGCCCGTCCCCGACGTCACCGCACCAACTGCACCGGCGGGTCGGCTGCTCCACACGTCCGCGAGAGAGCAGCCGCGCTTTCCCACCTGAGAGGCGGGCGAGGGGCGGGCCCCGCGGAGCCGGGCCGCTGGCCGGGGCGGGCTCTGTGAGCCGACAGCAGGGAGCAGGCACCCCAGGTCGGGACGGCCACGCCTGCTCCCCACAGCGCTCACGGCGAAGCCGCTTGTGGCCAGGGCTGGCTCACCCACGGGTGGGGCGGGGCGCCCGGGGACACCCCGCCGCGGCGCTTCAGGAAGCCTCTGCCAGCCTCCGCGGACCCGCTGTGCCCCTCGAAAGGCGGTGCTAACCTCCCCCTGAGCTCGCCCGTGCCATGGGAGCAGGAACCCTCCCTCCCTTGAGGTCAAAGGTTGCCAAAACCAGACTCCTGGGTGGCTTCCCATCCCCCCAAGGTCACGGGCCTGGCCAGCTGACAAGGTTGGGTCCGCCCCTGAGGGCGCTGCGCTGGGCAGGGCGGGAACGGCGCCCCCTTGGCCCTTGCCCTGGGCTCTCGGCCTCCAGCACAGACGAGTTTGCTCTCTACTGCTCCCCTACAGCCGGACGCTCCCCCAAGGATGTCGCCCCCCTCGGGAACTAACTAGCCCTTGCCTGATTTCAGGAACTGGTCCTGGGGTTCCTCCCTGGCGGCTCGACTCTGACACCAGCTTCCGGAGGCCCGCCCCCTGGCCTGGCCAGACCTGCGCGGAGCGCAGCAGAGGCCGGGGACTGGCGGCGGGGAGCAGAAGCCCGTCACAGGCAACGGCGGGGCTCCCCTCCACGTGGCGGGCAGAGCTACCGCACAGGAAGCGCGACTGGAAATAGGAGACAGTTACACCAATCTAGCCCCCCGCTCCCACCAAGGTCACATGTCAGGGCGGCACGTGTGGCGCCAGAGCGCTGTGCCAGCAGCGACGCTGACTGTCGAGCACGGCAACACCCTGTTCAGTGACGCGTCAGCCTCAGCCGGCACGCCCAGCAATGGGGGGGGGGGGGAGCACAGACCCAGAGAACCGCCTCGTCAGCACCGACCCCAGGCCTCGCCGCCGGGGTCAGCCTCCTTTAGGACACGCGTGGACGCAAACGAGCCAGAGGGACGCTCGTGACAAGGCTAAAATGCAGCTTTCAACATGTGACGCTCAGCCTGACTGAGTTTTGAGCCGAACTTTCCCTCAGACCTTTCCCGCGGGCTCAGCACTGAAGTCTGCACAAAGCCCGCCGGCTGGGGAGGCCCGTCGCGCCCACCGACGCGCAGGTCCCGTCACACAAGGTGGCGCGAGACAGCGAGCGCAGCACACCCTGGCCCAGCTGAGCTCCTGGGCGTGAGCAGCCCCTGCCGGCCGGGGGAGCGGCTTCTCCAGGCTGCTGACATCATGAAGGTTTGTATTTTGGAAGTCTCTTGCTCATCTATTTACTTTAACCATTTATTTCATTATTCACTTAGCGACTGCATAGAAGACCTGGGGTGCAGGCCAGAGTGGTGGGGGTGAGAGGACTCCCCAGAGACAGAGTGGGGAGCAGAACTGGCGGATCTGTTGAAATCCACTGCTGCTCCGCGGCACCCCCCCCCCCCCCCCGCTGCCGACAGGAGAGGTCTGCGGCGCCCATGGGCTGGCGCCCTGGCCAGGGATCACCTGGCCGCAGCGGTCGCTGCCTGAGACGAACCTTAGGCCACCCGAGGGGCTGTCCTGTCTTTTCACTGTGAAGACTCACCGTAGGTGGCCACTGAAAGGCTGCGCGCGACTCCCCACGGCAGCGGGCTGTACCGTGCCAGCGCGCACCCCTGCGGCAGGCACCCACCTGACGCGCTGGGGGCTGGAGCTGCCCGCCCCCTCCCACCCCCCCACCCCCCGTGGGCCGCGCCGTGCTCCTACCTTCCTCTCGCACACGCTCTCGGCCTGCATGGACTCCAGGCGGGCTCTCAAGTGCTCACAGTCCGTCCGCAGCTGCTCGAGTTCTTGCTCTTTTCTTTCCAAGTCTAGAGGAGAGAGAGACAGACACCGTTTCCCACCATGCACCTCTCCCAGCGAGCTGCTCTGCCTGGTCTGCTCCGAGGGGGACCCGATATGACTTTTCAGGCAGGGGAGGATGGCCAGTCCTGGACTAGCCAATGTCCTCGAAGCCCAGTTTTTCAGTTTGTCAGCAGCGCGTAGCCCACAGCAGGAAGCACTGTTTTGGTGGTTTCTGTTGTAAGACGGCGCCTCGCCGCCAGACCGGGCAGGGCCGCAAAGCCCGACTGTCAGGCGCAGACTTGTATCTGCTCCAGGACAAGCACAGGGCAGCTCCGGGGGGGCGGTGCCAGTGGGGTGATTCACTAAGGCCGCTCAGGCCCGGGGCGAGCCTCATGGAGCAGCTGCAGCAGCAGTGGTGGGTGCAGAAGAGGCTGCAGAGGAAGGGCCCGTGGACAGGCGCTCTCGCCACGGGCACTCGGGTGCCTCAGACACGCAGCAGAGGCCCCAGCCAGCCAGTCGCACTCATCGGCAAGCTGCGGGATCATCGCCCTTAAAGAGATCACGCCACAGAAACGCTCACCGTCAAAAAGCAGAGGGCGCGGAATTCAGAATCCCAAGGGCCAGGAACCCTGCCTTGGCACTGGCAGCTCCCAGGACCAGAGGCCCCCCGGCGCCAGCCTGAGGGCAGTCTCGAGCTGTCACACACCGCCAGTTCCCAAGGACCAGCTCGGACAGGGGCAGCCGCCTGGTCCTCAGTCGGCCTGGGGGCGCTGGTCAGCTTTGGGGGGGGCTGTTGGTGTGGGAACAGGCTTCCAAGAGCGGCCTGGTCTCACACTCACAAGACTAGCCCATGCAAAGGCAGCGGAAGAAGGAGGGCGCCCGCCACAGCAGTGGGGCAGGGTGGAGAGACGGGGAGCAGCCTGCAGGGCAGTTCACAGCAGAGCCTAAAAGCCACACGGCCCCACCAGAGAAGCGCCCAGTGTACCCGTGGGTGGGCAGAAGGGGCGCAGCTACGACCTGGGGCGCAAAGGCCAAGACATCCAAGTAAGAAACTCAAGGGGCTGCCAAGAACCACCCAGCATTCCAAGAGCTCCAGAGGGATAAAGGACACCCCTGCAGTTTCTGGGGGCCCTCTGCCCTGGAAGGCCAGAGCCACAAGCTGACTGTTCAGCTGCAGACCGTGAGGCCGCTGGCAAAGCTGCTCTTGAGATGTGTAACCTGCGTCACCTCTTCCCTGAAGCCGCCTTCCCTCCCCGCCGTGCCGCGCCCGCCCCGGCTGCCCGGACTGGCCGGCGCTCTGCCCTGCAGGCCAGCTACCGGTCTCGGCAGCGTCAGGGGAAGCACGCTGTGTGCATGCACACGCGCCACTTCCATTTTATGCGGCACGTGCACTGCACATAAAAAATGAAAAAAAGGAACTAAAATAAATTTGCTCGCTATTATCAAACCGCACTCCTCAGAGTCAGGACAGGAAATGACACGCCTGCCAGCCCCGCGCCATGCCAACACCAGCGGGGGTGGGTGCGGTCTCCCGAAGACCTCTGGCTGTGCCCATTTCCTCATCTCTCCGCCCCCACCCGTCTCGATGCCCAAGGGCTCCAGCAGGAGCGCAGGCTAGAACGCCCCGTCACCGCCACCCCCAGGATTCAGCGTCCGCTTAGGAGCGCGCCCCGCTCCCGCTGCGGCCTTCCCGCGGTGGGAGGCCCCGCCTTGTGGCCAGATGGGGCACTGCAGCCCTCCTAGCAAAGCCCGCCGGGCCGGCACGGGTCCTCACGCGGGGACACCCAAAGGCCCAGGAGGCAAGGGCAAGTGGCACATAAAGGCATTTCGCTTCCTCACACGCTCCTGCTGCGCCCTGAAGCGCGCGGCCACGCGAGCAGGTCTCACCCTGTGATGAGCTGCTTTCGCAGGTGTCAGAAAGAACAGGCACCGAGAACGTGGACAGCGACCGGTGCGCTGTGTCCAGCCGCGACGGTCCTCCCAGCCTCAGGCCAGGCCAGGGCAGGGGCGGCCGCCAGCAGGTCTACGTCAGGCGCTCAGCTCGGGCCCAACAGCTACCGCTAGTAATAAATCAACCCTTTCGCGTTAGTGAAAAATACTTGCTTCTTGATCAAAATAGCTAAGGATGAGTCTCAAGTCCAAAAGAAAGGCTTTTTAGTCATTAAATGTTACCGGCTTCTCGAACAGGTGTAGCAAGGGCTAGGGCCAGCTGCTGCTGGCGGCCTCTGGCCGGGCAACACGCCCTAATGGAGCACTCATGCCGGAGGCTCAGAACCTGAGGGGCCCGCGAGGGCAGAAATCAAGGCGGCAGCAGGGCCACGCCCCTCGGATCTCTAGGGGAGGGTCCCTCCCTGTTCCAGGTCTGGAACCCCTGGTGGCCCTGGCTCTACGGCAGTGCAACCCTCACCTTCGCGGGCCTTCTCCCTGTTTCTTCAGCACCCGCCCTCTGCACTGAAGGGCCAGCAAACACTAAGGGCGATCTCGCTGCACCCCAGGACCCTGGGCCAAGGGCTCTGCCCTGCCCTCACCGGTGCTCGGGCGCGATGTGAACATTCACGTGGTCAGGAGCGACAGTTACGTGACCCATGTGTCTGCCCTCCCGCCATGGCTCCCTTCCCGCCGCCTCTGTCCACTGCCCTGTAGGTCCACTGTCTTCTTCCCCACCCCCAGGGACCACAGACAGTCTCATCCCCTCTCCACCCTGTAGAGGCTCACCCGCCTCCACCAAGAGGCTGAAATCAGCATCTCGGCAACCAGACATCCTCGGGGGGCTTCCTGTTGGTCGAGGCAGGCCCACAGGACAAGAGGACACTGAAGCTGAACGTAATGTTCCCAGGCCTCGCCCTCGCCGGGATCCAGGCCAGCAGTCACTTCCCCGAGTTGAGGCCAGGGTCCCATGAGCCGACAGGGCAGCAGCACTCCACTCCCTAGTTTCTGGAACCCCTCTCCTGGCGAGTCCCCAACGCCTGCCTCATCTTTGCCCGTCTCCTCACGCGTCTGCTGTGGGTGCTCTGGTATCGGGTCTGCTGGAAACGGCGGCTAAAGCCAAGGTAGGTGGCAGCCCCTGGAGGGGGTGCTGGTAAGGATTAACAAGGATCACATTTGGGGTGGAGCGACTGATAAGAAATACAAGGGGCTGCAGAAGAAACCGTGGAGTATCCAGTGTTCCGGAGTCAATGTTTCGGATTCAGAAGGCTGTTGCGGGCCTCGGAAGGTGGAGGCCTCCAGCAGCCAAGCTCACAGAGGTAAATTTCAGAGGCTTTGCAAACAGCCAAGTGACTGAAATTGTTCCCAATTTTGCTGTTGTCACAGTCTGGCAGGGAAGGCAAAGACCTGGAGCCAAGCGCCTCGCTGAGCTGCCTGAGTGTGGCGGTTTGTCTGGTCATTTGGCCGCGGCAGCTGTTTTGCGTGTCACTGGTCTGGTGCTGTGCTGGGGCTTCTCGGCAGCTCCGGGAGCATCTCCTTTGTGTTTTCTGTTGTTTTCGTGAGTTGGAGCCCGGCCTAGAGTCTGGCTGCCACATGTCAGCAGAGGCACGAAGACATCATCTTCGACATGTGGCCTACTGTTGGGGAGAGGAGCTCCGCGTCCTCAGTGGCGGGAAGACGCCATCTTAGCTGCTTTTATTTAGGACTTTAAAACACTGGACACTGCTTCAGGTGAGGTGAACAGCCATTTTTGGTCTCAGTAACTCTGTTTTTCCTTAGTTTGTTAAATCCAATTGTTCTCTAAGCCTGCACAGTCTTGCAATTACATGCACAGGTGAAGAACTCAGTGAGCAGTAAAGTATTTGGGCAGTGTCCTTGGCCAGTTCTAGTGCCCCTTGCTGCCCTGTATCAATGTGGGCCATAAAAGCCTCTGCTCTCTTCCTGGTGACTCTAGGGCGACTGCTGCTGGATGTCCCTCTAGTTCACGTTTCCATGAGCCAGAAGTGGGGGTTCTGCTCTGAGCTGACAGAGGGTCCCCTCTCTTCTCACCAACATCAAACCCTTGGAATTTATTGCAAAACACCCCATGAGCACTTCAGAAACCATGCAGTGCAGGGCTCTCAACCCCCACTGCTAAGAACTGGAGAGAGCCCAGGGAAGCAACAGTTCTGTAAACCACGAAATTTTCATTCTATTTTAAATTTTTTATTTGGTATTAACTTACAACTTATAAAAGTGTGTAAAAATAATACAAAGAATGCCCATACACCCTTACTTACTGTGGACATCTTACCACATTTCACATTTGTTCATTTGTACCACACACAGTATTTCTTGAGCCATCTGAGAGAAACTTACTCCTAAATGCTTCAGCTGCGTATTCCCCGAGGATGCAGTGTTTCTCACCCATACACAGTTCTCAGCTGCGGGGTAAATGAAAACGTTCAGGCTTTTGCACCATGGGCCTCTGTGATTATCACGTACTGGCCCTGAATGCAGGAGGTACTTGGGACCGTGGGTGCAGGGCATGCGGCCCTGATGGTGGACACCTGGAGTATGGGGTGGGCACGCAAGTGGGCATACCTGAGCCTAGAAGTTGAGCACAGAAGGGGGGAGAGGGCGGCAGAGTGCAGCATTGAGCGGCTACAAGATGACGAGCCTCTGAGAGAATGTCAGAGGGAGCACAGAGTGTGAAAAGCTGGACGAGCACCTCACACACTGGGAGCAGCGGCGCCACAGAAAGGGCCAGAAACAGCTTTCCGTAAACTGTGTTGAGAGCGACGCCAGGACAGCACAACCCACACGAGGAGGGGTGGCTGCTGGGCAGAGGCCCCTATAATTGCCGACTCGGGCAAATTCAACACTGGGGACCCTGTGGTAAGGGGGTAAGGGGGTGACAGCCCTGGGTAAGGGGGTGACAGAGCTGACGTGAGGACAGAGGGGATGCAGAGCAGGGTGACTGGCTTGAGCCTGAGCCATTAGAGAGCAGCAGACTGGCCCGCTTGGGTCTCCTCACGGAAGAGGCTACCCTCAAGTGAGTGCTTGAAAACATTTAAAAGAGGGCCTCCCCGGTGGCGCAGCGGGTTGAGCGCAGCTCTACTAAGTGGTCTGCAGCCTCTGCAGCGCCATTTCAATTCCCGGCCGGCCAGGGAGATTGCCGCAAGGCAGACCTCTCCTACCTCATCTGCTGCTCCCCTCAGCAGTGTACTTTGGCCCTTCTGCTGAGTACCTCTGCCGGCTCTGCTCCCTGCTCTCTGGTGGATTCTCTTACCCGCCCATGCCTCTGGCCTGTACCCCAGCTCTTGTACAAATAAATCTTTTGGAAAAAGAAAATCCCATTTAAAAAAAAAGAGGGGCCTCCCTGGTGGTGCAGTGGTTGAGCGCTGGGTTGTGAAGCTGCCCGCAGCCTCTGCAGTGCCGGTTTGATCCCCGGCCACTGGGTGAGAGTCCCATATGGCGCACAGACCTTTCCTGCCACCCGCTGCTCCCCTCAGCAGGGTATTTTGTCAGTCTGGCTGTTCTGCTCCCCGCTCTGGCTCTGGTGAATCCTCTCACCCTCCCGCGCTTCTGACTGTACCCAGTGCATGTATAAATAAATAAATCCTTTTTAAAAAAGAAAAAGGAAAGAAAATATTTACAACACCCGCCACTCCCATCCCAGGGCTAAAACTAAGACGGCAAACGACCCCCGCATAAACCAGGGTGTAAACACCTGCCAATAAGCGGCAAACACCCCCTGGTTAAGCCCAGTGCTGGAAAAGGAAGAGCGACTCCCTGCCCACGGCCCGAATGAGCTACAGCCCACACCGGCACTGCACTGAAGGCTGGAGAACAGCCCGGGTGCGGCAGACACAGACAAGCTGAGGAGGGGATCCTTGTGGCCACACAGTTCTGGAAACCACAGCGCACAGGAGGAAGCCTGAATCCCGGGTGCTCACTGAGGGAGCCCTTGACCTTTATCTGAAGACCAAAGAGAAGCCGCTGAAGGTTCACGCGGGGAACAACGCGCTCAGACAGAAGAGTAAAAGTCACGCGCACAACCAGCAGGGATAGTCGGGAGTGGCGAGGGCTGGGCCCCAGGAGGCAGAGGCTGGGCCTGGGGGTGGCAGTGCCAATGAAGGGAGCTGGTGAAATGAGGTACAGGGGGCAGGAATAGGTGTGCTCAGTGAGGAGGTGGGCCACCGGGATGCCAGGCTCTAGTCTAGATGGCGCTGCCCGGAGACCGAGGCAGCCAGCCTGGGCGGGGCAGAGCGAGAGTCTGACAGCAAGCAGCAGTCTGCTGAGGCGGCGAAAACCCACCCGGCGCATCAGGCTGGGCTGGAGGGGCAAGCGGAGCCAGAGGCCAAGTTAACAGGAGACAATACCCATCCCGAGGCCACGCTGCAGCTGTGAGCTTCACGCCAACCCCTTCCTTGCGCGCGCAGCCTTGTCACTCAGAGCAGGCTCGTTCTGTAAACCCACGGCCCCGAGAAACCCGCTGTCCGGAATCCAGGCGTCAGGAGGACTCGCCTCTCGCCAGTGGGTCCAAGCCCCGTGACAAGGCGCAGCGGGCTGTGCAGCTCCAGGAGGGTTTCTCCACCTCCAGGCCTGTGCTGGGAGCCTTCAAACCCCTCCCCCGGCGCCTCACCGACGTCCACCCCGCTAGACCCCGGAACAACCTGGCCTGTCCTGGGCTGGCAAGACCCCCCAGCCCCCGGGTGCGCGTGTCCTTGCTGTGCGGCCGGGAGGCTGACCCTGCCGCTCCTTCCCGGAGGCTGCGGACGACGGGCCGGGACCGGGAGTGAAGGTGAAGCGAGTGAGTGAACCGCGAGCAGGAGACGCAGGCCCCGGAGCCTGCAGAGAAGTGGCCGGGGCTCGATGCCTCGGCAGCGGGACGGCAGCGGGGCCCTCCCCGAGGGCGGCGGACGCCCGCGCACAGCCCAGAGCCGGGTCTTGGCCGGGCGGCACGTTCACCTGCGGGCCCGGAGCCTCGCCCCAGAGGCCCGCCGCGTGGCCCGCAGCGCGGCGGGGGCACGAGGCCGCCTCCACGCGGGTTCCTCAGCGCCGCCGCAGGTGGCTGGGCACGGCCGGGCGCCCGGCCTCGGCGTCGGGTCAGGAGCGCGCGAAGGGCGCGAGCCCGGCGCCCCGGCCGCGGGGAGACTCACTTTTCTCCAGAGTCCGCAGCTTCGGGCCGCCGCCCAGCGCCTCCCCGCTCAGCAGGCGCGGCAGCGCGTCCCGGGCCTGCGCCACCTCCGCCGCCAGCCGCGCCAGCTCCGTCTTCCGGACCCGCACGAACTCCTCCTCCGCGGCGCGCGCCGGCTGCTAGCACACAGGCGGGCTGGGCCGGCTCCTCCCGGGGGCGAGCCCAGCCCGCGCGGGGACCCCCGCCCCCCCCGCCGGTCCCCGGGGCCGTCCGTGTCCACCGGCCCGACGCGGGCGCCCGGCAGCCCCCGCCGCCCCGCGAGGCCCCGACACCAGCGGCCGGACCGCGACGGGACCCCAGGCCGAGGCCGGCGCCCCCGGCCCGCCCCGCCCCGCCCCGCCCGCCCCTCACTGACCCCGCGGGCCTCCTCGGCGCCGCCCGCCTCGCCCATGGCGCCGCCCGCACGCCGGAAAGCGCGGGCCCCGACGGCGCCTCCTCGCGCTGCTGCGGGCCGGTGCTCGTCGCTGGCTGCGGGGCGGGGCGGGGGCGGGGTGAGGCCGTGCGCGGCCCCGGGGGTCCCCCCAGCCCGGGCTCCCGCGCGCTCCCGACGGGCGGCCTCGGCTGGCGGACGCCCCGCCCGGGCCCCGGGGAGAGCCCCCACCCGGCGCAGCCGCACGCGCCGCCCCGCCCCGCCCCGCAGGGCCACAGGCCGCCCCCCCCCCCGCGCCCGGCCCGCACCCCAGGCCCCGCCCGCCCCGGGCCCGCGTCGCTGGAGAGCGACGCCCGCAGGCCCGGCCCGTCCTCGCCGCCCCCCGGCGCCGACGCGCTCGACGGCGCGGCCCTTCCCTTCGCGGCCGGCTGCCGGCGGGCGCCCCGCGGGGTCCGGGCGGCCGGGACGGGCCCCCGCTGCCCCCGGCCGCGCCCGGCCCGGCTGACCTCGCCTCAACGGCCGGGGGCCGCGCCGAGGCCGCCGAGGCGACGCGGACGCGGGTCGGGTCGGGCCGCCCCGCCCACCCGGCGCCCTTGTGACGTCCTCGCCGCGCGCCGCCGGCTCTGCGCAGGCGCGGCGGGAGCGCCGGAGGCTGCCGCGGCCGCGACGGCCCCGCCATGCACCCGCCCGAGCTCCAGTTCGCGCAGCGGCTGGCGTCCCGCGAGAGGGGCGTCCGGGAGCGCGCGGCGCGGAGGCTGCGCCAGTACATCAGCGCCAAGACGCGGCGGGAGGCAGGTGGGCGCCCCGGGCCGGCGGGCGGCGGGCGGCGGGCGGGCGGGCGGGAGGGCCGGGCCGGGAGGGCCCCCTGGGCCGCGGGCCCCCCTCACGGCCCGGACTGTGTGGGGCCGCTGAAGCCGCGGGGCGCCGGGCCCGCCCGGGACGGCCCCGGGGCTCCGGCGCTCTCCAGCCGGGGCCTGCGGGTCTGGGGCTCCGGGGCGAAGACCGCCCGGCGTGGCAGCGCCTGCCCGAGCGGAGCTGGGGGCAAAGAGGTCGCCAAAGCGGAGCCGGTGTCCGAGCAGCAGAGTGAACGAAAGCCCCGCGAGGAGGGAACTCTCTGTTAGCTGTCCGGGAAGGTCCCTCCGGGGCGATGCTCAGCACCCCCAAAATGGGCGGCGGCGAGGGCAGAGCATGCCCGAGGAACAGCGGGGAGACCGGCAAGTCAGGGGGGGCGCCAGTGTCAGACCACGAAGTCGGGGCGTGGGCACTGCCGGGCCGCACCAGGCTCTGTAGTTGGGCTTGAGCTGCAGTGGGAAGGAGCTCGCTCACCTGTGGGGATCTGCTCCGTGACCCCCTGGGCCAGCGCATCAGCAGAGGGTTTCCGTGGCACCGAGACAGCGCAAGCTTGACTGACTTTCGTTTACTTGAGAGAACAGACGGTGTCTGTCCCTGCACCAACGTTCCTGCTTTTACAGTGAAGGGAAATCACAAAAGACTATCTTAGGGGTATGTAATAAAGTGCAGTTTTATGGCAGATGTGCTGGAAAAAGGAATAAAACCAAAATTCCAGACTTCAATTCTGTTAAGGTACCCCCTGAGAGATTTGAGTTACTCGTGGGGTTTCAGGTACCCTGTTGGTGCTCACGGTTCTTAGACCTAAATCTGCTGCTTTTGGCTCAGATGCATCCTAGCAGCCCAGCCCGGTGCCAGCCTGGCATCTCTCCCTGGGTGTCCCACAAGATTGCAGGCTCCAGATCCCCAAAAGTGACTTATTTTTTACCTCCCCAAAATCTGTCTTCTGCTGCCCCTCTGCACTGTCGTTTTGGTTGCTGATTTCCACCATCCCCTCAGACTCCCAGCTGGACACCTGGTGGTCTCCTGGCCTCGTCCTGTGCCCACCCCCACCCTGCGTCTACTGTCCTTTGATCCTACATGACTATCTCCTGAGTTAATCTGCCTTGTTCCCCCACTGGGTTTCTGCACTCACTTCCTGCCTCATGCCCTCACTGCATGTGTGCCCCCTGAGCCCGTTCTCCACAGGCCAGCGCAGCCTCCTGAGACCCCAAGCCCATGCCCTCCCCTCCTCAGCCCTTGTGTGGCTGCTTTCTGCTCTGCTAGGGCCACTGCCATTGTGGTCATGGTCTTCATGATACCATTTCACCCCCTCTGCCTTTGTTTCTCCTAATCCCACCCTTAGTCCACTCCTAGCATTTCGGGTCAAGAAACCTTCCTGGTTATCCCTGCTCAGCTCTCTAGGGCCTGAGACACCCCTTATGTCTCGCTGCAGCCCGTAACGACCCCGCTTCCCCATTTCCTGTCCATGTAGCGTTCTCCCTCCTGTCTGTTTTCCTCGCCTGCTGGGGGCACAGCTAGCATAGGAGGGTTTTGCTGTTGCTCACACCCCTCAGCTGAGCAGCCCAGCACACGGGCCGCGGAGGTGATCCCGGACGTGACACCAGTGAGTTTATAGCAGCCCTAGGCACCTGTCTGCCCGCACCCATCCCAGCTAGCGTCGCTTGCTCGTTCTTCTTGTCCCCCCATACGTGCATGGAACAGAAAAGCGGCTCTTCAAAGCAGTAACTGCCACGGACAGGGAATGATAGGACACATAGGCAAGGTCTCCGCGACAGCTGCGCTTGTCAAAATCAGAGTCCCCGTGTGGAGACAGCCTCGCTTGCCGTCTGACTCGCGAGTGGTCTTCGGCTAGGAGAGGCGGCCTGAAATTGGCTAGACCATCCAGTCGTCCATCCGCCTCACACACAGCTTGGAGGCTTTAAAAACAGTTGGGGGTCTGTATTGCGTACACGTTGCTCTGCCTACCTGTGCTTTCCCCGTTGGTGTCGAGTAATGACTGCTGTCCGGGGCGTAGCTCAGGGCCCACTTATCTCCATTCATTCGCCGCTGGGCAGATGCTCGCTAGTGCCTGCGGCGCCGTGCCCGCGCGAACTCGGCGCCCAGCTGACGGCAGGACGCAAAGCAGATGAAAATCCTGGCTCAACGTTGAACAGCCACCACCTTGGGCCAGCGTGTGACGGGCGCGCTTGCACTCTTGCTTGCTGCGGGCGGCACGGAAGCGAGCAGGGCCTCTTCCCGCGGGGGGCGTCTCGGGTGCAGCGGAGGGGATGGCAGTGGGGGCCCAGTAGTTACAGTGCCTTGGAGCTGCGGCTGTTCTGGCTCCGCTGTGGATTTGGGTGGACCCTTCATCCCCGAACACAGGCCCTGTTCTCATTCGGGCGAGGGCCGCTGTGGAGTTGCCTCGTTTCGGAGCTCTCGGGCCCCGCGCACGCCTCGCTCGCCTCCCGCGTCTGCAGGCGATGTCAGAGGCCGCTGAGGACGGGCTGCTTCGTGGCTTGGTCTTCGGGCTGTGAGGGGCGAGACAAGATGTTCTCTGTTGCTTTCCTCTCTGGCTGCTCTTTCCGCACCACCGTTTCCTGCCCTGGGCGGCTCCGAGCCTCCGCGCGGCGGCCCGTGTTTCCTGCGGCCAGCCTGGGCGCGACAGGTCTCTTGGACCCGCGGTGGGTCTCGTGCCCGGAGAGCCCTGGCACGATGGGGTCTGTGCCGAGTGATCAAAATAAAGTGAACTTCGGAAAACAAAACTGCAAGATGGTTTCTGTTTTGCTTTAAATGCTTCCGTTCCTGGGTAAAAACAACTGATTTTGTGCACACGTTGAAAGGAGACTTTTGAAAGGAGGGAAGTTTCAGGCACCTGTGGGTGGAGACCAGATAGTCTTCACAACTGTACCCACGCCTGGGCAGTGCCCACCTTGCCCGCGCGTCCCGCCTCCTCTCCACCCCACCCCCGAGACCTCACCCCCATAGCGAGGGCGCCAGCTGACGTCTGGCTCCGCACAGCACACAGCGGGTTGGAGCTGGGGCCTCACCAAGGTCCAGGGCCTCGCAGAGCTGAGGCAGCAGGTCCCTCGCCTCGCTCCCTCGCTGCCCTGTGCCAGAACCTCCCCCACCCCAGGTAGTGAACTTGCCCTCGGGGCTGCTTGCCACGTCCCCCCAGCCTCGGTGGAGAGCGCTTCCAATGAGGGAAACTGCCCCATAAATGATAACTGTGGCCAGGAAGAAGAGTGGTCAGGGCCCAGCCCAGTGGGACCCGACAGCAGGAACCTTCCGCGGTCATTGCAGCAACGGTGTCCCCGAGCTTTGCCACTTCCCCGGGGCCCTTGGATCTTGGGCTTCGACACCCTGCCCAGAGGCCCATGTCCTCATGGGGTGGCGCGCTCGCCCTTGGGAGTGGGGTGCCGGGGCCTGGATTTTGCATCTTTTGAAGGCTTTATGGGTTTACTTTGCAACGGGTTGAGAATGTTGGTGTGCAGTGCTAGACCCTTGAGGGGCCGCGTGCCCCAGGTGTGTCACGTGCTGTGGTGGCCACGTGCTTGCTCTGTCCTGGAGACCCAGCGCCGGCACAGCTCCATCCCCGCAGCAGGCGGCCTCCTGCCGTGGGCGGTTCTTGCTGGACGGGGGTGAGGACTCAACATTTCTGTGCTGTTTTGCCTTCTAGGAGGTTTCAGTCAAGAAGAACTTCTAAAAATATGGAAAGGACTTTTCTATTGCATGTGGGTGCAGGATGAACCCCTTCTCCAGGTAACGTTGGTCCCCCGTCACAGGACTGGCTTCTAGGCGCAGGGGAGCGCCGGCCTGCGTTGCGTCAGCCGTGGCCCGCTCACACGGGAAACGTTCTCCTCGGAGTCCGCGCTCGCCGCACCTACCGCTCGGGAGGCGTCCCGGTGCCCATCGAGCGGCCTGTTCAGGTGGCGGGCGGTGCGCTAAGCCAAAGGTTCTTACCTCGCCTGCTTTCCTGGGCCCGCCCCCCGTGATTTTAAGGTGATGTTAAGGTTTCCGTGTCTCCCCTCTGTTGTCCAGCGTGTGCCAGGGAGGTGGGCCGGGCGCCCCCTGCTGGCAGGGTCTGTGTAGGCCCGCGGGGGGCCCCCTCCTGACAAAGCCCCCTTGTGGGGGTGGCGGCGTGGCGTGCAGACCCCACCTGCCCAGCCCCCGAGCCTGCCAGCAAACACTTGAAGCATGCAGCCTCCCTCTCTGAAAGGCCGTTCTGGGTGCAAGCAGGTGGTGGCCAAGTGCAGCCTGGAGCGCCTGCGGGGCCCTTGGGTGCACTCGCCACGGAAGGGAGTTTGCTTGTCTGGGTTTGTTGCGCCCTCATCCCTGTAAAGACTCGCTGTCACTGAACATACTGTGAGTAGGAGAACAGAGCCAACATTGGTAAATCGCTTTCAACAGTGACAACCCACAGCTTTGGTGGAGGAAGGCTCAGATGATGAAGCATGGCTGTCGAGCCTGGGGGTTCACTACCTGGGGGGAAGGGCTCTCACAGGGGATGTGACCAGGTGTCCCCGCCCCTGTGCTCTGTGACTGCCCAGAGTCCTCCTGTGGATGCCCCCCAAGGCAGTTTCTTAGCAGCCCAGGGCCCTGAATTCTCCCCCAGTGAGCTGCCAGGACGTAACTGTCAGCAGCACTTAGGCCCAAGGCGAGAGCCCGAGGGGTGGCGTGGCCGTGGCTCCCAACGCCCGGGAATGGGGGCAGGACTCCAAAACCGTGGTGATTCCAGCATGTCTCTTTCTCTGCTCTTTTGGGTGTTACAGAATCACAGTTTAAGTCATACCGTGTTTTGAAAGCAGTCATCGGCAGCTCATTGATTTCTAATGTGGGTCATTTGAACTGATAACTGGAGGCCCTTTTAAATACGCATCTTAATTCTTCAGGGCCTCCCTGGTGGCGCAGGGGTTAAGTCTCAGCACTGGTAGCCACTGTGGCTTGAGTTCGATCCCCAGCCAGGGAGTGACCCTGACAGACCTCTCCTGTCTCCCGCTACTCCCCTCCGCAGTGTATTTCAGTAGATCCGCCTGTTCTGCTCCCCACTGTCTCTGGTGAATCCTCTCACCCCCCCCCCCGCATCTCTGGCCTGTACCCCAGTTCTCGTTTGCATAAATAAATAAAAATGAATCTTCAAAAAAAAACCCCAATTCTGAGAGGCATAAAAGCCCATTGAAATTGGAGTTTCTCATCTGATGAAATTCAGATGCTCCAGTACACACTTGGCGGTGGACGTGGCCATGCAGCCCCCACAGGCCTGGGGGAGCACAGGCGTGCCACTGCCTAATAACCCGAGTTTCTCCCAACCCGCCTTGCAGGAGGAGCTGGCAGTCACCATCTCCCACCTCGTCCACGTTGTCAACAATTTGGAGGCTCGTAAGTCCCAATACTTTGACTTCAACCCTCCTTGCACTCCGGCCATGGCACCTCGCCTGGGCGGGCAAGTCCTGCTGCTGCTCCTGCGCTTCCAGGCTGTCCTGGCGCTCGGGCTCCTGGTGCGGAGCTGTGGGGCGGCCTGTGCGGCGCAGACCGTGCCCGGCATGGGCACCTGTGAGGGTGCCGGGGGCCTTGGGGGTTAGCGTCTGCCACCTTAAAGATTTCAGAAATCTGCTTAAATGGCGGCCCTCCAGGAGCGCCAAGGTCTGGGTGACTTGGACACTCCAAGGCAGCACGAGCCATGTCCACAGGCGCCCGGTGTGGCCGCCTCACGACCAGCGCCACCAAGGCCGTCCCTGGCGTGTGGGCTAGGCCCTTCCCCACCAAAGGGATGGGGAGTGCGAGTCGCCCCGCTCCGCCTCCTTGCGGGGGCGGGACAGGCCCAGAGGCGTCTTCTGCCTCCCTCCCACTCCTCGGGGCCCAGACTGGCCAGGGGCTGTGTCCGCTCTGACGAGGGAGGGCCTGCGCATGAGGAAGGCGTCAGAGAGACAAGTGGGGTCCAGTACAGTGAGCAAACAGATGTCATTTCTGGATGGGAAGGTGCTAGCTCCTGGGCTCAGAAGGGAAGGAGAGGGTGCTACGCCCAGCCCCGGGCTGACACCAGCACGAGACGACGACCGGCCGCCAGCGTGGCGCGCCCGCAGACATGGCTCAGGGAGTCGCCCAACCTGGGCAGAGACCAGCCGGGCAGGTGACCTGCTCCAGAGCCTTCTCCTTGAGCGTTAAGCTGGCACCCGCCCGCCTGGTGCTTTCCCTTGACTGGGCACAGGCATGCTGGGCCTCACTTATTGACCAGGGGTGCCAGCTCCCATGATGCTCAGGGGCAGCAGTAGAGAGCCCAGTGATGCTCCCTTGGCTGCACTGGCTTTGGGAGGGGCCCGCGCTCAGGCCTTTCGTTCCCTGCAGAGCACCTGTTCCTGCAGACCTTCTGGCAGACCCTGAACCGTGAGTGGGCAGGGATCGACAGGCCACGCCTGGACAAGTACCACATGGTGAGGCCGGCCTGGCGGCCTGTCCCGTCCGCGCTCGTGGGCTGGTGGGGGGCTCACCAGGCCGGGCCTGAGACTGCCCTGACACGGGTGCCTCGGCTCCCTGCATGTCCCCTTGGGCTGTGGGGGGCTTGGGGTGCTGCTTTAGTCTTACCCGGTGCACCTAGGTGACACTGGAAGCGCCAGGCAGGCTTCAGGGCTGGGGGTTCCCTCCATCGCGCTTGGCATTTCACGGAGTTCTGGAGGTTTTGCTCCAGGCGAGAAACCAGAATATTGTGGCCTGGGGTTCACACCATGGGGGCCCAGGCCGCTCCAGTTCCCCGGGCCCCTCGGTCTGTGGCCGGCGGCGCTCGCTTTCCCCCACGGGACAGGCTGTCTCTCCGCAGCTGATCCGCCTGGTGCTGAGGCAGTCCCTGGAAGTCCTGAAGCGAAACGGCTGGGAAGAAAGGTCGGTGGAGGATTTGGGGCGGTCTTTGGGGGCCCTCAAACATAAAGCCTTTGGGGCGTCCCTGCGTGGGGACTGGCGTGTGTGCTGCTGTTGTGGACCGCGTGTGTTTCCTGTAGCCGAATCCAGCTCTTCCTGGACATCCTGACGACGGAGGTCCTGCGCCCCGAGAGCCGATCTCCTAACGGGGTGAAATTTCACTTCATTGACATTTACCTGGATGAACTATCCAAAGTGGGAGGGAAGGAGGTGAGACGTCTTCGGGCGCCGAGTGCGCACCCCCAGATGGGCAGACTGCTGGGGCGTCCGAGTGGTGCGGGGGAATGCTGGGGGCCCTCAGGCTCCCCAGCGATGGCCATGGGCAGGGTCCCTCCCCACCCAGGGGAGGCCTGGCTACAGGCATCTTGGCGGTCCGCTCTGCTTCCGGGAGCGAAAGCCTGACTGGGAAATAACTGGGTGCGCGGGGACACGCTTGTGAAGCTGAGCTCTCGGCCAGGGCGTGAAAGGCACGCTGGCCAGTGCGTCCTCACGCGGGCAGTTGAGGGGTGGACAGGACAGAGGCCCGGACCAGGGTTCAGGCAGCTCCTGCTCTGTTCTCTCGCTTATGTCCTGCCGTGGATGTTCATGTCTTGTCTTGACTAAAAAAAAATGCGAGTTGCGTGTGAGAGGAGGACTCCTGTGTGCCACCCTGCAGCCCCGGTCTCCGTGGACAAGGGCCGCAGGCTGCGGCCGGGGTCTCCTGGGTGGCCTAGTGGCCGGAGCCTGGCCCTGGCTGGCCAGTCAGAGAAGAATGGCTCCTTTATTGTTCTTCTCTACTTGATTTCGTAATTACAGCTCTTGGCAGATCAGAACCTCAAGTTCATTGATCCATTCTGCAAAATTGCTGCCAAGACCAAGGAGTAAGTAATTGCCACGTCTGCTTCCACTACTCCGCTGGGGAGCCTGGTGCCGGGGCCCTGGGGTGGTGTCCAGAGCGAGGGCCCCACCAGCGCCCTCCCCCGCGGAGAGCTGTGGGCCTAGGCCTGGGCCTGCCCGAGCTGAGTTGGGGGGCAGCGGGCCCCGCCACGGTGCTCTCCCCGGGCCGGTCCTGATCATGCTTCGCCCCTAGCCACACCCTGGTGCAGACCATCGCACGGGCTGTGTTTGAGGCCATCGTCCATCAGTCTCCATTGGCACCAGAAGAGGCCATGGAGGGACAGAGCGCGCAGGTGGGTGACGGCGGCCCCTTGGCGGAAGAGCCACCTGCAGGCGAGGCGGTATGGAGTGAGGCGGCCAGTGCACCGGGGGCAGGTGAGCACCTCAGGCGGCTTGCTTCAGGCTGGTCCTCCTCCGACACATGCTCTGGTGCGTCTGATGGGCATGCTGCGGCCTGCCTCTGTCTGCCTGCACGGGGACACGGACCGGGCACGCCGCACGCCCTCCTGCCTTCTCTTCCGGGGTCTCCTGTGTGGCTGCAGTTTCTCTAGGCTTTCACGCAGCGTTAAGCACGTCAGCCCACGTAGTCCGCAGCGGGCCCTTGCCGGGAAACTGGGTCGTGGTGCCCGGCGGGGGCGCTACCTCTGAGGCGTCTCGCTGCCCTGGGCACGTGGGCCTCGGCCAGGGGTGCTGCGTCCAGGGCCCAGGGCGGGGCTGGGCAGAGCCCCGCTGCTGAGCTGTGAACAGCTGCCCGCCCAGCAGCGAATGGAGGAAATGCAGTGCTGAGGCAACCGCGGAACACAGAGCACTGCGGAGGGCCTGGCCCAGCTCGGCCCAGCAGCGGCATGGGGGCTGGTCGCTCTCCCTGGGGCAGGCGGGTGAACACCGCTTGCACTGCGCTCGTCCAAGTTTAGGTTTCCTCAGTGGCCACGTTATTCTTTATGAGAGAGAGATCTCCAAGAGGAAGTATTCTCAGTGTAGCCGAGCACAGGTAGCCACTGAGGGGTGGGTGTTGTCTCTGGGCCCTGACTAGAGGTGCCGTCCACACCCCAGCCGTCTCCACGGCGCTTCCCACAGGCCGCAGCACACTTGCCTGTCCCTGCCTCCCGCAGGGCCTGCCCTGGCCATACCTCCTGAGAGCTTAGAGGGTTCCAGAAAAGCTGTGATTTTCATTAGTAATTTTGATCTGCCTCGTGTGCTTTGACACGACTTGAACAGCTGTTGTTGATGCCTGTGATGGGCTGCGTCCCGAGGCGACCAGGACACAGAGGCTGTCCCTGGCAGCTTCACCATGGCCCACGCTTACCTGCCCGGGACACCCCGCGCCCCCCGACCAGAGTCCTGGGACCCGCGCCACCTGCAGCAAGGGTTGACAAGCCAGGAGTTATAAACATACTTGTCAGATTGTTCTCTTTAAAGAAAACCTTCCCACTAGGCACCGTCTCCTCCTGCCGTGGTCCGGCAACTGTGGGTGAAGAGTTTGTCTTTTCTGTGTCTTGGCAGCTCTGAGCGAATGTCACTCCAGGAGAGACGGGGTGCGTGACGGGAATGCGAGCGACACCAGCCACGCAGAGGACGGGGGACCCCTCCTGCAGGTTGGTGGCAGTTGTTTAGATCGGCGGAGAGGCCAGCTAATCGGGAATTGGGGTCCAAGCTGATTGAAGGCAGGGGCTGCTGGGTCACCGATCTTGATCCCCTCAGCCGCCAGGGTCCCCTTCCGTGCACTAGTTCACTGGCGGCCAAGAAGCTGAACTAGGAGGGAATTTGGACCGTGTCGGTCTTCCTTTTGACCTGAGTGGCCAAGAGCTGACCTGTTGAACACGGTGGAGCCAGCTCAGGGCAAGTGGGGCAGCTGGGGTTGCAGAGCAGCACAGCCAGGCCCCTGTCACGTCACGTGTTTCACCAGTTTCTCCTGTAAAGGAAGAGTCAGCTCGCTGTCCCGGGGCGATTGGGACACGTCCTCACAGGCGCAGCGGTGCTGCCCGGGCTCCGGCCTGCCCTCGGTGGTGTCCATCCCCGCGGCTCACGGCGGCTCTCTCCTCTCACCTAGTTTGACTACAAGGCTGTGGCCGACCGACTCCTGGAGATGACCAACAGGAAAAACACCCCTCCCTTCAACAGGAAGCGACTCTCCAGACTTGTCAAAAAGTACGTGGCAGGTTGGGGTCTGGCCTCGGCACCCCGAGTTTGAGTCCGCCTCTTTGTCCCGGCAATGGGGCGGCTGTCGCCACGCTCACCACCTCTTGTGGCTCTTCCCTCTCTCTGCTCAGAGCCCCGCGGCATGCACAGGGACCGAGGGGAGTGACGGGCGCGCCCACCCCGGCTCCCCCAGCTGTGTCCTCGCACCGTGGAGAGTCTGCTGGTAATGTCCAGCACAGTGGGGAGAGGCACGCGGCCACCGGCTCGGGGGCCCTCATGGGGCGCTCACGGTGACCAGGCTTCAGTGCTCTGCCACCACCCAGTGGCTCTTCCCAGGGCCCGCTGGCGCCCGGCAGCCCCGCCACTGGCTGGCAGGCCGGCTGAGTCTGCGCTCTGGAGAGGTTTGCCCTCAGCAGCCATGTTGGAGGTGTCGTATTCAGGAAAGCCCTAGAACCCATTCTCGTTCCCGTTTCACAGCCGGGAGGGCACCCAAGGTCTTGCCGGCCCGATCATGCAGCTGGACTCTGGCTTCTCTCGGGGACCCACAGTACCCCAGCTCGCCGGGCTCCCGCAGTGTGGCGACCCTACTCTCCCTCACCGAAGCACCCTCAGTCCGCCCCTTTCAAGAGCTTGTTTAAAAGTCTGTCTTGGACCCTTTGTTTAGTTTCTTTTATTCCACGTGTACAAGACACCAGCCGGTTTCTTTGGGGAGCAAAGAGCTGAGCATGTGCGGGGTCTAAGCGGCTCCAATCTTTTTTTTTTTTTTTTAAACCTGATATTTTTAAAGATTTATTTATTTATTATTTATTCATACAAGCACTGGGCACAGTCAGAAGCACGGGAGGGTGAGAGAATTCACCAGAGCCAGAGCGGGGAGCAGCGCAGGCAGAAGGACCGAAGGACACTGCTGAGGGGAGCAGCGGGCGACAGGAGGGGTCTGCGGGCCATGTGGGACCCTTTTCCGGTGGCCGGGGATCGAACCGGTGCTGCAGAGGCTGCGGGCAGCTTCGCAACCCAGCACTCAACCGCTGCGCCACCGGGGAGGCCCTGCTCCAATCTTAATAAACTGAAAACAAGAAGGAAACTTTATTTTTTTTTTAAGATTGATTTATTTATATAAAAACTGGGGTATAGGCCGGGGCCTCCCTGGTGGCGCAAGGGGTCAAGCACAGCACTATTAAGCAATCCACAGCCTCAGCAGCACAAGTTCAGCAGTGGATTTCGGTCCTTCTGCCTGTTCTGTTCCCCGCTCTGTCTCTGGTGAATCCTTTCACCCCCCACACATCTCTGGCCTGTACCTCAGCTCTTGTATGCATCAATAAATAAAAGCCTTTAGGGAAAAAAAAAAGAACTGGGGTACAGGCCAAAGGCGTGGGAGGGTGAGAGGATTCACCAGAGACAGAGCAGGGAACAGAACAGGCAGACGGACTGAAATCCACTGCTGAGGGGAGCAGCCAGGAGACAGGAGAGGTCTGCTGCGCCGTGTGGGAATCTCCCTGGCCGGCTGGGAATCACGCCCGCGGAGCCCACGCTGCAGAGGCTGCGGACAGCTTCACAGCGCTTCGCTCAACTGCTGCACCACCAGGGGAGGCCCAAGAAGAAAACTTTAATTTGTTGAAATTTTCTGGATGTGCCGAGACAGTGCCAGCCCCGTGCCGGTTGGCGAGGGGCAGCGAGGGCTGTGGTGTCCCTCTCGCTGGGCCGTGGCGCTGTACACCGGCTGGCATCTGGACCAGGAAAAGGCGCTGCCGGCAGCCAGACAATGCTTGGGCTCAGGCTGAGGTGGCGTGTTCAGAGAAAATAAGCTGTTTCTTGATGGGCTTTTGTTTTTCAGGTTCCAAGGCCTCTCCGAAGGTGAGGAAGGTCGGGGTGACCGTTGGAGATGCTCTCGTGAGGGTAAGGGCTGCCACGTCACTTGGGCCAAATGCCGACACACGGGACTGAAGGCACTGGTGGGAGCTGAGGAAATAGCGCCGCAGCCTGGGGGCCTCTCTCAGCTGGCTGCCCTGACCCTGGCCAGGGGTTCACTTTTTCATTGTCACCTTAACAAGATGAACTTGTGTCACTCAGGAAGGTTCCGACTTGACCCTTTGTGAAGGGAAAGATGTGGTCTGTCAGGGCCCTGTTGCTTGTTGCTCCGACCGCTCTCCACTAGGGAGGCTGTTGCTGGTCTTGGGTTCCAGCCAGTCAGTGCCCCCACCCCTTGTGGGCAGGGGTGCTTAGCATTAAGAAACGGGCCCCGACTGGAGGGAACGTGGAGCCCCAGGGCTTGAGCAGGGGGTGTCACCCTGAGGTGAGGTGCTGTCCCTCACCTCGCCACGGGCAAGGCGAGATCCCCAAGCACGTTTGCAGCCCGGCTTTGAGCCTCGTGTAGGGTCGCTGCGAACACAGGGACAGGTCCATGTCGGTTCGGGAGGCACCGGCTTGGGGTAGCAGGGTGGAGGTTCCACTGTCAGCGCGTGACTCTGGTGTCCGGCAGGCCGCGTAGCTCAGCTCAGCCTCGCCGAGCAGGATGGCCCGTCCCCCGGCCAAGGGAGGCACAAGAGGAAAGGAAACAAGCTGGGCCAGAGCAGCGACATGGAGAGCCAGAGAGGTGAGCACCGGGGCCTGCCCGCGTCTCCCACGTGTTCTCAGCGTCCGCGCTCCGGAAGGCAGGCACTCGTTGCCCGGAGCTCTGTGGAGCGTGTGTCTGCGATTTTACAGACACCGGAATGCGGTCTCGGGCCCTGACGCCTCACCGGCGTGGGGAAGGCTTTGGCCGCAGTTGTGGAGGGAGAGACGGCCGGTGCAGGGGTGGGGGGGTGTCTGCGGTGGCCTTGCTGGGCCCTGCCCCGGCGCTGGCTGACCTGCTCGTGTGTCTTCCTAGGAGACTCGCTTCTCGCCGAGGAAGAGGGGAGTGAGGGCAGCGTGCAGACACGGAGGAGGAAAAGGCGGAAGAGGAGCCACGTCCAGCCCGAGCACTCAAGGTCTGGGGGTGAGGCCATATCCCCCGAACCACACCAGGGCGACGAGCCTGAGGGGGCTCCAGAAAGAGCCCAGAAGACGAGTGCGCTGGAGCTAGGGGTGGCCGCCCAGCCCGGCCCAGAGCAGCCCCCGAAGCCCAGGAGGAAGCGGCCCAGGAAGAAGGGTCTGCGGGGCCAGGGGCCAGGCCTGGAGCGCATGGCGGTGGCTCCCCCGCCGGACTTGTCTCCAGGGAGCCCCAGCAGTGGCCTCTCTCAAGAGCCTGCCGCGCCAGGCTCCCCAACCACTGGAGCCCACATCCCCAAAAGGCCGTGCAAACTGGGGGTTCTCCCGGCCAACAGCAGCAGCCTGCCCACGCTGGCCTGGCCCCTGACCCAGAAGGAAGAGCCTCCAGTGAGCCGGGTGGAGGGCGGGGATTGCCCGCGCCACCGGCCACAGGGCGGGAGGCTGAAGAAAAGGAAGGGGCAGCCCAGCACCCTTGACCTCTGTGACCCGGCCGGTCCGAAAAATGCCATCTTGAAAAAGAGGAAGAAGATGAAAGAGATGTCGAACTTGGTGGCCCACGGCGGCCTGCTGAGGCCCGAAGCACAGCTCCTCCGGGCTCTGGTAAGGCGGCGGCCTGGGCTGCAAGCACCAGGCTGGTTGGCGGGCGGGTGCGACCGGCAAGTGGGGCTGGCGTGGCTCGCGCCCCCTTTGCCAGGAGTGGACGGACAGGCGCCAGCGGGGCTTGGCACTCGTGTCGCTCTGTCCGCCCCCACCACCCGCCGGCCTTGGGCTGGGAGGGCCGGAGCTGGCTGAGCAGGCGGCGGCCTCCGCGGGGCATGGCCGCGGCAGGAGAGGCGCCCGGTTCTCATCGCGCCGACCTCTGTAACCAAGAGGCCTGCTTTCCCCATGGCTCTGGGGCGGGACCCGGGCCGCTTGGGGCCTTCTCTGGACAGGGCGCCTGGTCCGCACACTGACCTGCCTCCCGCCTGTGCTCCAAGGCTGCACCGCTCCTGCTGGCAGTGGGTGGGCAGGTGGGGCAAGCCCAGGACACCCCCGCCTCAGAGAAACCCTGCGCCCCGGCTGCTGTGTTCGCATGTCACCACCTCTGCCGGGCCCCGCCCATGGCCCCCTGGGGGACTGTCGGTGGAGGGTAGGCTCCCCGCCAGCCGTGGCCTGTCCCGTCCCATGGCCTGTCGCCTCCGCCCTCCCTCACTGCTGTGCGAGGCTCCTTCCCGCGCCAGAAAAGTTCCCGCTTTGGTTTCATTGCACAGGACCCCGCGGCTTTTTCTAGAGAGGGTTGGGGTGGCTTCTCGGCCAGTTCGCAGGGCCGAGCGAGGTCTGTCCCCCAGAGGAGTGATGTCCGTGCATCTGCCTGTGGCGGGTCTCTGCCGCGGCGGCAGGGGAGGATGCACACGGGCCCCGTGCTGCACAGCGTCCTCGCGAGAAGGCGCCAAAGCCGGCGTGGCCGGCCAAGGGCTCCCGGAGCTCGGGCAGCGTCAGCTGCAGTGGTGTGGGGGAGGGCGCCCCCAGAGCCTCCCAGACCCCAGCTGAGGTATCCTGCCTGCCTGGCCTTGCCCCCAGCGGGAGGAGTGTCTTGGCAGGTGTCTCTGACGGGCAGGATCTGGCCTGAGGCAAGCACGGGCGGGCCCGTGGGGGCTCCTGGTGACCCCTCTTCCTTCCCCTCACATAGGGGAACCGCGGGGCGCTCGGCCCTCTGAAGAAGCAGCAGCTGAGGACAGAAAACGACTTTGTGCGGTTTGATACCCCCTTCCTGCCCAAGGCCCTGTTCTTCCGAAGGGCCAAGGGTGCCACCGCCTGTCCCCTCAGCCCTGCCGTGCAGGTGCGTGCTGGCGTCTCTGCAGTCCCTGGGGCCCAGGTGCCCAGCACGGGGGCTCAGGAGTGGGATGGGGGCTGCCCGGGAGACGCGGCTGGGGGCATGGGGCGGGCACGGCTCCTGACAGCAGAGTCGGGCAGCTCTGCCGCTACCCCTGCCTGGACAGGGACGCGGATCTGGGCTTGTTTCCCAGAGACGGACGTGCAGGGATGGGGGAGCTCAGAGAGTGGGGAGGGGGGCTTTAGGGGGTGCAGCAGATGTGGGGTGCTGGTCTGGCCTGCTGGGGACCCACACTGAGGGTCATCTCAAGAACAGGGACCCACTGGTAGGAGTCTTGGCCTGGCTGCAGGCCCCCGTGTGTTGTGGGGGCTGTCTGCTGAGGGATGGTTTGAGGTTGAAGTCGGGGACGCACGCAGAAATGGGCTGTGGGGTGCTTCTTGGTGTGAAGGGGGCGCGCTTCTTGCCGTGGAATGAGTGGCCACGGCGCGTGCTCCATGCCGAGCCTGCGGTCTCCAGCGCCACGCGCCAGGCAGGACTCGAAGCCACGGGTGGCGAGGGCAGAGCTCGTGACTTCTCATCCGGGAGCTTTTTCCTGACCCCCTTTGCCGGACGCTCTCCCGTGGCAGTGCTGCTATGGCGACTGCAGGCGGCCGCTACCCTGCCAGCCTGCCCCTGCCGGGAAGGAGTCCTTGGGGCCGTGTCCTGAGCTGGAGCAAGGCCACCTGCCTTCCGGCTCAGGGTGGGCAGGGCCGGCTGGGCTGGGGTCTGCCGGCTGCCAGGAGGCAGCTCGAGTGTTACCCGTGTGTTCGCAGCTCAAGGCCCCACCCAGCTCTAAGAAGGTCACCTTCGGGCTGAGCAGAAACATGACTGCAGGTGAGTGTGGGGCTGGGGGGGTGGCGGTGGCCTTCCAGGACCCCTGGCCGTGGGTGTCCTGGTCAGAGGCTCCATGAAAGGCATCTCCCCACGTGCTGAGTGGCCTCATCGGTGTCCCCAAAGCCCAGCACTTCCCGGCCCGATGGGTGGAGGTGCAGAGCCAGCGTGGCGTGTAGCAAAGGTGCCGCTCAAACCACGTGAGGATCCCAGACCCCTGGAGCCACAGGGACACCCCTGCTTGGGAGGTCTCGTCCCAACGGTGTCTTCCCTGCAGCTTTTCCTAGGCCAGTCCAAACTCGGCACTCCAGAAACAGCCCCGGCCCCCAAACTCCTTCTAGGGGCTGGCCCAGCTGGTGCTCCCCAGTGGCCTCTGGGCGTCTTCCTTAGAGAAGCAGCTGGAAGCAGCCCTGCTAGTAACTCTGCCGCCTCAGAGCACTTGGGCCACTCCCCCGGGGCCTGGGGCAGCAGCCTGGCCAGCCTGCCCGCAGTGCCCCCCGCAGGGCTCCCAGCCCCAGTGCTGAGCTGGTGACGGCTCCAGGCGGGACCCCATGGATAGGTTGGCAGGACGGGATCTCCCCACTAACATGCGCCCTTGCTCCCTTCGGGGCAGAGTTCAAGAAGACAGACAAGAGCATCTTGGTCAGCCCCACGGGCCTCTCGCGGGTGGCCTTCAACCCAGAGCAGCGGCCCCTCCACGGAGTGCTCAAGGCCCCCGCCAGCTCACCTGGCAGCACACCCCTGGGGCCCAGGAAGCTGCTGACCACCACCCCACAGAGAAGGCCCACGGCCATGGACTTCTTCTAGCGCGTCGGTCCCTTAGAAGATGGCTTTTGTACAGGAGATTTTATAAATTATAACTTTAAAAGATGCGGGTTTTTTAATGGTTTTGTAAAAACTCCCATAAAACGTATGTGCAAGGTTCTACGTGTGCTGCTGCTCCAGCATCCCTGCCGTCGGGTGGGGTCCGAGGGCTCGTGCCCAAGCTCCCGACGGCCCTCAGCAGTGCTCACCCGCGCGGGTGTCTCGGCCTCGGTGCTCTGCACGGTTTGCGGGTGCGGGCTTCCTGCTGGCCACCTTCCTGGCCCAGTCGGGCTTTGTGGAGCTCGTAGGACTCTGCTCCCGTGTTTGTGCATTTGGGTGGGTCCCAGAGCTGCTACCGTGGGTGCTCTGCCTGTCACCGGCAGGGCGGAGCCTGGGCCCGGGGACCGGTGCCGCCCCGGTGGGCCTGCTTGAGACAGCATCTCTGGGAGCCTGAGCTCCCTCCAGGCGCCAAAGCAGGAGCCTGGAAGTGCCTGTGGGGGTGTTTGTTCGCAGCTGTCACATCTGAAACGCCGAAACTTGCCTCTGGAGAGTTGTGTAAAGTTCTAGCTTCAGTTCACTGAAGACCTGCGGATGGAAAGCGCCCGGATGCCAGCTGGACAAGCGGGCAGCGGCTCAGTGGGGCTGGCCGGGCCCTGTCTGTGCAGGGAGCGGGCACAGAGGAGGGCAGACTCGCGACTCCAGCCACAGCAGCCCTGTGACCAGCAACACTGCGCCCCTAGGGGAGTTCAGGGTGGGGGGCGCCTCCCTGGTCACCCTCTGCTCGGGGACCTCGGGCCTCCTAGAAGGGAAACTGTCCCTCCCGCTTCCCTCCGTCCTCCTGCCACAGAAACCCGTTCTCTCTCCCAAGCCAACCCCCTTGGCCACTCCCCAGCCGTGCTTCCTGCCTCACCCTGGATCACGTCTTGGGGGGCTCACCTGCTGACTCCAGTGTCAGCCGGCGGTGACTGCAGGCGCTGGGGAGGAACGGGCTGGGCCCTGCCTACCCAGCAGGGAGGTTTTGTCAGCACGGGGCCGTGGCGAGAGGCCCTGGGCAGGGACGGTAGCTGCAGGGCAAGGCTTCGCCCCGCGCGTGCAGGCTGAGGACCGATGTTGCGTTCAGAGCCATGGCGCACAGCGTGAAGGGTGAGGTTTACAAGCCCAAGTACTGATTTCACTTCTTAAAATTATTTTTCTAACAATTTTCGTGTCAGTTTTAAAGGCGGGCCCAGTGCCAGGTGCATCTCGCTGCAGCGCCTTGCGGGTATTGGCTCACTGTGGCGCCGGGAGCCACACCCGAGGGCCTGCATCCAGGGGACGGTGCGCGGGATCCCCTGCACCCCCTGACTGGCTCCACTTTGGGGCATGTCAGGAGGTCCAGACATTGGCAGCAGAGGAAGAGACGCTTCCTGCGCTCGCAGTGCCGGCCGGCCCGATTCCCCAATCCCCCACCCCTGGGCGACAGCTGCTTCTCCGTGGGACTGGAAGAGGGACTTGCCTGCTGCTCTCTCTGGGCAGGCCCCTGCGGGGTCGGGTGCTCAGCAAAAGCCCAGGTGCCGAGTCTGTTAGTCTCACTAAGGAAACAGAAATGTCACCAGGCCTGGGGGGCTCTTTGCTGGCTCCCACCGGTTAATCCCATTGTAGTTGTTGGCAAGCTAGTCAGCTGTTTAGTTAGCTGGCTAGTTAAACTAGCTCATGAGCTAAACGGGCTGGGCGGCTAGCCGCCTCGTCAGCGAGCTAGTCAACTGGTCGGCACTCTCTCATCAGAGAAGCCTCCAGAGCCGTAGCCCGGCTGCCTGCGCTCGTGCTCCATGGACTCCTCGCAGGGAGATGACCGTCCAGCCTCAGGTCCGAGCCGCCCCCTGGCTGCGCTCTGAGTCAGCCAGTGAACAAGTCCGCCGGCCAGCTGGTCAGTTGTTCAGTGAGTCAGCCAGGGAGGCGCCGGCGCACGTGGAACATGCTGGCTCCAGGTCTAAAACACGATTTAGCGTTCTTAGGTCACGAAACCATCACAATATACGTGAGCTAAGTCTAGTTACCCTCTCTCATCACACAGCTACAGCTTTTTTCCTGAGATGACAACTTCTAAGACCTGCTCTCAGCGGCGTTCAAACGCCCAGTCTGCCAGCGCGGTCGCCGTGCGGGACGGACACCCCCATGACTTCGTTGTTTCATAATTGCTGGCTTGTCCTTTCGAGCTGCCCTCCCGTGGAAGCTCCCCCCCGCCACTTCCCCCGCCTCTGGTGGCCCCCAGCGCGGCCTGCATCCCTGAGCTCAGTTCCCTGTGTTTCTGGCTCCCACGCGTCCGGAGGCCTCGGCGCCTGTCTCACTGCCGCGTGTCTCGGGTTCTGTTACCAGCAGAAGCAGCACCCAGGACCCCAGACCTGCCTGCTCTAAGTGGGCGCTGCCACCTGCCGCAGAAAGACGAGCACACCCCCGTGCGGAAGACCTTCCGTGGAGAAGAGCTTTAATGAGTGTGTGGTGAAGAGGAGAGAGAAGAGAGGTAATATGGTTTCCCAAGGAAACACCCAGAGTTGCCCCTCCCCTTGTGGGTAACGTCCAGCCACAAGCTGACCCCAGAGTGCCAGACGTGCTGTCCATGCGGGCATCCAGCTGACAGGCCGTGTGTGTGTGCCAGGCCTGCTCTAAAGCAGTGCTGACCAGGGCTGGGGCGGGCAGGGCCACTCCTGGGCAGGTTCTGTGCGCAGCGTAGGCTCACGTGCACCCTGGGGGCCCAGCGCGCTGTTTTCTTTAAAACTTGCTTTGAACTGAAATTCCTGCCCCGACGGTGCCCGAGTGAGTGCCAGACACTGGCGCCTGCAGGTGGAGCGGGGTCAGGATGGGCAGCGGGCTGCAAAGCAGTCCTGGGGCTGAACAGGACGAACCAGGAGCATCGGCCGTGACGTGGTTGCTCGTGACTACTGGTCTTTGTGTAATGACAGTATAAAAGGTCACTCGAGGTGAGAAGGCAGAGCATCTCGGGGGTGTGCCTGCCGTCCCCGTGGGGCCATGGCCAATGGCCTGACGAACACGCCTGGAGATTCAGCCCCTGTGTCTGCCTGTGGCCTTTGGTACTGCCAGGCGGCAGGACCCGGCCTGTTCCAGCCACACTGACTGACACAGCGGCTGTGTCTGTCCTCACAGGCTGGAGTCAAAATCCAGGTGTCCCTGCTTCCTTCTGAGGGCTGTTGGGGGTGCGACAGGGGTCACCCAGGCTGCTGCCCTTGGTGACCACATCGCTGACAAGACCCCACTCTGGGGTCGGTGCCGGGGCTCGGACTTGGACATCATGAATTTCACCCCGTTCAGCCTTGTGCTGAGCTCCCCACTCAAGCCAAGGCCTAATACCCGACTTGTCGTAGCCGCTCCCAGCAGTGGAATTTTCACCTTCAGCCTGGAACTTCCTCCGCTTTGGCAAGGTCGAGCCCTGGGCCCTGCCGGCAGGTAGCGCGCTTCCCCCGCCTGCCCTCTGAGCGGGCGTCCCCGGGCTGAGGAGGGGCGCGTGTGTAACAGGCAGCTCCTGTGCCAGAGTCACCTCTCCCAGCAGAGGGCGAGTCCTCCGAGGGCAGGGCCGGGCCCTCTTTCCCAGGACAGGTCACGGCACCCCAGGGAGTGGTGGACACAAGTCCGGGCTGGTCTGGGCCCAGCCCGGTGCCCCGGTGAAGGGTCAGCTGCTGGGCTCTCGTGGCTGGCAGGTGACTGTCCAGACTCCGACGACCACAAAGCCTAAGGGCCGCTCATCTTTTTTTTATTTAAGATTTATCTATTTACTTATGCACGCACTGGGTACAGTCAGAAGCGCGGGAGGGTGAGAGGATTCGCCAGAGCCAGAGCAGGGAACAGAACAGGCAGACTGACGAAGTACACTGCTGAGGGGAGCAGCGGGGGCAGGAGAGGTCTGCGCGCCATGTGGGACCCTCACCCTGCGGACGGGGATCAAACCAGCGCTGCAGAGGCTGCGGGCAGTTTCGCAGCCCAGCGCTCAACCGCTGCGCCACCGGGGCAGGCCCTGCTCATCTCCTTAAAGAAAAATGACTGAACATCCCCTAGGCCTGGCCCTGGGGCTGGAAACCACTGCCCAAACCTTCCCTGGGCGCTCTGTCTCCCAGGCAGGGCGCGGCCACCCCCAGGGTTTATGCGCAGATCTGCTGACAGTGCAGTTCCGTACTCGCCTGCCCAAATCAATGCCGTTTTGGAGAAATTCCTGGCCACCTGGCCTCGAGGCACCAAACTCATGGCCACTTTCCGAAGTCAGCGTGCTGGCTGGCACAGAGAGGCCCGCCAGCCAGCAGCGCAGGGCATCTTTCTGTCCTCTTTCCTTGGTGAAGGACTGTCTGGAAGCCCCTTGGGGGGCCCCCACTTGCCTCTCCAGCCACCTTCTCCCGAGGACCGACTGCGCCATTTCCTACGCAGCCATGGGCCACCCCGCAGAGCCCCTGCCAGGGACACCGCCTGGTCCCAGGAAAGCTGTCGGCCCGGGGCGGGCGTAGACGCAGGAGCGCACGCAGAGTGAGGCAGCCCACCCTCGTCTGGCCGGCCGAGGATGGCTTTCCAGGTGTTCTGGTAGTTTCTGGGAGGTCACCCAGGGAAGGGTTTGTTCCTGGACCGTTCGCGCCTGACAGCGCTCACAGCCCCTCCAGAGCAGCTCCTCGGCGCGGCGCGGCGCTCCCAGGCGGTGGGCCCAGCTGCATCGCTGAGCGGCCTGCACGCCCCGCCTGTGGGGCAGAGGCTCCGCTGGGCTGTCGCCCCCCCAGAGGGAAGAAGACCTTTGCTGAAGAGCCAAATTGCAGAATGGGCTAAACCCAGCCCAGCCCGGCTGGAGGGAGCAGCACACCCAGCTGGACCCCTCTTTCCAACACTAAGTCACCCCAGAGAGCGCCAGCATTGAAGTAAAACATGAGCTGCGCGCAAGCCCCACGGAGATCTGTCCCCAAACTTGTGGACACTGGGGACCCCCTCCTGCCGGCATCCTGCGGCCGGGTGAGGGGCACACCGTCCCCCTTTCCACGGCTGACCAGCCCCAAAGTTCCCGCTCTGCCCTTCCAGACCCGCTGGCTGACCATCCCCAGCCGGCCTCACGCCCGACCTTCACCTTTCGGGAAACTGACATTGGGAGGAAGCTCGGGCTTTCAAAGGCCCAAGGGAAGGTGGCTGGTCAGGGGGAGAGGCTGCCCTGGCTCCTCCCGCGGGCTTTGTGGGCCCCACCCCCACCGCAGGCCAAAGCCGGCAGGACCCTGGGGAAGCCCAATCCCCTCGCGCCTGCGGCGGAGCATGGGCAAGTCCTTCTAACGCGCGGGTGAGGACCCACAGTCAGGCACCCCGTTTTGTATCGGGGCTGCTCTTCAGCAAATTCACCAAGATGCATTCCCAGGGTGCTGCTGGCTGGGCCCCCCGCACAGGAGGGAGGCTCCAGAGCCCAGGGCTGGCCCGGACCAAAGAGCAGCCGGACCCCTCCGAAGAGCCCAGGGAGCCGCCCCAGGAGGAAGGGGGGCCCGACCCCCATGCACACGGGGGGCACCCACACGCGTCACTGACCCCCGCCCGCCCTCCAGGGCCCGTGAGGGGGTGCGGGGACGTGCCTGGCGCAGTCAGGCCGGCGGTTACCGCGGGCGACCGCTCAGGTCCCAGCACCCCCAGGTCCTGCACCCCCTTCTCGCCAGGCTAGAGGCGACCATGGGAGCCACACACGAGTCCGCACCCCTCCTCCGCGGGAGCGGGGCCTGCGGCCCGAGCTGGGCTGGGCGGGGGGGGGGGGGGCGGGGGGGCGGCCGGTCGCCTCTGCGGGGCTGGGCGGCGCCGGTCGGGCTCCCCCGCCAGGCCGCTCCCGCCGGGCGGGGCGCCGTCACGCGGGCCGGGCGGGAGGCGGCCGCGGGCCAGGTCGGCGGCCCCGTGTCGTGGGGAGGTCCGGCCTGGCCTCGGGGCTCCGGGCCCGCGCGGTGGCGGGGGGCGGGGGGCGGCCCGGGTTCCGGCCCAGCGGCCCGCTGGGGGGGCGGACAGCCCGGTCGTCCCCAGGGGAGCCCGCGCGGCCGGCGGCGAGAGCGCGTGGGGCCCCCGGGGAGCCCAGAGAGGTTCCGCTTCCCCGGGGAGCGGGGCCTGCCGCCCCCCCGCGCCCCCGCGCCGTCCCCCGCCCCCCCCCGCGCCCTGCTAACCCCGCCCCCCCGCGCTCCCTGCTAACCCCGCCCCCCGCGCCGTCCCCCGCCCCCCCCGCTCCCTGCTAACCCCGCCCCCCGCGCCGTCCCCCGCCCCCCGCGCCCCCGCCGCGCGCCCGCCGCCCCGCCCCCGCCCCGCCCCCGGCCCGGCGCGCGGAGCGGGAGGAGCGGGAGGAGCGGCCGGCGCGGAGGGCAGAGCGGCCGGCGCGGCGCGGAGCCGGGCGGCGGGCGGCGGGCGGCGGGGCCGGCATGGAGGCGCCGTGCCGGGTGCTGTCCATCCAGAGCCACGTCGTCCGCGGCTACGTGGGCAACCGCGCGGCCGCCTTCCCGCTGCAGGTGCGCGACCTTGGGCGGCCCGCGCGGGGGCCGGGGCCGGGGCCGGGGCCGCGCGGGGGCCGGGGCCGGGGGGGGCGGGGGGGCGGGGCGGCCTCCCCAGCGCGGGGCCCGCAGGAGCAGGCGGGGCGGTGACCCCACAAGCCGCCGCGGACGGGGGCGGCCGCCCCTGGGCCTCCGGCCTGTCCCGCGGGCGCCCCGAGCCCCCCCCGCGGCGCGCGCGGCCGGGCAAGGTCCAGTCCCAAGGCCGCGCCGGCCCGCGGGGGCACCTGCTGGGGCGCAGCTTCGGCCGGGCGCTCCCGGGCGGCCGGCAGGGGGCGGCCTCCGGAGCGGGGCGTCGGGGCTGAGGCCTGGCCCGCCGCGGGGTCAGGAGATGCGGGGAGGCTGGGCCGGCTTGTGGCGGGGCTGCCTCGGGCGACCTGGAGCCCCTTGCGCTGAAGGCCCAGCGCGGGGGCTCGACGAGGGCTCTGGGGGGTTCGGCTCCCTGCACCCCAGTGTCAGGAGCGGCCCAGCCCACTCTGGCCAGCAAGCCTCGGAGCTGCCCCGGCGAGGGGTGCCAGCCCTGGGCCGCCCCGGCCCTGCGCCCCCTACCTGGCGCCACCCCTCCCGCCCTGCCGCCCGGCCCTCCTGCAGTCGGGCGCCCGGGCCGCCACCCTTCCCTGCGCACAGCCGAGGTTCCTCCGGGTCTCCCCGGGTCTCCCCGGTGCCCGCACCCTGACCTGCGGGCTCGCTGTTGAGCGGGAAAGCCAGCCGCCCCGGGCTCAGGCTGTCACCTGCTCCTGTCTCGGTGACGCTCTGACCTAACCCACCGCAGCTCTTCCCTCCTGCAGGAGGAGGGGGCCGGAGGGTAGAGGTGCCAACTGTGGGGTGGGCGTGCTGCTTCCGGGGGTGGGGGGCAGCGTGCGGGCCTCGGAGGCACGGGTGGCTGGGCCAGGTGGGCCAGCGCTGCTGAGCTGTGCTCTCCCCTCTCTGCAGAGAGAGCAGGCGGGAAGGCAGGCCTGGGCTGCCCAGGCGAGCCCGGGGCCTCGCAGAGGCCGGGCCTGGCCTCATCCAATCCAGGGGTGGTGGCCCTCAGGCCGTGCTCCCCAGCGCTGGGCGCCCGCAGGGCTGTGGTGGTGAGCTCGGACCTGGCAGAGCCAGCGGCCAGTGTTGTCTCTGGCTGCTGGAACTGGGGGTCTAGGCGTCTTCGGCAGCCGTCACCCCTTCCCACGGGCTGTGGACACAGGGGCATCCCTGGTTGTTGGGGCCCTGCGCCCTCATTTCCTAAAGACCCTATCATTTTAGGTCGGGCCGTCCCCCCGTGACCTCCCTTAGCCTCAGTCACCTCTGTAAAGACCCTTCTCCGAAAGTAGTCAAGGGCCTCCCCGGGGGCGCGGCGAGTGGAGCGCCGAGCTGTGGAGCTGTCCGCAGCCTCTGCAGCGCGGGTTCGATTCCCGGCCGGCCAGGGAGACACCCACAGGGCGCAGCAGACCTCTCCTGTCTCCCCGCTGCTCCCTCAGCAGTGGATTTCAGTAGATCCGCCCGTGCTGCTCCCCGCTCTGTCTCTGGGGAGTCCTCTCACCCCCCTCACCTCTGGCCTGCACCCCGGCTCTTGTATGCATAAATAATTTTTTTGAAAGAAAGAGGGGCTCCTGCACAGGAGCCCTGTGGGAGATGCCAGGGGCTGTCCCCCGCCCTTTAGAAGTGCGGATAATGTCGTTGGCATTTCCACAGTGACACAGCAGCGGTTTGTTTTTTTTTGTTTTTTAAAGATTTATTTATTTTTACACACAGCAGCAATTTGCAAAGAGACGGTAGCCTCCTACCTGCCTGGTCCCCAGGGTCCTGGAGGGGGCGCTCCTGGAGGTGTTCGGGTGTCCACAGGCACTCGGGGCACCCGCAGCCCTCGCCAGCCCAGCCGTGCACCCGTCGTGGGTCGTGGAGCCACGTGTCCGTCCTCCCCGTGGGTGGGGCCCGCGGCTGCCCTCGACTGTGCCCGCTTTCCGTGGAGGGGCTGAGGTTCCCGTTCTTGCCTGTCGCGCTTTCTGACCCTTTCCCGCCACCCATGCGTGCCTGCGGTCTGTGGGGCTGCGGTCTGTGGGCCTGCGTGCTGTGTGCGTGCGTGTGCGCGCGCGCGGACCTGCATGCGGGCACAGGGCGGCCGCGTGGCCATGCTCCACGCAGGGACTGGCCGTGTCGCCCTGCGCCCGGCGAGGGGAGGCAGGGCTCGGAGCGGACGGCGTCTGTGGGGGTCCGGGCTCTGGCCCGGCACCCTCTGGGGCGGCCCAAACGGAGCTTTTGACAGCAGCCGCTGGCTCCCGCCATCCGGGGGAGCGGCGGCGCGGAGGAGCAGGGCCCCCAGGAGAAGGGGCGAGGTGCAGGACGTGGGCGAGGGCGCTGCAGCGCACTCTGGGTCCCGGTTCCGGCGGCGCGGAGTTGGGGCGCAAGGGCTGTGCCCCGGGACACAGGCAGGAGGCGGGCAGGAGCCCGAGGTCCTCTCCGGGCCGTGGAGCCGAGGCCCGCCCTGCGGGTTGGGCCGCGCTGCCGGGCTGGAGCACTGGAGTGCGGGGCTTGCACTGCAGCCTGAACTGGCAGCGGGGCCCCCGCCCCCAGGGCGCCCTCCGGAGCCGCAGTCGCCTCCTCTGGCCCCGAGTCCAGCGGCTCCGGAGTCAGGGCTGGCAAGACCCGGCTGCAGCTTGGCGTCCGTCCGCCCGGGAGGCTGAGGGCCCGCTCCGGTGGTGGGGGACCTCGCCCCCTTGCACCGCCTGTGCCTGCTGGTCTGGGGCCTCCGGCCGGCATCCAGCTGTCTGGGGTCCAGGCCCGTGGTCCTGGGGCTCTGTCCTGCCCTCGCAGACTCTGCCCCCGGGCCCTTGTCCTGTGCTCCCTGGGCCAGCCAGGCGGCTGCACAGTGGGTGCCCTGCAGTCCGGAGGGCCATGGGGGCGACCGGGAAGCAGGTGGAAGAGGGCGGCCGGGAGGACCAGAGTGGGCTGAGGAGCACCCCCAGGGCGCGGGGACCCACCACGAATGTACCTCAGCCTTGGGGTGCCTGTGTGTCCAGGTGGCCTGTCGCCTGAGGGGCTCGAACGAGCCTGGTCCCACGGGCAGTGGGAGAGGACCGGGGAGGCCAGGGCCCGCTCCGAGAGGCATGCCGCAGCCGCCCAGCCTCCCCCGCTCTGCCGCCAGCCGGGGCTGTCCCCCGGCCGCCTGGCTTCAGCTCAGTGAAGCCTCCAGCTCTCCTTCTGCGTTGCTCGCTGTAAATGAACTCCAGAAAGGTGGTGCTGGGCGCCTCGCCCACAGAGCGCCGGCTGCTGCACCCCACCTCGCGAGACCCCACGACCCCGGGTCATGCCCAGGCAAGGGTGCCCGGCCCCCGCAGGGCGGTGTGAGGGTGCCTGGCCCCGCTGCAAGGTCCCAGTGAGCTGGCTCCTCGCAAGGCCGTGCAGCGTACCTGAGCGTGAGCGTGAGGGTCTGCCCGACAGGCCAGCGCAGGGCAGACCCTTGGCCTTCCTGCCCCAGGAATGGTCTCCCCACGCAGCCGACCTCGGGGTCCACCACCTTCCTTAAGCCTCCTCCTCTCCAGTGGGGCCCTCCAGGCTGCTCCTGGGGCTCTGGCACCCCCGGCTGCGTCCTGCACCTGCTATGGGTCGGGCCAGCCTCCCTGCACTGTCACACTGGCCCTTCTCTGTCCTGCAGGTGCTGGGCTTCGAGATCGACGCTGTGAACTCCGTCCAGTTTTCCAACCACACAGGTAAGGCCTCCGCCTCAAGGCCAGGGCGTGCAGAAGCTGCCAGCTTCTGGGAGGGGCGCCTGGGGGTGCTGCTTTGGAGCATGGAAGCCCTGGGGTGAGCCGGCGGGGCAGGGCTGTTTCCTTCTCCAGAAGCAAGCGCGGCCCTGGCACCGGATCTGCTGGGCAGCGCCTGGCCGGGGCACACCGTCACCCCGCCTCACCCCCCGTCACATCTTCTCACCGCCATCATCGGGTGATGCTGGGGGCACTGAGGAGAGACCCGTGGGTGCGTCCTGGTTTCCTTTCTGAAAAGCCCAGAGCCAGAAGCTTGTTGGTGTGGGGATCCGAGCCAGCCCTGGCCCAGTCACCATTCAGGGCACGCGCTGCCACTGCCGCCCAAAGCCCTTGAGCTCTGGGCAAGGCCCCCCACCCCGCACCCCGCGGCCTCGGGCGCCTGCTCTGGGACCCCACGTGGGGTGGCAGGAGAACCAAGTGCCCAGTTCCTGGGAACACCCTGTGCTCCTTCTGAAGTTCCCCAGAGGAGCCTGGGGGCCCAGAACGTCCCAGAAGCAGCCGAGAGGCCCCCTTGGGGTACCCAGAGGCTCCCACCTCAGCCTTGGCCCGGCCCAAGGTTCCAGAAAAGACTCTTCTGAGTTCTCTGGGGCGTGGTTCTTGCTGAAATGCAGGAGGGGTCACGGGAGCGGCCTGGGGGGAGTCCTGAGCTCCCGCTGAGGTGTCCTGGGCCAGGAGCACGCCCTGGAGCACGCTCCTCCCCTCTGCTTTGTTTGGCTTTGAAGTAAAGGAGCCAAACGGCTTGGACATTCCTGAGGGAACCGCATCTGGAGAAACAAACACAAAAACAAACACACAAAGCCCGCGTCTGGCTGAGTGTGGCCCTGCGCCCTGAGCCGAGGCTGGCCCCGGCACTGCTGCCTCTGCCTGGGTCCAGCCGGGGCCTCGGAGGTGATGCTCCCAGAGCCCGCCTCAGTGGGCGCTGGGCGGCCGTCCTGAGGAGCCCCGGACAGAAGGGGGTCCCTGGTGGGTCACGCTTGGGCAGGGGTGCATGGGGGTTCCCTTGCAGTGGGACCGCTCCTGTGGTTCCTGGGAGGCCCCCACAGCCCCAGCCTCCCCCGGAGGCCTTGGGCGCCCGCCTGGCTGGGGCGCCCTTGTCTGTGGGTGACTCTGAGTGGACGCACCCCCACTTTCTGTCTCGGGATCTGCCCCGGGGCACTTCATCCGCGTGCCAGCCCAGCCGCGGCTGTGCGACGGCGTCCGTCCGCACGGTCTGGCGTTTCCCGGCCGCCTGAAGCACCGCGTACCCAGCCAGGTCTGTGGCCCAGGGCGGCCCAGGGCGGCCCAGCCCTGCGTGGACCCCGCGCCAGCCACGCCAGCTCCTCTGTGGCCCTGGCTCCTCTGTGGGGGCCGCTGGGTGCCCGAGCACCCACGTCCATGGTGGCGGTGCCCCTTTGGCCCCGCCGTGACGAATGAGGGCCCCGGTCCTGCACCCCGCGCCCCCACCCCCAGTGGTGCGGCCGGGCCCCTGGGTTCCAGAGGAGGCCCCGAGCCTGGCCTCCTGGGCCACCAGCTCTTCTGAGGCCAGGGTCCGAAATCGAGGCGCGGCGACTGGGTGCGCGGTAGCAAGACTGTGGCCAGAGATGCCCGCGGGGACGGGCGGCCACGACCTCAGGTGGTCTCCACACGCGGCAGGGTGCCCCTCGTCCCCGGCCCTTAGGCGGGAAGACCTTCGCTTTGGCCGCACAGGTCCAGGGGCCAGGCTGGCACGTGCTCGTGGCTGGCAGCCCCATTTCGCAGCATCACGGTGCGCGTCCGCAGGACTCGCTGCGCCTGCCAGGACCGCGGCGTGTGGGCCCCCACCCCAGGCGTCAGGCTCCACAGGGTGGGGCACGGATTGGGACTCTGCGTCTCAGAGGATCCCAGTGCTGGCGCCATGGTCTGGGGGCTCCCCGTGGACAGAAAGGGCACGGAGGGCGGGCTTTGCGGTGGGGGCTCCTGGAGCCCAAGAGGGAGGGACTTTCTCAGCGTGGGGCTCACTGTGATGTCCCTGGGGCAGACCCCCACTGTGCTGGGGGTTGAAGTTCACCATAACAAAGGACATAGATTGGGGGAGTACATAGAGAGAAGTCAGGTCACCAGGGCATGGGGGGGTCATGTGGCAGAAGTCAGGACACCGGGCACAGCCTTCAGAACCTCTCTAGGTGGGTCTCACAGGACGCGCTGAGCCCCCAGCCAGGTGCTGTGAGGGTCCCTGTGGGCGGGTGTCCCCCAAGATTGTCCCCGGGCTGGTGGCGCAGGCCCCCACGACTGGCACACGCCCGAGCTCCAGAGCCCGCCTGGGGTTCTGATGTGTTTACACAGTTCACGTTGGGGTTTCCTGGTGACATAAGGGGCGCCGGGATCAAGTTTTCCTGGTGAGATGCGGGGTGTCCTGTGCAGCCCCACTCCATACCGTGTGGGCAGGGCCCTGGCGGCGGGAGGTGCCCAGGAGGCAGGCAGCAGGTGGGCAGGCGGCCCTCATGTCTGCATGTCCCGCGAGGCAACCTCGTCTTGGGTACCTGCGGGGCTGAGCTTGGGGCCTGTTTGTCATTCCTGCCCACTCAGGACTGGACCCAGACTCCCACTGGCCGCTGCCTCCTCTCGCGGGAGGGCCATCAGGGACTGGACTCTCTGTCCAGGTGCCAGTGCCTGGAGAGGCAGCTAGTGCGACGTGACGTGGGAGTACCCTAAGAGCCCCCGCTGTGAGGCCCGACGTGTCCATCCCCTGTCTGCCTGCGGCCCAGAGAGCTGACCCCCGAGCATATTGGCTTAGCTCCTGAGGGACTGGCCAGGGAGGGTGTTGGCACAGCCCAGGATCTTGTCAGAACCCTGTGTTCTTGGGCTGCTGGAGCTGACGGCGTGGGGAGCCCCGCCAGGCTCCCCATCCAGTGATTGCGCCGCATCAGCGCCAGGGAGGGCCCATTGGCAGGGCAGGTGGGCGACCGGGCAGTAAGGGCCATCGGGTGGGGCCGTCGGGGCAGGGCTGTGTGCATGCGCGCGCCCGGTGCGGCCCTGAGCGCCCGCTCCCCCCAGGCTACGCCCACTGGAAGGGCCAGGTGCTGAGCTCCAGCGAGCTGCACGAGCTGTACGAAGGCCTGAAGCTGAACAGCGTGAACAAGTATGACTACGTGCTCACGGGTGAGGCGCGGGCCCGGGGCGGGCGGGGAGGGTGGAGGCACTGCGGGCGCGGGCTCGTCCCCCCACCCCGCCCCCGGGCCTCCCTTTGGCCACGCCAGTGGCAGGACCCGGGCTCCTGTGTCCTCTCAGACCTGCACTGCCCTGGCCCTGCCGGCCCCCCCTTTGGGAAGGGGCTGGGGTGGGAACACCCGGGGGCTGCGGCCTGCGGTGTGCCGTGCGCTACAAGCCCCCGGGGGAAAAGGAAGCGCTGTCTGTCGGTTGCGTTGGGGTAGATGTGACCCTCTGCCCTCACCCCCCTCAGGCTACACGAGGGACAAGTCCTTCCTGGCCATGGTGGTGGACATCGTGCGGGAGCTGAAGCAGCAGAACCCCAGGCTGGTGTACGGTAGGCGCCGCCCGAGATGGGCCTCCGGTCCGCCGCGGGGTGTGAGGGCAGGGGCAAGGGCCTGCAGCTCGGCGGCCTCCCCCCACCCGGCAGCACCGCGCCAGCCTTGTCGCCAGGGAGAAGTGCGGCTTCACCCAGGGGTGAGGGGGGCCCTTGCCGGGGTGCAGGTCCCCAGAGTGCACAGGGTCCCCATGCAGCTGGGCCAGATGACCACGAAAGCCACAGAAACTGCCCCAGACACGCAGTCGGCCTGGACCAGAGGGCGGGGGCTGCGGAGCCAGGCCCGCGGGAGCAGCCGCGTGCCCGCTGGGGCCGGACGGGGGCTTGGGCCCGGGGCCCCCGGCTGCGCGGCTGACGCGTGTCTTCGTGCCCCGCAGTGTGCGACCCCGTGATGGGGGACAAGTGGAACGGGGAGGGCTCCATGGTGAGTGACCTCGGGCGTGAGCGGCGCGGTGGGGTGGGGGCCGCGGCCGGGGGCTCTCGCTGTCTCGGGAGAAGCAGGCCTGGCCGGCCACGGGGCTTCCCGTGAAGGGCCACAGCAGGCATGTCAGGGCGTGGGGGCCCCGCAAACCTGTCATAGCGAGAAAAGCAGCCGCGGAGCCTGCGAGGAAACGAACGCAGCCGCCGCCTCGCCGTGTGTGACGCGGAGCTGGACTCCTGTCCTCTGCGTGTCCTTCCTTTTCGGCTTCTGTTCTTTAATTTCTTGCCCAAAATACTAGAAAAGTAAAAGCGGCTCTCAGCCCCCGAGCTCCCACAGGGCCTGCCCGGGGCGGGGGCGGCGGGGGCAGGCCTGGCCCTCCGCAGGGTCCTGGGACGCTCCCGTCCAGCTGAGGTGCCAGGCCCGACCCTTGCCCTCGCGGGCTCGGGGCTCCAGCTGCGCTTCCTCCCGCAGTACGTCCCCGAGGACCTCCTGCCGGTGTACCGGGAGAAGGTGGTGCCGGTGGCCGACATCATCACCCCCAACCAGTTCGAGGCTGAGTGAGTGGCCGAGCTGGCGGAGGCCCGGGCCCCACCCCTGCAGCCCTGGGACGGCTGCCGGAGCAGCAGGACGTTGCACGGGCGGGGTGGGCGGCAGCCGTGGGCATTAGTGCCCCCCAATCCCTGTCAGCGTCGTGCCGGCCCCCAGCCGTATCCCTGAGCAGCAAGATCCTGGGGGACGAGGAGCTTTGTGAGCCCAGCGTGCACGTGGCTGACACGGACACGCCAGCTACTGCATTGGGGTGCCCAGGCCTGGAGCTCCAAAACTGACTGCCAAGTCTCCGCATGAGGTTAACGGGAGTGTGTGTGCCCCCCTCCCCCCGTGCCCCGTCCAGCATCAAGTGTCAGAGGGCTGCACAGCCCCTCCTGACGTGAAGGGACGGAGCAGGACCCGAGGGGCTCCGGTGCCAGGGGTGGGCAGCTCCTAGATCATCAGCCACTGCCCCTTGAGGTAGGGGTGGGGGCACCTGACCCAACCTGGCCACCCCGGGGACCCTGTGCCTTGGGGGCTCGTGAGAGTGGCATGCCAGCCACGGCGGCTCTGCCTCCCGTGGGCGACGGTCGCCCTTGGAGGTGGTGGGCCGGGGGCACTCGTCCTTTACGCTCGTGTGAGCACCAGCCCCAACTTGGGGCTCCACGGCCTGTGGGTGTGGGGGCCGCTTCTTGACCCGTTGCCAGACGGGTCATGGTGACGGTCTGCCCCGTGGCCAGCAAGCGCTGAGTTGGTCCCCCGAATGCACAGGTGACTGGTGCCCGCACTCCGGGCTGTCGCAGGGGCCCAGCACCCGGCCTCATGTGCTGCTGTCTTCCAGGTTACTGAGTGGCCGGAAGATCCACAGCCAGGAGGAAGCCTTGGAGGTAAGTGGCCCTTGTGAGGTGCCCCTGAGGCTTGGCACGGGACAGCACCCACCTGCCCTCCGGGGCCAGCACCCCACCTCTGCTCAGCCAGCTGCAAGCTGGGGGTGGTGGAACCTTCTGTCCAGCCACCTGGCGGGCCACCAGGGAGGGTTGGGGGAGGGGGTGCTGGCATGTGTGTGCAGGTGAGTGTGAGTAACCAGAGTCACGGCGAGGTGCCGGCTTGCCCCTTGCTGGGGGGTGGGAGGGTGCAGTCCAAGGCAGATTTCTTCAAAGCTCTTTGAGACTTTCCCTGCAGAGTCTGGCACCCACTGGGCTTCTGTAGGGTTTTAGCCTTGGACAGTGTCAGCCCCTGGGCTGCTGCTCTGGCTGGAGCCAGAATCTGCCAGGGCTGGGGGCAGCCTGCCCGGGCACCGGCCCTGCAGCTAAGGGCCACTGCCGGTCTCAGACCGCAGGCTGGGCCTCCATGGAGCACCTGAGCTCACGTCATCCCTGGAGCACTGCAGGGAGCGGGACCCTGGTTGTGGTTACACCTGGGCCCCTGGGGCTGCAGAGCCCTTTCCCCAGCAAGCAGAGGGGCGCGTGCGGGTGTCTATGCCACCGCACCCCGCTCTGAGCTGGCAGGGCAGCTGGGCCTCAGCGTGTCTCCCGGCCGTGGCCGGGGACCTCGTGCTTGGCATCCCTGCCGCCCTGAGAAGTGCCCAGGAGCTTCTTCGCCACACAGGGCACCGTGGCGCTGGGAGGTGGCCCCCGTGTGTGTGTGCAGAGGCGTGAGTGTGCATGTGTGCGGCGGGGCACGTCCTCTGCTTCCGTGCTCAGCCAGCCGGTCCTTGGGAGAGGCCACTGAGGGGCCTGTCCGGACGCAGAGCCAGCCAAGCCTGCCCCTTGGCCAGGTATGTGGCCCAAAGTCTATGGTGCTGGCCCGGGAGGGCTTCGCACGCTCTGGGCCCACGCGTGCCCTTGGAGGCAGGCGTCTCAGCCCCAGGGTCTCACTGGCTGAGAGCAAGAGGCGCTTGTGGCATGAGTGGGCGTGGCCTGCAGGAAGCCGGTGGTGCCAGGCAGTCTGGGGTTTGGCCACCCTGGAGCGCAGGCGCGGAGGACGCCCCAGGCCCTCTGGCCGCAGGCACCGGGAGGGGCGTCCTTCCAGCTCCAGGTCCGGGCTCCGGGAAGCCCACCCTCGCCCCTGGGGAAGCAGTGACCCAGCGGCGCAGGGCGCGAGTGTGGTGCTGGCGTGGAGCTGGCCATAGCAGGCAGCCGAGGTGGTGGCTGATGCCCCGTGCCCGCAGGTGATGGACGTGCTGCATGCCATGGGCCCCGACACGGTGGTCATCACCAGCTCGGAACTGCCCTCCCCACGGGGCAGCGACTACCTGATTGCGCTGGGCAGCCAGAGGACCCGTGAGTCCCGCGCCAGGCCCTGCTGCCTGGACCGCGCTGGGGCCTCCCGGGAGGCTGGGGTTCCCGGGAGGCTGGGGTTCCTAGGAGAGCCATGCCCTGGAGCTCCAGGAGGGCACTGACGGGCGGGGCTGGCCCGCAGGGTGGGAATGGTGGGTTTCCCCAGCTCCCTGCAGGCGCAGGGCTCCCCGGCAGTGGCCCAGCTTTGCCTCGTGGGCGGGAGCCACGCAGGTGCTTCCTCTGCATGACCTAGAAGTGATCCGAGGCGGCACCCCCCCCACTGCCCCGGGCTCGTGTGCCAGCGCCCCAACAAGGCAGCCCCCCAGTCACACACACTCACACATTCCCCCCACAAACACCCTCCCCACAACTCAGAAACGTGCCCACGCGCACTCCCGTGCCCCAGGCCACCTCGCCCATCTCGCACGAGCTCGGCCCCTGGTGGGCGAGCTTCCTGGCTGCCCTCCCTGAGTGACCTCTGGGGCTCCAGTCTGTCCCTTTCCCCCTTGGGGTAGGAATTCCAGGGGACGGGGCAGGCCCTGAGCCTGTGTGTGCTGGCAGCTGGCCCCCTGCCGGCCCTGGGTCCCGGGTCAGCACCACCACCCTGCTTCCCCAGGGACCCCCGAGGGCTCCGTGGTGACCGAGCGCATCCGCATGGACATGCTCAAGGTGGACGCCGTCTTCGTGGGCACCGGGGACCTCTTCGCTGCCATGCTCCTGGCGTGGACGCACAAGCACCCCAACAATCTCAAGGTCAGCAGTGCCCCCCGCCCCTGCGCTCTGTGGAGCTGGTCACACTGATCCAAATGGGGGTGGCTGATGGTGCAGCCAGTTCCCGGTGCCCAACTGTCCAGTGTGGCTGCGCAGCCTGACGCTCAGGCCATCCCTGCTCCCCCGCCCCCCGTCACAGTACATTTGCGTGGAGAGAAAGCATTTTGCACAGGTGCTGCTGGTGGATCCATTGCTAGACTGATCTGGGCAGTTGGGGTGAGGCGTGGGGGCCTACGGCATGTCCCCTGTTCAGCGTGGAGCCCAGCACCCAAGCAGCAGCGGCTGGTGCCCCAGAGCCGGACTCACGTGTGCACCAAGCCGCCTGCCCCAGCCCTTCACAAGAGCTGCCTGCACGGCAGTGGGGCGGGGTGGAGGCCTGTGTCCTCCACAGTGTGGGGTGCTGATTGTGAGAGGAGGAACCACACCCCATGCCACAAGGTTCACTGGAGGATGAGCAGGGGGTCATGCTCTGGGCGTGGGGTCCCCTAAAGCTGTCCATGCTGGCGCCTAGAGGGACCCTTCCCCTGGGCACCCAGCCCCCCAGTGTGGCTGGAGAGCACAGGGTGTGGCTACAGGGCTGTACCCCGGCCCCTGCTCTCTCTTAGGAGGCTGGGGAGTGCACGTGTCACCTTCTGGAGCACCTCGCCCTCCTGCCTGGCTGGGCTGAGGGCGAACAGCTGTCGAGGCCACTGGGCCTGCGGCTGCCCACAGGCGGAGCCAGGACAGGGCAGCCCTGGGTCATGGAGCCAGGGTGTGTGCCGCTAGCTTCCCCTGCGCCCCAGCAGTCTCCTCCCCCCCGAGACCCCAGCAGCTACGAGCCCACCTCCAGGCAGGAGCACCTGCCCCTTAGCACCCTGTAACCACATCCGAAACGGGGCACCCCCCATCGGCTCTGCCAACGTCTGCAGGGCTGTCCCACGTGGGGCTGGGGAAGCTGAGGTGGGCACAGGGGAGTGGGAGGTAGGGTGGGGCCCAGCGCGTCCTCTCCCGCAGGTGGCCTGTGAGAAGACCCTGTCGGCCATGCACCACGTCCTGCAGCGGACCATCCGGTGCGCAAAAGGTACCCCGCGGGCCCCGCCTGCAGCCCTCCGCGTGGGGCTGGCGCCTGCCAACCCCAGCCTTACCCTGCGGGAAAGGGGCGGAGGGCTGTGGACTCCTGAGCCGGGACTGTGGGCCCCAGCTCCTCGGGGCCGGGGAGGCAGGCAGCGCCTCCAGACTCCCGGCCCTCACCGTGGCCCCTTGTCCTGCAGCCCAGGCGGGGGCGGGGCAGAGGCCCAGCCCGGCGCAGCTGGAGCTGAGGATGGTCCAGAGCAAGGAGGACATCGAGAGGCCCGAGATTGTCGTCCAGGCCACCGTGCTCTGAGGCCGGCGCCCGCCCCGCACGGACCCCCGCACAGCGCCTCGCCGCCCCCGTGTTCGTCCCCGTGAAACGTGACGTCTGCCCAGAGCCGCGGCCGACCGTGATCTTCCCTCCCTCGCCGAGCGTCCGGCGCCAACCGTTCTTAGTTGTGGAAATGTGCGGTCCTGCTTTTCAAAGAGTAACAAAGCAGCCTCAGAAACACGTGACCTGGAGACCCCCTGCCTCCCCCGGCCCGGGCACCTGCAAGCCAGCTGGGCTGCGGGGGCCAGAGGCGTGGGGCTCCTTGGCGGGCACAGGGTGCCAGTGTGTCTGAGCCTCCGTGGTTCCTCTGCCCCTGGAGCTGTACCCAGTCCCCCGTCTGCCCCGCCTGTCCTGGTCCGAGCGGTGTCTGTCCTGCGCTCCGTGTGTCTGTCCTACGCCCGGAGGGTCCCGATGTCAGGGGTCAGCAGGTGGACAGGGTGGTGATGGCAGCATCTCAGACACGGGCCTGCAGCACCTCGCAGCTCCTTGTAACGCACCATGTCGGGCCCTGCTGAGCCAGGGACGGAGACACAGTGGCTACGAGCGTGGCAGGGGCGGGGCCAGTGGGGGCCTGGGGAGATGGCCACCTGGGGTTCTTCAGGCGGCGCCGTGGGAAGTGCTGCCAGCCAGCCCTACCTCAGGCCCCTCGCTTGTCAGGCCATGTTTGTGTGGGTGGGTACTGAGGCAGGGCGGGCCCCTGCCCCACTGCTGGCACATTCAGCCCACTGGCCCACCACCCCCCAAGTCCATTCTGTGCCAACCAGGGGCCAGGAGGCAAGAGCCTGCTGGGGGCAGCTGCAGCTCCCTGCCCTCCCCAAGTGGGGCATGCTGGGGTGGCGTGGCAGGGCCCGGCAGGCTCTGACATGGGTCCGTCTACCCTGCAGGGTGGCCTCCCTGGGGCCGCCAAGGCCACAATGTGGGCCCCGGGACATGGCTGCAGGTGGCACTGCCGTCCACCCTGAAGATTGGCCCACCTTGACCTCTGCGCCGCCCCTAGCTCCTGAGCGCGGATGGTGCCAGTGTGGGGAGCCCAGCGGGAGAGGGTACCGGCAGCACGAGCAGGGGGAGCCCCTGGGCCGCACCCCGTCCCGTGCAAGCCCTGGAGCTGCGCCCTGTCTCCATGCTCTTCAGCGTCTTCCAGCAGCACTGGGGCCTGTCGGTGCGGCCCCCACAGGAGGCACTGCCCTGCCTCCAGCTCCACTGGGCTCCGAGTAGAGGTGCACTCTCGATGACCAGGCGCGGGGCCAGGGCATCTGTGTTTACCGAGGGGCCCTGACCCAGGAGGAGAAGCTGGGGCGAGCGAGCCCTGGGCCCCGCCAGGACGGAGCTGCTTGCCCTGTGGTGAGCGGCAGCCGATGGAGGCCAGGAAGGCCCGAACGTGCCTCGTCTGTGATGGAGGAGCCCAGAGGCCTGGCCGGCAGGAGATGAGCTGGGCCACTGCCCAGGCCTGTGCCCCCGCTGCACTCGGGCCCAGCCAGCAAGGGCGGTGGCTCTTCCTGCGAGAGCGCCTTCCTCCTGCAGAGCTGCTGAGAGCCCCGGCTGCCAGCTGTCGTCCTCCGGGCGGGGGGGCGTCGGGGTCCTGGGGCCCTCGTGGGGTGCAGAGGCGCAGCTGCTTTCCCGTCAGTGCAGTGTCTGTCATGCCCCGGGGCCTGGGCTGTCTGTCTAGAACTTTCCAGAGTTCATGGTCACTGCAGTGATTTTGGTACATCGGGTCCAATTTTGAATTAATCTTTGTTTTCCGTCCCGTGGCTCGTTAGCGTGCACGGCGTTGACGTGAGGTGAGCGCGTCGCGGCCGGGGCCCCTGCTTACTGTCAGCGTGCAGAGTTTTAATACTTTCTTAATTCACTTTTTCAAGCCTTCTGTAGCTCTTGAAGGTGGATCCCAAAGCGTGATCCTTTTTAAAATCAGTTTTAAATGACCGCCTCGTCCTGCAAGGTAGTCGTGCTCGTCTGTCCTCTCTGCAATACATGTCGGTGGTGGAGAACGACCTTTGTCTCCGAGCGTCAGTCCTGGGGGGAGGGCCGCTGCGCTGCCACGCCGTGCCCCTCGCGGAAAGCCCCCCGCAGCTTCACCGATGAGGAAAGGATCTGGAGCTGCTGGCCCCGGAGGGACGCTGCAAGCAGCGCGGAGTGGAGTGGGCCCTCGCAGGGGTGGGGCGGGCGGGCCACAGTGCCTCGCGCCCCCTGGTTCACTCTTCAGGGGGCTGCACAGCAGGCAGTGGGCTCTGGCCCCGGGGGCCCTCCCGGGCATCACTCCTCTTGCCTGTGTGCCTTGCGCACCTGCCCATGCCGGGACGGCCAGGAGCCCCTTCTCTGCTGCCCACCCCGGCTCTGGGCCCCCTTCCCGCCCGTCTCCCTCTGCGGCCAGGTCTCATGCCCCTGCCTGGGCCCAGGGGAGGGGGTGGCGTGGGAGTGACGGCAGCAGGGAGTGATTGTGGGGTACAGGCCTCAGCTCTGCCACGGGGGCTACACATGCTGAACCCCTGTTTGCACCCCACACCCTTCAGGCTGCAGGGGGCCCCTTGGTATCCCTGCACTCTTTCTGGAGAGCACCTGCCCCTCATGTCCTTGTGCGGCACGTGGAAATGAGTGCTGGGGGCGCTCGGGGTCCGTCCCGGTAGAAGAGACCTCAGTCTGCAGGGGGACTCTTTAGTGGGGGGGTCTTACTCTGTCAGGTGAGGGGAACCAGGTTTTATGGCCTGTGCTGGCTCATGGGGAGCCTCCCCCTAGTGCCAAACCTGACCCCCCAGCCAAACCTGACCCCACAGGAAACAAGTTCTAATTTGAGACTTCTGGGGGTGGGGGGGTGCAGCCCGAACAGGCCTGTGGGCTCCGGGGCACGGGTAGTGGTATCCGCGCCTCGGCCCAGCCTGCCCTGCTCGGGTGTGCTCTGATAGCCCTCCTTGCAGGGCCAGTGGCTGCCGAGCTGGCTCTGTGGGCTACAAGTGACCCCCAGAGTGACCGGGACATGCGGCTGCCTTTCCCTCGAGTGATCTGCAGGTGCCACCTAATGCCGCGCCAGCCAGCCAGCTGGGTGCTGGAGATGGGGCAGTCCCCTAAACATCTCCCCTGAAGGGAAGGGCCCGCCTCGTCCCACGCACTGAGGCTAGGCTGCCCATCACACCGGCTCTGTTCTCAGCCCTGGGTGGGGGCCCCTGACCCTCCACCTTCCTGGAGAGATTGGGGGGCAGCTGCCTTTCTGTCCTCCCCGCTGATGGAGTTTTGTAGAGTTTGGGGTTCCTCTGGGAAAGGTGTCCCCAAAGTTCCCGTTTCAGCGGCCCCGGCGAGTGCCCCGGGCGAGTTTCTCCAGAGACAGAGAAGTGGTTCTGTGCCCCGGGCAGGTTTATTCGGGAAGGGACGGGGGAGCAAAGGGCACTTGCGCCAGCCGCCAGCGGGCAGGAAGGGCTGCCCGAGAGAGACGGCTCTGCTGAGAGGCTGCATGGCCGCGGGCGGCCTCCGCTGAGGGGGTCCGTGAGGAGACGCCCGGGCAGGTGCAGGCCACGGGCGGGCAGGAGGCCGCTGCCCTGCAGGGGGAGAGTGGGTGACAGGAAGCACCTGCGCGGGCACGGGCGGGCGGAGGGAGCGCTGCCCCGTTGCGGGGGCCGGTTGGGGTTTGGCATCTTCAGGGAGGGCGCATCTTCGCGGGCGGATGGTCTGTGCCCCTGACCCTCCCTGTAGCGGTGGGTGGTTTCTGGGTGTGGCGCCTCCTGATCTGGGCGTCGGCGCCTCAGGGTCTTGGTTCCCATAACCGGGTTAAGGGATTACGCTCCCCCCGCCCCGGCCTCCTGTGAGTCAGGCTCCTGACCTCGCGTCTCCCTTGCGGTTTTTCCATCATCCTCCATCACTGCCAGAGTCTGAGGGCCACCCGGGGCCCAGCGGCTGCGGGGCTCCTTGAGGCCTGGCGGGGGGCAGCCCCGACGCTCTGGGATTGCTCCCGTGCTTGTAAGCGAGCCCTCGGCTCAGCGCTCGGTCTTCTCGGGGCCAGAAGGCGAGGAGGGGCTGAGGCGGGCTGGCGTCTGCCTGGGGCCCACAGCCGTCCCGGCCTGTAGCTCACAAGCAAGCCTCCCCCGCCCCACCCCTCAGCAGGAGGCCTGATGGCGATGCCCACATGTGGGACAGTCCTGGGGGCCGCAGTGAAGACTGGTGGGCAGGGCGGGTCCCTCAGTGTCCCGGGAGCCTCTGCCTTGCCAGCTTCCGGGCGCCTCAGAGCCCCGCCTCCCTCGCTCCCTGACCCGCCTCCGGCAGGGGCCCGCGGTGGCATCTGAAGAGAGCCCGCCACACAGGCCCCTCGTAAAACCCACCACTGCCCTGGGGCTCAGCGGCCCGAAGCGCCGAGATAAGCTCAACCAGAGATGAGCCGACAGCAGGAAACAGTCCAGCGGACCTCCCGGCGGCGTAAATCCAGCACAGACCCTCGGGCAGGAGATCCCGTCCGCCCTCCGCCCCCGCCCTTGTGAGCACAAAAAACAATCCTGGCAGTAGCCTAACCCCAGGAAGACCCATGCTCCCATTTTGGGGTGCGACTCGGCCTGCAGAGTCTCGTCACCTCACGGACTTCCAACAAAGCCCGTGTTTGTCTGATACTCTTGGCCTCCTCTCCTTCCTAACATCGACACCCCATAATCCAGGGCCCTTCAGCCCATGTGCAGAGCAGGAGCCCGGGGTGGGAGGTATCGGGGCTGCCTTGTAACAGGTAACGGGGCAGCCCGCAGCCCTGTGTCCCCACCCCTGTGGCAGCCCAGCAGAACGCTTGAGGCAGGACCCTTGCCGCCATGTGGGTCCCTGGAGAACCTGGATATTTCCCTGGGCCACAGGCCAGAGACCAACTCACCTTTACAAGAAATGAGCCGACACCCCAGGGAGCCCACGCTGGGGAGCCTGACAACACCTCCTGCCCCACCTCCCCACAAACTTTCTCACCCAAGCCCTTTACAGTCAGACCCGAGCCCCACGAGACGGGTCTTTTTGTGTGTGTGCATAGGAGAGCTGGGGTGCGGGCCAGAGTTGCAGGGGGGTCGGGGAGGATTCACCAGAGACAGAGTGGGGAGCAGAACTGGTGGATCCACTGAAAGCCACTGCTGAGGGGAGCAGTGGGGAGACGGGAGAGGTGTCTCCCCTGGCCAGGATCACACTCAGAGCACAGCGGTGACAGCCTGAGACTGAACCCAGCACCCCCAATGAGACGAGGTCTCTCTGGCCTTGGCCTCTTGGCTGCCGGCCGGAGGAACATGCTCACCAGCCGCGCCTCCCCACCCACCCCCATTCTGGCATCCAGGGAGACGAGTGGCAAGCCTTGGAAACTTGGGTGTCACTGGCCAGGTCCAGGGCAGGTCGCTGCTGACCCTGTCTTCCCGTCCTGCAGGGGCTGCTGCCCTTGTCCACCCGCCCGCCTGGAGGGCCCCACGGGGAGCTCGGCAGATGTCCACTTCAATGCAGAACCACTTAGTTTGTTGAGACCCAAGACCTGCTCACGACCCCGTGTCCTAGCCTTGGTGAGGGTTGCCCCTTCGCCCCCTCCTGACCTGGGGCACCACCTGGGTCTTCACACACAGCAAAGCGCTACCAGCAAGGGCATGCGGTGTGCAGGCAGCTCTGGCGCGCGTCACGGTCACCAGAAGCGCAGGCTCCGCCTGGGCCCTCTCCACGCTGCCCGCTGTACTGGGCACATGCAAGCACGCGTGCCAGCGCTGCCTGACCTGGGGATGGGCAGTGACCCTCTGGAAACCAGAATCACGATTCCTGGGGCAGAGGCCGGCCCAGCCCCTCCCCACACCTTAACCTCCCCACCACCAAATGAACAGCAGCATCCTGGCGCCTGCGGGCTGGTCTCCAGTCACCTCCGCTGACTCCTTGGGGGAGTTGGTGGAGACGCCGCTGGGCCCAGGAGCCCACCCACCCGCAGTGCGGACAGAACTGGCTCCTCAGGGAGGAGGGCTCTTGGGGCGGCCCTGGGGGCACAGCTGTGGTGGCTGAGGGACTTCAGGGGCCACTCCTGCCTCTGAGCTTCGTGTTTGCAGGTGACAAAAGAATCCAAAACAAGTTTGTAAAGAGTTAAGAAACTACTGTATTCTGGAGCTCACTGAGGGGGAGGGAAGCCCAAAAGGAACTGTGACCAGGACGGCCTTGCAGCGGGCAGAGCATGGGAACGTGGCGGGGGGGGCTAGAAGTAGGACAGCTCATCCTGCCGGGTCTTGCGGGTCTGGTAGCTGGACAGGGACAGGGGCTTGTTTTCGTGGGGGAGGCTCTGAAAGACCCGAAGGTGCATGAAGTCTTCCTCGCCCACTTGGACCTGGAAGGAGACCGTGTGTGAGGGCAGCTGTGGGTGGACCGAGTTCCCTGCTGGACTGGCCGATGGCCCCGCTCTGCCAGCATCTCACCCAACACCCGCAGAGCGCTCAGTGCCCCAGAGGCCCGGCCTCCCGCCCAGGCGGCCAGGCTTGCCCACACGCGCACCTGCCCATGCAGGTGCTCATCTCAGGCCACCCATCCCGGAAGCGGGGCTGCCTGGCCCGCCGCACCCCTGAGCCCACACCACCTGCCCAGGCCCACCCACCTTGATGAAGAAGTTCCTCCCGGCGACCAGCTGGCTCTTGAACTCCACGGCCTTGAACATGGGGAACGTCTTGTTCTCCTTCTCTTCCAGCTGGGCCTTCACCTGTGGGGGGACCAACCGCAACTTGCAGGCCTCCCACTGAGTGTCCTCACCAGCGGTTGTAGGTGATGGACAAAGAGCAGACGCCCTTTTCCTTCTGTGGCACATCAGTGGCGCCCAGCGTCCTGCTGGCCCTTCTCTCCCAGACACAGGCACTTTTACACTTTCGTCCTTACAACACTGTGGACATCTTTATTCACTTCATTTGCATGTAGAAGAGCTGGGGTGCAGGCCAGAGGTTCCTGCACCTCTGGTGAGAGGACTCCCCAGAGACAGAGCGGGGAGCAGAACAGGCAGATACACTGAGATACACTGCTGAGGGGAGCAGAGGGGAGACAGGAGAGGTCTGCCGCGCCCCGGGGGTTGCCTCCCTGCCTGGGGATGTCAGGCCACAGCGGTGACAGTGTGATAGTGGTTAAGTGAGACTTAACCCCTGCGCCACCAGGGAGGCCTTGTGTATATCTTTATCCCATTTTTCTTGTCAATGAATGTGGGAACAGTTCACATGAAAGACCTTATGTTGTTTTTAAACTATTCTTTTGGGCCTCCCCTGGTGGCGCAGAGGTTGAGCGCTGGGTTGCGAAGCTGCCCGCAGCCTCTGCAGCGCCGGTTCGATCCCCGGCTGCTCCCCGGCCACCGGTGAGGGTCCCACATGGCGCGCAGACCTCTCCTGCCGCCCGCTGCTCCCCTCAGCAGTGTCCTTCGTCAGTCTGCCTGCTCTGCTCCCCACTATGGCTCTGGTGAATTCTCTCACCCCCCACTCCCTGCACTTCTGACTGTACCCATACCCAGTGCTTGTATAAATAAATAAATAAATCTAAAAAAATGCAAATATTCTCCAATTAAAATCTTCCACTTGAAACAAAATCTAATCTTTTTTAAAAAAGATTTATTTTTAGGGCCTCCCCGGTGGCGCAGCGGTTGAGCGCTGGGTTGCGAAGCTGCCTGCAGCCTCTGCGGCGCCGGTTCGATTCCTGGCTGCTCCCCGGCCACCGGAGGAGGGTCCCGCATGGCGCGCAGACCTCTCCTGCCGCCCGCTGCTCCCCTCAGCAGTGTCCTTCGGTCCTTCTGCCTGCTCTGCTCCCCGCTCTGCTCTGGTGAATTCTCTCGCCCTCCCGCGCTTCTGACTGTACCCAGTGCTTGTATAAATAAATAAAAATAAATATTTAAAAAAAAAAAAAAGATTTATTTTTATTTATGTATATATACAAGATCTGGGGTACAGGCCAGAGGTGTGGGAGGTGAGAGGATTCACCAGAGACAGAGTGGGGAGCAGAACAGGCAGATTAACTGAAGTACACTGCTGAGGGGAGCAACAGGCGAGTAGGAGAGGTCTGCAGCCCCTGTGGGTTGCTCCCTGGACGGGGATCCAACTCATGCAGAGGCTGCAGAGGTTGCAGACAGCCTCATAGGTTGCCTCTTAACCCCTTGCCACCAGGGAGGCCCTAAATCTAATCTTAAGTCTACGTTTCTGTCATGAAGCGAGCCCTGGAGCCGCCTCCCTAGGTCCCCCTCGCAGGTGGGGACAACAGCTGAGTCAGCTGAGTGCCCGGCAGGGAGGGGTACTTTGTGGGGTCTGGGTCCCCAGGCCCTGCTCCTGCTCTCAGGGGCCGACAGGAAAGGGCCTGTCTTGGTTTCTGGTCTTTTCCTTTAAGGAGCTGAGCAGCTTTGCAGGAAGGAGTGAGTGGTTTGTCTCTTCCTGGGTTTAGTGAAAGACACGCTCTGGCCACATCTGATCTCTGGCCACATGTGATCAGCCCGAGGGCCCTGGCCAAGCTTCGGGGAGGGGCCGGGCTGGGGACTCAGAGGGAGCCGGGCCGCAGGGCTGGGAGTGCAGAATGCGGCTCAGCGCCTGACCTCGCCTTCTCCGGGGGTCTGCGGCCTCCACCCATCCCTGGAGACACCGGCTGGGCCACCCGGTGTCCCCCCCAAGTTCTCTCCCGCAGTGATGGGACCACCCACCCCCACCCCACGTGCAGCGTGACACCACATTTGGGGCCTTGGGAAGCCGGGTGTCCCCGCGCTGGCGTGCGCCCCGGTCACGCGCAGGGCTTGGGGAGCAAACCCCCCTTTCCAGAGGGCTCGTGGGGCTGACTCATCCCCGGCGGCGCGCGGGGCGGGGCGGGCCTGGGAGGGCGCGCGGGGGCCCCGCCGGCGCCTTCGGGCCCAGGGCTGCGGGGCGGGGTGGGGGGGCCGGCGCCCCTCCTGCCGCGCCGTTTCCTCGCCCCCGGCAGCTCTAATCAATTCGGAGCCGGGTCAAACGTCTCCAGCCTAGAAGAGCGCGGGGCGCGCCCTCTCCCCGCCCGCGACCCCGAACACGGGCCTCTGCCCCGGGGCCCCGGCCGGCGCCCCTCCCGCCACTCGCGAGTGGGCGCGGCCTCGGGGCCAGGGGCGGCCCCGGCCCCCTACCTGGTCGGCGATGGCCTGGGTCTCGGCCGTGGCGGGCCGCGCGGCGGTGGGCGCGCCGCACATCATCCTGCCGGCGGGGCGCGCTCGCGGCGGGGGCGGCGGGCGGGGCTGGGCGCGGGGCGCAGCCTCCCCGGCCTAAGTAGGCGCGGCGGTCACGTGGCGCGGCGGTCACGTGACGGGCGGGCGGCGCGCGGCGCCCTCGGGTGCCCGAGCCGGTCCCCGCGCCTAGGGGCCCAGGCCCAGGCCGGCCCCCCGCCCCGCCCCCCCCCCGGGCCTGCGCGCACGGCCCCGCCCCGGCCCCCAGCCCGCCCCAGTCCCTGGCCGCCCCCCCAGCCCGCCCCAGTCCCTGGCCGCCCCCCCAGCCCGCCCCGGCCCCCAGCCCGTCCCGTCCCTGGCCCCCAGCCCGCCCCGTCCCTGGCACCCCCCCAGCCCGCCCCAGCCGGGTCCCCAGCCCGCCCTTCCTCACCGAGACGAGTGAGGTCCAGAGAAGAGGGGGGAGCGGGACCTGAGTGCCACGCAGGACAGAGGAGCGTATGGGGGGCGGGGGCGGGGGTTCAGGCCTCACTCCCAAATGCTTCCCGAGGCTTGGCACCCCTCACCTGCAAACACCAGGCTCCGCACCCCACTTGTGCAGGCTCCTGTGCCAGCGCTCTGGACGTCAGGGCCTGTGACCTCGGGACACAAGGCAGGGTCGGCAAAGGGCGCTGGATTGGGACTTTTGGGTAGGGTTAGATCCAACTACCTGGGGAGGGGCGGTCCCTTTCCTTTTGTGGGGCAGGGTGGGGGGTGCCTATGTGGGGAGCTGTCGAACAGGAGGGCCTTTCAGAAAAATCCAGCAGCCCCCACCCAGACCGCAAGGTCCAGCTTTTCCTCCCGCTGGGCCCAGGGGTGTCACCTGTGAGCAGGTGTGCCGGGCGTGAGCCTACCTGCCCAGGCAGGGCCCGGCCTGTAACTTCAGGAAAGGGTGGGAGGTGAGGTGTGGCTGAGCCCTGGGGACAGGGAGGAGACTCCTGGGAGCTTTCATAATTGAATGAGTAGTTGACAGACTCATCTGACCTCGTGAATATGGAGGCGTCTTCCGTGTATGAAGCAACGGACCTAACAAAAGCTCTGGGAGGGAAGGCAGGGGGTTTGGGGCCTTTTCTGGGCCTGCAGCTTGCTGCACTCCCCCCCACCCCATGTCCTGCCTATGGTCAGCCCTTCTCCCTGGACCTGGGTGTGCAGGCACCACCAGCCAAAGAGGCTGGTGGCTCAGAAAACCAGTCTCAGAGCCGAGAGGCGGTTTCCACAAAGGAAGCATTTTATTAGCGCGCGGGCAGTAAGCAGAGAAGGCAGGTGCGCCCGGCGGGGGTAGTGGAGTGTGGGCTGATGATTCCTCTGGAGAAGCAGCTCGCTTCTGAGTTCGGAGCATGGCGGGGGGCTTCGTGAGGCGCTGATGGTACCAGCATCCTGGGAACAGAAATACCTCGCCAAGCACCAGGCCCTGCCAGCAAGGCCAGAGGAACGCAGTCAGTGGCTTCTAAGGCCAGGGTCCTATCCCTGGGTCAGGGCTGGCCACACAGGCGCCCACGATTTGCAAACAGAAGGGCTAATCAAGGCCCCCGATGAGAACAAGCAAAGGCCATTTATTCAGAGCTGCTGTGACCCTCACTTGGGTTTGGCAGAGGCCCAGGCAGGCGGGAAGAGGCAGCGGAGAGCAAGAGAAGGCAGGCTCGGGGCCCCGACAGGCTGTGAGCAGACGCACCCCAAGCAGGGAGTCCTGAGTGATTGGTCCAGGGGTGTATTTGGCGTTTTCTGGCATGTGAGTCAGAAGAGGCAGGGGCAGGTTCGGGGAAGCTGGTGGTCCTGGCCAGTCCAGCCCTTTGGGCTGATGGCCACAGACTGGCTTCAGCTTCTGGATGGTGGCGGCAGAGGTCGTGGGTCAGAGTTATCTCGCCTGGCCGGCCACCGCCTGGCTCCACACCCCTCCTCTCTCGCTGCTATATGCGGTCACAGCTGCTTTATTCTGGTCTGGGTCCAGACAGATGCTCTCAAACCACCCGGCAGAGGTCCTGGAGACCACACCCCAGGGCCTGCTGTGTGGCGCAGAGCTAGCTACTGGGCCTCCCTGCGCTCTGTGGGGATGCACAGCAACCTCAGGAGTCTTTTTATTTTATTTTTATTTTTTTGGTATTGTTGTCTTATTTATTTTTAATATTTATTTATACAAGCACTGGGTAGAGTCAGAAGCGCGGGAGGGTGAGAGGATTCACCAGAGCCAGAGCGGGGAGCAGAGCAGGCAGAGGGACCGAAGGACACTGCTGAGGGGAGCAGCAGGCAGCAGGAGAGGTCTGCGCGCCATGTGGGATCCTCCTCCGGTGGCCGGGGAGCAGCCGGGGATCGAACCGGCGCCGCAGAGGCCACGGGCAGCTTCGCAACCCAGCGCTCAACCGCTGCGTCACCAGGGAGGCCCATCAGGAGTCTTTTTAAATCACTAAATGAGTTTACGTGTGAAACGCCCTGGGTCGTATCTGAGCTCCAGGACCAGCTGGCAGCTTCCTCCCGGTTGTCGGCCAGTGCGCCGACACAGCTCACCCAGTCACTGCGACGTTGTATATCCAAAGGGCCTGGAAGATGCTGGTATTTCCCTCTCATTCCTGATGCCACGGCTTTTCATCTTACTGGAGCAGGGCAAAGACCATCTGTCTTGTCCTGGGGGCCAACTCAAGGACGTTGAACAGCGTGGCCGGTGGAGATCTGTATTCTGGGGGGCAACTTCGCAGGGGCTGAGCAATGAGAAGCGCCAGAGCTGGGGCAGGCTGTCACACTGCGGACAGGATCTGACGTGGAAAAGGATGAAGAAGGTGAAGGTGGCAGAGCAGAGCGCGAGGCAGGGCCCTTCTGGGCAGGCCAGGCCACGAACTGCAGGTAGCCGGCTGGGAAGCCATCCTGGCCTGGACCTGGGGCGTCCAGTGTGAACACGGATTTCTCCACACTTTCTGGAAGGCACAAGCAGGACATCTTCGGGAAGTGGAGTCCCTCAGCATCAAATGGAAACGGGAGAGCGGGTCTTTATTTCTTGTGGCAGGAGGTGACCCTCTATTGCTGACTTGTGCCCAGGGCACTGTCCCCAGCTGTCCTCAGTGTTCTTCATCCTAGCTATGCCGTGGCACAGAACAAATGCCAGCGCCCTGGTGGGTGTGATGTTATGGGGTACTATAGCTAGAAGGTGGAAAACACATCTACTCCCCAAATTCCCATGAGAATTTCCTTTTTGCTATTGTAATTTTTAAACTTTTTTTTTTTAAGATTTATTTATGCATACAAGAGCTGGAGCACAGGCCAGAGATGCAGGGGGTGAGAGGACTCACCAGAAACAGAGTGGGGAGCAGAACAGGCAGACTGACTGAAATACACTGCTGAGGGGAGCAGCGGGGAGACAGGAGAGGTCTGCTGCGCCCTGTGGGTAGCTCCCTGGTTGGCCAGGGATGGAATTCATGCTGCAGAGGCTGTGGATTGCTTCATAGTGTGGTGCTTAACCCCTTGTGACACCAGGGTGGCCTCCTTCAACCTTTTTATACTAAAGTAATCTGAGATTACAAGAGTAGTGCAGGATTTCTGGAAGCCTCCTCCTCCCCCCCCACCCCCCCCCCCAGCATTTCCACAAGCAGGAGTGCAGCACCAGTGCCAGGGCAGGAAATGGCCCCAGATGCAATCCCATGGCCAGACGTGCAGACTGACTCACATTCTACCCGCATCTAAACCCCCTTTGAGGGCCTCTCCGGTGGCGCAGTGGTTGAGCGCTGGGTTGTGAAGCTGCCCTCAGCCTCTGCGGCGCCGGTTCGATCCCCGGCTGCTCCCCGGCCACCGGAGGAGGGTCCCACCTGGCGCGCAGACCTCTCCTGCCGCCCGCTGCTCCCCGCAGCAGTGTACTTCGGTCCTTCTGCCTGCTCTGCTCCCCGCTCTGGCTCTGGTGAATTCTCTCACCCTCCCACGCTTCTGACTGTGCCCAGTGCTCGTACAAACAAATAAAAATAAATCTTTAAAAAAAATAAAATAGACCCCCTTGGCGATCTGGACCCTCCCACTAGCACGTCCTTGTCCTGTGGCCTAGTGAGCCAACCTGGAGCCATGCTGAAGTTTTGTCTCTCAGGATCTGGATCACTTATTTCGGAAATAATCCTGTTTGGGCTTGCCTGCGGTTTCCTCACAGCCAGGTGGAGCTGGGCCTGCGTTTCCTGGTTTCCCTTCTCTGGACTTTCTCTTGGACTGCTTGCTCTGTATCCTTTTGCTATAATGAGTCGTAGCTGTGAGTCCTCCTAGCAAACCAGTGAACCTAGAGATGCTTTTGGGGTGCCCTGACATATGGCATGTAGGGTAAGTAAAAAGTGTCTGGCTTTTCTGCCCTCCCGCCATTAGATTAAATGCATGCCTGATGGCGGACACCTGGAGTAGGCATGCATAGGTGCGTACACCTGGACTGGCTTACAAGAACGGAAGAGTACCACCAGAATGAGAACCAGCGAGGGAACGCAATGGAACCAGCAGAAGAGAGAGAGCAAGATGAGAGAACAAGCCGAAAGAACGCTGGAGAGCCCAGGTAGAGTGAAGATTTGCTGGGAGGCCTGCCAGCCTCCCAGCACCCCTGCCTGCCATGTACCCGGTAAAATGGCAATAAAAGCCTGAAAAAGCCACCGATGGCTCCAGCACTCTCCTTTACCCATCTGCTCCAACCAGAGAACCTGCTCTGTACCCATCCTGCCACTATATGGCACTTACAGAAAAGTCTGTTGACCCCATTTATACAAACAGCATTGTCACACCTAAGAAGATAAACATTTTTGTCTAACCTCTGGCCCATATGCAAGCTCTCCCAGTTGCTCCCAGATGACTTCTGGAGCTTTCTCTCTGAACTGGGTTTCAGGGAGATTTGCATATTGCACCCCTCCCCCCATATTCAGTCGCCTATACCCTCGTTCCTGCCATTAACCTGGGGAGGCGGTCTGGCTCGTGACCGTTTTCCAGAGCCCGAAGCCCGGAGCAGAGGCCCGCGGGAGGCCGGCTCGCGGACGGCGGTGTGTCCGGGCCTCTCCCGCCCGCCGATGACCGACGACCCCCGTCCACAGCGACTCACGCGGCCGGCGGCCTCCCTCCTCGCCCTTCACCCGAGCTGCCGGCGTTCCCGGCCAAGAAGCGCGCCCCTCACCCCCGGGAGCGGGTACGCACGACCCTCCTGAATCAGAGGTATCCGCAGCGAAGGTCCCCCCGACGGTCGCCACTAGGCGCGGCCGGGTCATCCGCCCGCAGAGGAGCGAGCACAGACCGCCCGCGCGGACGGTGACGTCACGCCCCGCGCCCGGACGGAGAGACGCTGGCGGTGACGTCTCATGCGCGCCCGGGAAGGAGCGGCGCTGGCGGTGACGTCTCATGCGCGCCCGGGACGGAGCGGCGCAGGCGGTGACGTTACGCGGCGCGCGCCGGAGTGGCGGCGAGGTCCTGAGGCCCGGGGCTCGGCGGCGGCGGTCATGGTTTCGCGCGTGCGGCTCCCTCCCGAGGTCCAGCTGGCGCAGCGCCTGGCGGGGAACGAGCAGGTGACCCGGGACCGGGCGGTGAGGCGGCTCCGCAAGTACATCGTCGCCAGGACTCAGCAGGCCGCAGGTAGGCGCGGGGCTGGGGGCGGGCCCGGGCGGGGCGGGGCGGGCAGGCCCGGGCCTGGACTGGGGTGCTCGCCGCCGCGTGGAGCCTGCGCGTGGCCGGGTTCCTACAGCCCGGCGCCCCGTGACCGGGGCGGTGCCCTCGTGGCCCTCCGCGTGGACACCCCTCCTCAGACCTTAACGCCTTTGCCCGGCTCAGTTCCCTTTTTCTGGGAACCTGCCCTCCCAGTCAGACCATACGTTCCTCTGCCCATTGCTTTCCCGTCAGAGCGCTATTTGGCATTGTGGGTCGCTGTTTGTGTAATTTTTGATGTGTCGTTTGGCCAGAAATGCACCCTGTTCCTTAAATGGGGAACCGCTCTAGAGCAGTGGTTCTCAAGCGTGGCCCTTCTCAGTAGCTTCAGCATCGCCTGGACACTTCCTTAGAAATGGACACTGTTGGGGCCCAGCCCAGACCTGAATGGGCAGATGGGGTAAGGCCAGCAGTCTGTGGCCTAAGCAGCTCCCCGTGTGATTCTGATACTAAGCCTTGTCCCAGGAGCAGGCACCAGATTTTTTCTTTTGAAACATGAACTGTCGGCAGAAAACTGCAGACTTTTACGTGTAACACTGGGTGAGTAGTTGATACGCTCAGCTTTGTAGCCACCCACTGGCTCAGGAGACACAGTGCTGTGCCTGAGGCGAGTAGCTGTTCAGTCAGTGTCACCGAGTTCATGGATAGCAGCCACCTGGGGAGCCCCTGTAGCCACAGAGCCCGTGGGTGCTGAGTCATGATGCTGCCTTGGGTGGAGGTGCCTCCTCAGGAGGACACATTCCTCTGACTTTGCACTTACACTGAAGGGTGGCTCCTTGGGTCTGAGTGGTGCTGGTTCTGGTGCAGGTGGCTTCACCCATGACGAGCTGCTGAAGGTCTGGAAGGGACTGTTTTACTGCATGTGGATGCAGGACCAGCCACTCCTCCAGGTGAGTGTGGGCAGGTAGCAGCAACCCCGGTGGAGCACAGCTGGGCCTGTGGTGGACCTGCATTCTGACGCTGCAGAGATGGCTGGGTGAAGTTTATGGCTCCTGTGTTTTCCTCTTTATTTATTTATTTTTAAAGATTTATTTATTTATTTATTTATTTATACAAGTACCGGGTACAGTCAGACGTGCTGGAGGGTGAGAGAATTCACCAGAGCCAGAGCGGGGAGCAGAGCAGGCAGAAGGACCAAAGTACTCTGCTGAGGGGAGCAGTGGGCGGCAGGAGAGATCTGCGTGCCATGTGGGACCCTTGCCTGGTGGCTGGGGATCGAACCGGCGCTTCAGAGGCTGCGGGCAGCCTCGCAACCCAGCTCTCAACCACTGCGCCACCGAGGAGGCCCTGTTTATTTATTTTTGATGTTTCTTAAATGACCGGAAGGGCCAGGGGCTTTGGTCAGAGCGAGAGCGGGCCTTGCATTTGCTGAGTTGAGTGCCTGGAGAAGCTGGAAGCCATCCAGGTCACACTTGGTGAGGCCCTGGCTCATCCATGCTCTGCCAGGTAGCAGAGGAACCCGTTAGGGAAGCCCAGGGATAGAGCGGGGTTTTCTGAGACGAGGGTTTCTCCCACTGACCTTTTTTGTGGGTCTTTTTTTTTTTAATACAAGCACTGGGTGCAGTCAGAAGCGTGGGAGGGTGAGAGAATTCACCAGAGTCAGAGCGGGGAGCAGAACAGACAGACTGACGAAATACACTGCTGAGGGGAGCAGCGGGCGTGGCAGGAGAGGTCTGCACGCCATGTGGGACCCTCACCCAGTGGCTGGAGATCGAACTGGCACTGGGTTGCCTCGCAACCCAGCTCTCAACCACTGCGCCACCGGGGAGGCCCCCTTTTTTTTTTTTTTTTTAATGGACTTCATGTTTTTAGCGCCATGTCGGGTTCACAGTAAGCCTGAGAGGAGCAGGCACTGAGTGCTTTTGCAGACCCCTCCCCCGTGGCACACACTCTACCGTCGCGTCCCCCATGGGAGGGCGCCTCTGTCACACTGGGTGAACTAGCAGGAAACAGCATGTCATGCAGGGTCCACAGCCTACATCAGGCTTGTCCCTGGGGTGTGTTCTTGGACATCTGCATGACGGGCAGTGAGAGGCGCCACCAGCATGGTGTCCTGTGGTGTCACTAGACTGCCAGCCCCTCTCAGAGTGCAAGTCGTCTGCTCTTCACGAGCACCCGGGTTTGTGTTTTGTGCCTATGCTAGACTTGCTCACAGGGAGACTCTGGAATTTTCTCTGTGGCAAGCGTACCAGGTAATTCTCGACTGACTCGAGCGGTCTGGCTGACACCCTCCTCCGGCAGCTCAGGTGGCTGTGCGTCCCGGTCTCTCAGCCTCTCCCTTGACTGCCCTTCACCCTGGGCTTTTGTTGCTGGGGTTCAGTTTTGCCCCTTTTTGTGAGACTCTGCAGGTCCCGGCATGGTGGGCTGGCACAGTGGGGTCTTGAACATCATGCACACCAGCTGAAAGGCCCCCTGAGTCTGGGCCGGGTAAGTGGGTGAGTGGACAGCGAGGGCCATGTTTCTTTGGGTCTGAGGAGTTTTACTGTTCCCCATGCAGGAGGAACTGGGGAGGACCATCTCCCAGCTCATCCACGCTTTCCAGACCGTGGAGGCGCGTGAGTACCCTGCCATGGCTGAACCTGCTGGTGGGAGGGAGCCCGGGTCCCCGCTTGAACTGCTCTCTGCCAGGCACTGGCCCGGGGACTCCTGTGCAGCATGCCCTGGCTCCAGGCTCGGCGAGGAGTCTGGCTGGCTCACAGCATGCGCTTTAGAGTTCAAGCGGAAGCTAGTCTGGTGTCCCCCCGGTTTGGCCGAGTCTCTCCCGGTGGTGCACACTTCCTCCAGCCTATTCTAACTCTTTGCCGTCTTTAGAGACTCCACGCCCAGTGTCAGGCCGGGCAGCGTCCCTGGCACTGACCTCAGGGTGACTCTCTAGAGATGCCCCTGGCTCTGGGTGTGCTTAGTTCAGATGTGTGTGAGTGGGCGGGTAGTCATGGTTAGGGGCTGCCATCAGTTACAGACACTGCCATCACCTTTGCCCTTAGGAACCTGCAGAGGTCTCTGCTCAGCAAAAGGACAGATCCCAGGCTGTACCCAGGGGCACCTGAGTTCATGAGCATGAACCGCCCATTCCTCACCCCTCTGCTGCCTTTGCTGTTGGGAGAAGTCCCTAGTGGGAGCTGGGGAGGCCTTGGCATCCCAAGGTCAGGGCACCCCTTCCTCTTTAGAGAATGCGGCTGCACTTGGCTCCTCTCCCCCAGTTTCCCAGTCATCACAAATCTAAGCCACGCGCTTGTGGCACAGCGACTCGAGCCAGGTCCCGGTGTCCCAGTCCTGCACTCCCTTCCTAGAGCAGCGTCCACGCTCCTCCACCATTCTCTTGGGCCCTTGTCCCCCACAGAGCACCTGTTCCTCCAGACCTTCTGGCAGACCATGAACCGCGAGTGGCTGGGCATCGACAGGCTGCGCCTGGACAAGTTCTACCTGGTGAGGGGGCAGGGGCAGGGGGAGCGGGCACAGCTCGCATGGCCTGGGCTGTGCCCTGACAGCGCCTTTTGTCCCGCAGCTCATGAGGATGGTCCTGCGTGAATCCTTGGAGGCCCTGCGGACGCGGGCCTGGGAAGACAGGTTGGTGCCAGCACGCGTGTCGGGATGTGGCGCTGTGTGCTCTGCTCCCCTGAGGGCTCTGGGAGGTGGCATTGCAGCCCAGAAAGCTTAGGCCGAGTCTGAACTGTGCCTGCTCAGCGCCCGGCACTTGGCCAAGCAACCCTCCAGACGGCTGCTCTTGAAGCTGCTGCTGACGGGCACGCTGTCTACGAAACCGCGGCTCCCACCTGACTCGCAAGCGCTTCGGGGTGGCTCCAGCCCCTCTGGGACCCTGGGAGCAGCGGTAGGGCGTCCCGCCAGCCATGAGGCTCTGTGGCCAGAGAGCAGGTGCCAAGCCTTGGGGCACCTGGGTGCCGGGACCAGGTGTGGCTCCAGCGGTGGCCTTCAGCAGGGAGTCGCGTGAGGGTTTGTTTCCTCATGTCTTCCTCCTCCGAGCGCGGGGCGTGTTTGGTCTCGCGAGCCTGGCGCTGCTCAGAAACAGTTAGAAAGCAGCTGGTGGACCGCAACAGATCGGCTGCACGCTGACCAGCGATCCTGGAGAGGGAGGTGTTTGTCTCCAGCCGCTGCTGCTCTGGGCGGTCCCTGCGGGGCATTTGGCGGCTGGGGCAGGAAGCCTCGGCCCAAGGCCCCCGGGGCGCGGGGCCCAGGTTGGCGGACATGCCGCCAGCCAGTCCCGCGCTGAGCCGAGTGCTGCTGTGGCAGCTGGACATGAGCGCAGGCGCCAGGGCTCACCCTTCGGTCCTCTGAGGACCCTGCCACCCCTGCAGGCCGGTGCGGGCGCGCCCTGGGGGGCTGGTGACTGGGAGGGAGCAAACCCCGAGGAGGCAGTTCCGCTTTAGTGACGCTCTGTGGCTGATGGTCACGCACACGTGCAGCCTTGTTGTCACGGCGGCTCGGCGCCGAGGTCCCTCTGAAGAGGCGCCGCCGTCACGTCAGCATGACAGGACAGCAGCAGGGCTCCTGGCTGCTCCTGTCCTAAGAGACCCGAGGGAGTGTTCGTTGTCTTCACGCTGGTCTCCTGCCCCTCCCCTGTCCTGGGCATAACCAGCACTGAGCCCCACCTTGCTGGGCCTGCGGACCCCCGGAGGTGTTGCAGAAGGCGCGGCTCTGATGTGGGGAGCAGGGGTCTGTCTGTAATCGCCCACCTGCTTTCACATACCCCAGCTGTGAGAGGCTGCTCTGGGGCTCTTGACCTCAGAAGCTGGGCCTCCAGACCGGGAGCCAGCAGCACGCGCCCCTGGGATGTGCTCGTGTGGCAACTCATCAGTCGGTGACAGCAGCTGTTGTCTGTGACGGGGTGTCCCGATCAGAGTCTGCTCCGTGCGGGGGAGGACGTGGATCGGTGGGGACAGTGTCCTGCCCGGATGCCCGTGGGGTGGGTGGGCGTTGCCACTCCCGAGCTGTGCTTTCTTCCCAGAGAGATGGAGCAGCTGCTGGAGCTGCTGACCACAGAGATTCTGCATCCCGACAGCCAGGCCCCCAATGGGGTGAAGAGCCACTTTATCGAGGTCTTTCTAGAGGAGCTGACCAAAGTGGGCGCAGCTGAGGTAGGATCTCCGGATGGGGTGTGGTGGGGTCCCTCCCTCGCTATGACTCGTGGGTGAGGTTTACAGCTGCTCCTGCTTCTCCCTGCAGCTGACCGCAGACCAGAACCTCAGGTTCATCACCCCCTTCTGTAGGATCGCCGCCCAGACCAAGGAGTGAGTGCGGGGCGCCGGCCATGGCGGGGGGAGGGCGGGCCCAGGACTCCAGGGAATGGTGCTCCCTTGGTGGACATTGCTGGTGCCCAATGGGGCTCTCAGTGGAGGAGAGGGATATGGTCGGGTCACCCCTGAGAGTGGGCCTGACAGCCTCTGCCTGCCAGGCCCCTGGTCCTGCATAACATCGCGCGGGGCATTTTTGAGACCATCGTGGAGCAGGCCCCGCTCGCCATCGAAGACCTCCTGGCCGAGCTGGACACTCAGGAGGACGGCGACGAGCACAGTGAGCCTCATGGGAGGCCGCCAAAAGGTGAGGGTCACGGTACAGTGTGTGGAGGCCTGGGCTGGGGTCCCGCCTTCACCTCCTGTCTCGGCTCCCGGGCCCCATAGGCTGTTCTCAGCACGACAGCCGTGTGGCCACAAGGCCATGCCTGTGTGCGTGTGTGTGCACGCGCATGCCTTCCCTTGCACACCCCTCGGTCCCAGCCGACTCCTGGGCCCACCCACCCCATCTCAGCCACACCCCCGCCCAGCACTGTTGAGGTGCAGCCCAGCCCTGCCCAGGCCCCATGCTGGCGCCATCCAGCCTCCGTCACAAGTTATGTCACCCCCTGCCCGTCCTTCCTGGCTCTCGGCCCCCAGGACAGGGAGCCCTGCAGCTGGGCTCCCAGTGCACCCCTTGCTCAGGAGGATGAGAGTAGACAGACAGTGCCGTGGTAGTGTCTCCCGAGGGTCTGTGAGGAAGGGCCTGGGGCTCTCTGGCCGCGGTGGCGTCTGGTCCAGACTGTTTCCAGCCTTCACCCTGACTGGGGCCTCTTTCCGGCGCTGGGGAGGGTGGGGGGAGGGAGACCAGGTGAGAGCAGGCAGCGGTGAGGAAGGTGACCCGTGTCTGAAGATGATGAGACAGGCCCTCCCGTGGCATGCGCCATCCCTGTCCTACACGCTGCTTTCGTGGCACACATACGTGGCCCTGGGACCAGTGTCTGAGTGCACCGCACAGGCCACCAGCTGCACTTGGTGTGTAGCGCCACTTCCTCCTTTCCAGAACCTTCCTTTTCCCATGTTGAAACTCTGTGCCCTTCACCACCGAGTACCTCCCCGCCTGCTTCCTGCCCATGGACCGGCCACCCCAGCCTCTTTTCTAAGGGGCTTGTTTGCGGTCCTCGGTCTGTCTGAGTTGATGGGTGTTGTGGTGACGGCTGGGGACAACGTCACGCACCCTGTGAGAGGTCCCGGTACGCTGCGGAATGTCGTCGGCGTCTGTCTCCAAGGCTTTTGCCTCTGCCTGGGCTTCCTCTAGCCAACACCCGCCCCCTGGCATTTCATCTGGCTGTGCCGAGCACCTGTTCCCTGTCCTGCCCCAAGTCCCTGAGCCCCTCCAGGGGACCAGGAGCCCCCAGGCAGCCCGGTTCTCCACCACCGGCACCCACCCCTCACGGTCCCGGCATCCTGAGACGTCGCCTCCCTCGGTGCCCGTGGGGTCCCCGCCCTCTGCGCAGGACCTCGGTGTCACCCAGGCTCTCATGTGGGCCCTGCCCAGGCGCGCGTGCCTGACTGCGTCCTGGCACACAGGCGCCGTGCGCGGGGCGGACTCGGACACAGACTCGGACTCGGAGCAGGCTGGAGACGCCGAGGAGGACGGGGCCCCCAGCATGCTGCAGGTGGGTGCCTGGTCCAGGGCGCTGTGGTGGCCCTCAGACTCGGGTGCGTGGGCTGGGCCGGGCCGGGCCGGGCCAGCTCAGGCGGACGCACTGTCCAGAGTGGCTGCCCAGCGGGCGGGAAACGCGGGGTCCGAGGAGCTTCACGCGCCGACTGCTTGGGGAGGAACAAGATGGCAGGCATTTCCGGGGCGCTGCCAACTTAGTCTTGTTTTCTCCCTGCCTGAGGGAGTGTAAGGCTCAGAGTTTTGCCGACGTCAGCCTCGTTAGCCGGTCTCCCCTGCTGGCTTCCGGGAAGTCGGCCCAGGGGCCTGTCAGCAGCCGGCGCTGGTTGTCCTGAGGAGCTGCTCTTAACCGCCGCCGCCGAGAGACCCGTAGGAGGCTGAAAAGTTTCGTGGCACTCTTGTTCTGGGTGACCCTTTTTCTCTAGTGGGGCGTCAGCGTCCACACGTACTTTTTTAGCCTGTTTGTTGGCTCCCCCTGCCAACGCCCCGAAGCTGCGCGGTGGCCCCCCTCCCGCTTTTCTCTCTCCTGGGCCCTTTGCCACTTGCCGTACATCCTGTGGCTGCGGACCTTGTGTCCTGGGCTCCCGAGTTCCGGGGGGCAGCGCCGCCCTTAGGGGGGTAGCAGGTGTCCTGGTGGCCGAGCGCAGCAGCTGTGAGGGTCCAGCGAGCTCTGCACGGGCCGCGCTCCAGGCATCTCTGCTGACGCAGCCTCCTCCCCTCTCTGGCGCAGTTTGACTACGAGGCCGTCGCCAACAGGCTCTTCCAGGAGGCCAGCCAGCCGCACACGCCCTCGCAGAACCGCAAGCGGCTCTACAAGGTGATCCGGAAGTGAGTGTCCTGGGGCGGCGCCACTTTCCTCTCAAGCGGCCTCACTAGTGGGCTGAGGGCTGTCCCCGTCTTCAGGGGGCGAGGCAGGCTCCCTGGGGAGCTGTCACAGGAATCTCGTGTGGCTGCCACCCCCACCCTACTCTCAGTCCACAGCCTTGGGGTGACTGTCCTGTCCTTTCAGGTTGCAGCACCTGGCTGAAGGTGAGCACGGCCACAGATCTAGAAGGACCCGGAAGGCGGGCACGTCGTCCTCGGGGGCGGCCTGGCCCCCTGTGATCAGCCCCATCGGGCCGTCTCTGGAGAAAGCGGTGGTGTTCTCTGGGGGAGGCAGCTGCGGGGACTCTCCGCTTTTGGCTGTTCCCTGACCCGAGGACTCGAGCGGCTCTGAAGCTCTTGGGGCGCTGTGGGGGTGGGGCCTAGGAGCCTGGTTTCTGGTTAGTCCTGTCAGGGCCACGGGTGGCATCTGGCAGGCACCTCTGTCCACGGCCAGGCTGTCAGGACCACAGGATGGGGGCGGATGCTGAGCATAGAGGCTCCCCCAATGCTTCCGTAGAGGGGCTCCCCGCGGGCACCACTGCACAGCTCCTCCCCACATCTGTTGGGGCTTTGCTGTCATTCATGCCCCACTGGGGCCTCCCCACCCCATCAGGCCTGCCCCGAAGGCCTCACTCACTGGGCCCAGTGCAGCCTTGGCCAGAGCTCCCTGTGGCAAGCACTGGTAGGGAATCCCCCCAGGCCTCCCTCCAGGCCTTGGGCATGTCCAGACAAGGAGCCGGCGGGGCAGCTTGTGCCAGGGCAGCGGGGGCAGAGTCAGGACAGGGCCTCGTGCCGGGGATCACGGGCAGGTGCTGGCTGGGCACCCACGCATCCGGCTGCCTCCGCCTGTTGACCAGCAGCCTCCACCCTTAGGCCTGTTCCCCGAGGATGACATCCCAGAGGAAGTCTACCGGAAGCTGCAGAAAGGGAGGCGGGAGAGGAAGGCCAAGAAGCCCAGGAAGCGGTCATCCAAGCCCCAGTTGCCCAGCAGGACAGGTAGCCTGGGGATGGCGCATGCCACGGGAGGGCCTGTCTCGTCACCTTCAGACACGGGTCACCTTCCTCACCGCCGCCTGCTCTCACCTGGTCTCCCTCCCCCCACCCTCCCCAGGCTGCCCTCCCCATGGCTGGGGTGTGCTGGCCATGCTCAGGCAACCCTTTCCTGTCACCCCATGGGCTGGGAGCAGGTGGGACCAGGGCGCCTGTGGCTGGAAGGGGCACAATGTAGGGCATGGTGGTTCCAGCCCAGCTCAGCCTGTGTCACCCCCACATCCTGGGGACGTGCTCCTCTGTCGGGCCCGGTTGCCTCTGTCCCTGTGAGGTCACACCTGGCTGGGGCTCCATACTGCTCCCTGGAAGCCGCCCGTGGCTGTGGGCACCGAGGGGCCTCAGCTCAGGGCCCTGCTCTGACCAGCCCCTCTGACCAGCATCATGTGCCCGGGGCCTCGGCCTGCTTCTCGTGCCCTGAGCCCGCTGGCTGACCTTCCTGTGTCTGCAGCCTCGTGGCTCATCCTGCCTGAAGGCCGTGGACTTCGGTCTCCGCTAACGTGGGCGTCCCGGCTGGGGCTGCCCTGAGCTGATACCTCAGGCACTGCCTTCTGGCCCCGTTCACGCGGCCGCCTGGCCTTGCTGTTCCAGGGAACGGCAGGGAAGAGGACGCACCCCAGGAGCAGCCCGGCGGCCGTGGCGTGAGACGGGCTCTCAGGAGGCAGCGGCGACCTCGTGCCCAGACCACAGCGAAGGGGGTGGGGAAGCAGGAGCCACAGAGGCGGCGGGCCGCGGTGGGCCGGGAGTGATGGCGGCTGGGCCGGGCGCAGAATTGGCCGTGTGCTGGGACTCCGTGTGCCGGGCCAGGACTGGAGGGAGCCGGGCCACGCTCAGTGCCAGCATCCCGGACGGCCGGGGCGCGGGAGCCCTGCAGGCGCGGCCCAGGTCGCTGGCTGTGAAATAAAGCGCTGCGAGCTCCTGAAGCGAGTCCTGGTGGCGACAGTGCGGCCGCCTGGTCCTCTGGCCCATCCCTGGGGTCGTGGCTTCCCCCTCAGCCGTGTCGCCTGTGTCCTCTCCGCCTGGGGCCTGCCAGGGTGGCGCTGCAGTCCCACCCCCTGCCCTGAGGGGGCACCTTCGGCCCTGCGATGGGCTGTGGGAGGAGCGGGGCACCACTCGCCCCTCGGTAGGTGTGGACTGACCTTGCGTCCATGCCCCTCCTGACACGGTCCCCCAGCCCCAAACCCTGCTGTCCCCCCCAGCTGCCTCGGAGGACTCGCTGCTCACCCCTGCCTGGCTGGGCACAGGGGAGCCCATGTGGGGCTTCCTTCCCAGCAGACCTCGGGGCCCACCCCAGCGCTCTGCTCTAGAGGCCCTGGACACCCCTCCAGGTATGGGGGGCCGGGGCCGGGGCCTCGGCCACTGCACCGCCTGCGCCTCCCTCTCCCCAGCCTCCCAGCACTCTCTCACAGACGCTGGGCAGAGGCGACCCCAGGAGGACGCACCTGCCTCAGGCCGTGACGTGAGCGCCCGGCTGGGGAGCGGAGCGGCTCTGTGAAGCTGACTGCGGCCCGGGTGGCACCTGCCCTGGCCCCCGCAGAGAGCCGGCAGGGCCCCGTACCGTGCACGGCCAGCGGGGCCTGGGGCCGCCCGCCCACCATCACCCTCCAGACTCGCGGTGGAGGTCGGGGCTGGCTCGGGGAAGCGGGGGCTCCCAGGCCTCGTCGGGCCGTGCTGGCCGGGCAGCCGTCTGTGCTGGGGGGCCGGGGCGAGGGCCCCCGGCTCTGGTTCCCTGCAGATGAGTCCCTGGGACTCGGGCCTGGTGCCGCGAGCAGCATCGGGGCAGCCCCGGTGGGTGGGGGGGAGCCTCTCGCCGGGCAGGGCACAGCCACCTTCTTCCCCGCCCCACCGTGTGGCCTTTGGCATTGGCCTGGGCGTGCGGCTGCGGGCTGTGCCCAGCACGCACGGGCGCGGGCTTTGGGATGATGGCGCTGGGCTGAGCTGCCCCCCAGTCCCAACGCTGGCCCTCGGGGGAGCGGAGCGAGCGCTGGGGCGCGGGGGTGTGTGCGGCAGCCCCCACCAGGGGTTCCATCCGGACCCGATCCCTGCGGCGTCGGTGTCGGGGTGATGGCAGAACTCACTGAAACCCACTGGACGCCACGAACTCACAGTGGAGATTTGCTTGACGCAGTTGCCGCAGACGCGGAGGAGGGGAGCCGGTCAGGCCCCTGGGGGGGCTCCTGCAGCCTGGGCTCCTGGCTGCTCACAAACCCGGGCTGCGGCGAGCGTCACGGGCTGCTGGGGGCCCCTCGATTTCGCTTGTGCTGTTGTCTGTCTGCGGCTTTCCAGGGGTTGCGCAGCCGGTGTGGGGGCCTGGCTGGCGGGGAGGCTGCAGGGGTCCCCGGAGGGGCAGGGGCGGGGCTAGAGCGACCCCCAGCTGGGGATGTTGCTGAAAGTGGCGGCAGGGCCTGCGGGTAGCGGGAGGTAGCGGGCACCGTGGGGGCCGGGCTGGGGGACAGAGCCCAGCAGGGGCTCCCCGGCAGCAGGGCACAGGTGACTGGCAGCGCCCTGGTGGGTGGGGGAGCCTGTTCCCGCCTGGTGCCGAGTCCCGTGGCCCCTGAGCGCCGGCAGTGCAGCGCCCCCAACCCGCACGCGGCAGGTCGGTGTGGGCGAGTCCCGGGCAGACACCTCCCAGAAACGACGTCCCGAATAGCTTTCTTGAGCCGTGCAGTGACGCCCCTGGAGGGGGTGCCCCGGGTACGGGCTGTCACCCGCCGCCCCCAGGCCTAGGTCATCCTAGAGGGCAGGGCGCTGGCGCAGGAGCTCTTGCCCCCACGCAGGGCGTCCCGCACGCAGGCTGCCCGCTCCGAGCCCAGAGGAGGGCCTGCCCGCGCCGCCCGGCCTGCCTGCAAGCGCTCCGGGGAGCTGCGTTGGCCTGGAGGCTGGTGAACGGGCACGGGGCTCACTCTGACCGAGCCCCCAAGCAACCAGGGGCTCCCGCAGGCCCAGGACCTCGGCGCAGAGGGCCTCGCTGGTCTGCTGGACCCTCCAGCTTCCTGTTTCCGCTCCCCCCGGCAATGAGGAGGGTAGCCAGAGAGGCGCTGACCAGTCCCGGTCGCTCCGGCCATCTGGGTCACCCCCGAGGCTGGAGGACTGGGCTGCCGACCCCTGGGGCTCCCGCCCTGCGTCCAGGTCAGTGGACAGCCCGCGGGGGCCAACGAGACCCCCCCAGGGCCCCCCCCTGCTGAGCGGCACCCACGGCCCGAGGCCTCCCTGCGTCCCCGCCTCGGCCCCTCCCCTAGCCCACGCCGGCCCCGTCGCCTCTTTGGAAACCGCTCTCCGAAGGGACCCAAAATACCTGCTTCTAGAAGTGCTGGCGGTGACTCACGTCCCCGCCGCGTCTCCCCCTCGGCGCCCACGCCCGGCCTATTTCTGGCCAGTGTGGCTGCGCGGGCGTTCGGAGCCGGCCCCGCGCCCTGTCCGGCAGCGCCCTTGTGCGGGGCCCTGGCGCGTCTGAAGCGGGCGGAGGGCGGGAGGTGGTGGACGGGCTGTGCGGGGAGCCGGGCCCGGTCCCTCCTGCCGACCTCGGGGGTGGGGCGCCCGCCCAGGCGGCAGGGGCTCCTCCGACTGTCGGGACCGCCGCGCTGAGACCTGAGGAGTCAGGCCCCGGGCGCCCACAGCGGGCAGACCCCACTCCCAGCCCCAGCCCGCCGCAGGGGGCGTGAGCGGAGCTGCATCGTGTGTGCCTCTAAGCCAGCCAGGAGCCACGGCCCCGCAGCGCCGCCTCCCGCGGCCTGGCCCGAAGGCGAGGGGTGGGGGGCGGCGGCCGGGGAACTACTGCTCTACTGCTCTGCGAGGGGCCCTGAAGGGCGGGTGGGAGCCGCGGGAAGGGCGCCGGGCGGCCGGCCCTGAGCCATCACGAGGGCACGGCGAGACGGGTAGCCCAGAACATTCTGCCATGCCCAGGGATGCCTCCAGAGCACAGATAATGCGGGGCTCCGCGAGGGTCCCGCCACAGCACCCCAGGGCCGGGGGAGGGCTGCAGAGGGAGGGGGGACGGCGGCAAGCGCTCGCGCACAGGTTGCGGGTGGGAACTGGGGTTCAGTGCCAGCGGGGACCCCAGAACACCCCCCTCCCACGAGGGAGCCAGGCACGGGGCCTCCACCCTGCCCATCTCCACCCTCCTGCCACACCCCTGCTGCCAGCAGCTCCGCGCGCCACCCAGGCCGGCTAGGGCCTCGGCCGAGCGCACGGCCCCCCGGCGTGTGCAGCGACGCTGTGCCGGGAACGCGGAGACTCCGTTCAGTGGACACGCGACTTCGTTTATGTTCACGTCTCCTGTGTTTCCCGATTTTCTTACATTTTATTTTTCTGATGAATAAGCTCCACCCACAATGCCACACAGAGAGAGGGGAGCGCGACGCCCCCGGGCACAGCGGGGCAGTCGTGGCCCCGGGTCCGCCGCTGTCCCCGGGTCAGTCCGTTCACTTAATAGGAGACCCCGAGAGCGATCCCCGCCGGCCTGCCCTGGAGAGGCTGGTTTCCCGCTCCTCTGGAGGCCAAGGCCCTCGGGTGGCCGGCGCGGCGCTGTCTTGAGAACAGTTGGGAGAGCTGCTTTCTTGGATTTCCAGTGTCACCGTGAATCCGCAGGAGCCGGGCAGGTGATTCTGGTCAAAAATAGAAAAGCGGATCAATGGGGCAGAAAAAGAGCCGGAGATAAGCCTCCAGCAGACAGCCCGAGGCCGCCTCCGGGGAGGAAGTGAGGAGCCCGACCCCCGCCCGCGCGCGCCAGGGGCGCAGAGGTGGGTCCTCGAGCTGCACGCGGCAGCTGGACGCCAGCGGGGTAAAGCTGGAAGGCCGCGCAGGGGACTCGTTTTAACTTGGGCCAGAGGGCGTCTCGGCGCGGGCCCTCTCCGGCCGCCGGCGGGCCCTGGGCCAGGCCCGAGCCGCGCTCCCGTTGGGCGCCCCCGGCAGGGCGGGGAGGCCCAGGACAGCGGCGTGTCTTCGTGGGCGCTTCTCGGCAGCGGAGCTCAGAAATAACACGCGGGCCGGCAGCCGGCGCTCACGACGTTTCCAAAGAAACGCTAAGCCGGGCCGGGCCGGGCCGGAGACTGGACCGCCTGCTGCCCCTTCGGCAGCCGCTGCCCCTCCCTGTGCCGTCCGCGGGGAGAACAGGAGCATGTTACAAATGAGAGGGTGTCGCGCCGGTTCCCTGCGAAGCGCCGCCTGCACGGGCACGAGGCCGGCCCCGCAGTTAAGGGGTAGTGGTTACTTCTGGGGGGTGTTGAAATTGCCAGACATCCGGGGCCTGATGCTTGAAGTTGACCAGCTGGGCCCTCAGCGCTGTCTGGGCAGATCCCCGACAGGGCTCCGGGCAGCCGCTCCAGCTGGGGCCCCCGTACCTGGGGAGCCCCGAACGGGGCGGGAGAGTTTGGGGGGGCATCCCCATGCTGCCCGTGTTCCAAGTAACAGAAACCTAAGACTCGTGTTCACCGTCCTGTTAGAATAAGAGCGAAATGCTCAAGTGTGGACGTAAACGACGTCATCACTGTCTCTCCGGAGAGAGACGCCCCCGTGGAGGGGCGCCGTTTGCTGCCCGCAGGATGCGCTGCTGTGCTGCCACCTGTTCAGAATGAGACAGTGGGAAGCAGGGGTGGGGGCACCCGTGCCTGGCGACCTTCCTGGGAGACCCTGACGGCCCATCCCCTCCCTGGCCCTGCCCCAGCCCCGCCCGGGGGCTTCTGGTTTCCAGGCCAAGGCGGGACAGACCTGGTGGGGGAGACGCCCCCGGGCCCGCCCACGCCCCACCCTGAGGTGGCACAGCCGGCGCCCCTCGCCCAGACCTGGGGCAGACCCGTGACTGCTGGGGAAGGGGAGCCACAGGCTCCACCCAGGGCTCACGCCCGCTCTCACTCCCGCGTGGGTCTCAGCTCCCTGCGTGGAGCCGCCAGGGAGGAAGCCGCACGCTGGGGTCCGCTGAGGGGGTGCCGTCCTCGTGGGGCGCACATCCACCTGTGAGGAGGGCTGGGGAGCAGCCCAGCTCAGGGCGTGGCCGCGGGCATCAGCCCCAGCTACTGGCCACCCGCGCGTGGGGGAGACGCGGGGGCAGGGATGTCGGCGCAGGGGAAGGCGCAGGCCAGGGGTCCCGAGCTGGCCGTGGTGCTGAAGCGCAGGCCCTCGCGGGCAGGGCCACCGGGGGCAGGGCGGGGAGCTCTGGGCGGGCCGGTGAGGGGCCAGGAAACAACTGCAGCCGCAGCCCCGAGGACACGGCCGGTGCCAGAGCCTCGTTTTCTTGGCTTCGCTGACGTCTTGTGCCCCAGGCTCCGGCCCCACCACCGGGGAGCCTGGAAGCCGAGGGGTGCGTCCGTGTGACGGCAGCCCTCGGCGGCAGCCCGCGCGCCCTCCTTACCCAGCGGACACAGGCCAGACCTCCGTGTAAGCAGCGCGCGCCTGCGTCCCTGCAAGGGCCTCGGTGCGTCACGCGGAA